CAACATACAATGAAGGTTTTAGACCCCTTTAGCATCGTGGCTAGATTCGGAAAGGGTGATGGATGACAGGTGAGGAAGGCGAGGAAAGCAAGGAAGGCAAGGCAGAGCAGCATCCCATGGTATTTTAGCTGCTCTAATGAAGGACAAGTTTAAATAGGTACTCAGCCGACATGATAGGAATGGTCTTATTTATATGTGCATGAATTCTAGGTATTCTGTTGACATGTTTGTCTGGGTTCGTAGAAGAGAATGAAGGTATAGAACGAGCCTTCGCGCTTGATTGAGGGATTTCGAGGACTGCAAGTTACTGGTACAACAGCTGGTCGGGATCCTCATTGTTGAACTTCGTGTTCTGATATGTTATTGTGTAACGCGCAATCAATCAGTCGCAAGAGCATTTCATGATACCTGATACCTAACATCACCAGTATCTCATGAATGAAAAGTTATTTTTGTAGGATCTCATTGATGGATGGATGGCTCGTCGTCGTGTTGATGGAGATTGGTTTCCAGCCTTGGAGGAATTAAGATAGGAAGGAGGGTAAAAAAGATGGATGAACCGGTTTGATTGAAATCTGCAAGGCTTCTTTTCATGTCACAACTGACAGGTAGATTAGTAGAATGGCGGATGGACTGACAATTTATACTTGGTGCGTAGAGAAGATTTAGACGAATGATAATTAGGTTATTAATTATAAGATTGATGATCGATGATTGATGATCGATTCCCAATGGAGGAATACTGTAACTTTACAAAGTGCCCGGATCTTGTGAATCCTTCTTATTTCGAGATGAACAAACCGCTCTGGTCTGCCTCTTCACATTTACGGTAAAATACATACCCAAATCGAGAACACCAGGAATGATAATATCGTATATATAAAATCGTATATCGTGACAAATTAAAACGTTCAACAGTGACTCCCAAAATATATTCCAATTAGGAAAATTCAAAATCCAAAAAGATGAAACAAATAAAATTGATATCTATAACATCTATAACATCTGTAACATCTGTAACATCTACAATACAACAATGCCTTATATATACATACATAGGTAATTAATTATATTATCTGTTTTGGCAATACCAAACGGAACTTGTATACTGGGACCTTCCGTGAAGCCGCTCGGCGTCCATGGAAGAAAGTGTAAAATTCTCAGCCGAGAAAAAGAAAATCCACTAAATTCAGAATCTAACAAAAATAATTCAGATCGACTTCAACCCTAAAGATTCTTTTCTGCCTTCTCTCAATTTTAATCTCCCATCTTCTTTTCAATCTCTTTCCTTCCGACCCCATTTGAACACTTCTTGTCATAAAAGTGGTTTAAAAGAGGTCTTCTCTCATTCGAATACCTATCTCTTCCAGAGAAAACAAAAACAAAATAATAACTAACCATTGGTTTTTGTTTGGAACTGGCAACCAGAAGATTTCCGGCCGTACAGCAACTGTAATACATTGTCAAACTCTGGGAACACTGGCAGTTTGACACCATTGCTGACTGGTTCTTCCTGGATTGAATACTAAAAGGTCTTTCTCATAGGATTGATCTCCCGGTATATCTACTATCTTTGAAAGGTGCGTGGTGGATCTTGATACTTTCATAATAATTATTTTTGTGCGGCTTTACATCCGCGCAATTGCAGATCAGGCAACTCGAAGAAGCTGCGTTCCATGCCATATTGATTCACAAATGGCTCAGATTATGTTGGAATAATATAGCTAACATACCATTATAGAATCATAGTTTCCACTCAGCCGTTCGAGCTCAATTTCGCGTCGCCGCCAGCACTACCTGTGTCATCAAACAAAAATCCCGTTTCGTTCCACACGACTTACTGCCTACGATTCATAAACACCGGAACTTGTTGACTATCTGTCCTTGATCTGCCCTCTCATTCTCAAGTCATTTCTTGGACATCGGTATTTTGCGAAACTCGCGCCACAAGATACTCCCTCATATCACGCAAATACGTCTCATATCTATTTCAAACGAAGTTTCCGCAGCGACCTTTCCAGATCTCGATTCCTCCGTCTCCACCAAATCGGTTCAATTTTTTCTAGACGTTGATATTTGATCAGCGCATTCGGATAGCAAGTGCGGAGAGGTCGAGTAAACCTCTCCGGACGTCCAATACTGAGGGTGAATTTTTAGTCGCCTTTGCATCAACTTCAAGCATTAAAAGTACCTATTCGCAAGAATTGGACTTGCTTGATTGAGTGAAGAAGTCATATCTTTTGTGATACAAGTCACAATGGCATCGGCAACATCGAAATCTGAGAGCACCCCTACCCCGCCTACATTCTCATACGCGATGGCCGCAAAAGGTCGCGCAACTTCAACTGCAAACTCAGCCATGCAGTCAAGCCAGGCATCGGCTTCTGGTGTCAGCACACCGGCTAAAGAATCGAATTCCGTATCGAATACACCTTCAGCGTCTGTCACTGGGGCAGCTGGATCTGAAAACGGTGATAGAAATATCAATGGCGCCACGGAAGCTCTGGGTAAAAGTGATCCGCTTGGAGTCGGATCAAACACGGACGCGAAACTAACATCGCAAGTAAGCACGGGTTCTATTTCGGATTCACCAAATGCAAATGCAACGATACCAAAGGAGGAGGAGCTCGCTTTAAATGGAACTGCGGATGCGTCTGAACAAGGGTGGGAGAAAGCCGGACGAAATAGAGAAGATAAGCCTTCTATGGAGGCGAGTGAGGGGAGAAAACCTAAGAAGTCCAAGAAGCAAAAGAAGGACGACAAGGAGGCGGAAAAGGAGAAAGAGAAAGAAAAGGAGGAAGTAAAGGTACCAGACGTCCCCTTGGTTCCAGCTCCACCTCCAGCTGTGAACTTCTGGGAGCAGCGAAAAGAGGCACAGGCTGCAAAGACAAAGTCGAGTCCTTCAATACCTCAAACAGCAAACGCATTCGGCGAAAACTCTACCTCCAATTCCACTACAAAAGCTTTCGACCCTAGACGAAAGGGAAAGAGTTCAGTTGAAGATGAGAAGGCACCACAGGTCGGCAAGGACAATGCCTTGAACAAGGGTCAAAAGAAAGGTCCAGATGGTCTGATCAAGGGGAAAGAGGATCTAAATAAGCGACCGGCAAGAGGCAGTAGAGTCGGTGAAGAAAAGGACAAGACTGCCTCCGGTCCATTACCTCCTCCAGTTGAGGATTCTATGGCGTGGCCAACACCAGAAACCGCGCTTGAAGAAGAGAAGCGTAAGCTCCAGGAGGAAGATAAAGTCAAGAAGGACGAGAAGGACGAGAATTCCTCCAACAAGCCAAGGACGAAGGAGAAGTGGGTCCCGGTGCCGTACACTCCATCAGTCACATTCAATACTCCATTACCAGTTCGAGGCGGACGAGGACGAGGTGGTGCTCGTGTGGGCCGTGAGGGTGGACGGACTAGTCATGTAGCAAATGGTGTTACTGGAGAAAAATTGACAGGAAGTACTGCTAAGCCTGCCGAGTCTGGTGAAATAGCTGAAAAGCGCGGAGTCCGATCATCATCTCTTCCGCCAAACTCCTCCAGGAGACCTGCAAACGAGGAAGATGCCAGTCGTGACCCACGCAAGCATATGACCACCTCCAATGCAGAGAAAGCAAAGGCGGGTGCTAGTAAGAATGAGCCTGTATCGCCGACTGATACTGGAAGAACTCCTATCGCTACCCAGACGGACAAAGATAGCCAGACCGTTCAGAAAGGACAGGGTGTTAGCGAAGGACAGTTTCCAAGCAAATCTGGCTTTGGTGACCGCAGAAACGACGGTTCCGGAAGTTCCGACTTCAAGAATGGAGCCAAGGATCAGAGAGCTGAGGGTCGGGCGGAGCGAGGCCGCGGAGGATATCGTGGTCGAGGCACTCACAATGCTTTCCCTAACGGTCAGCATGTTTTCGCCAATGGCCACAATACCATTCCACCTTATCAAGGGCGTCAAAATTCAACACCTTACAGTCCCCCTCCTCAAGGGCCATTCAGCCACCAATACACCCAAGCTCCTCCCCGTACTCGTGGAAGCTCGAGATCACAATCCATACCAAACGTCGCCATGTACCCAAGAGGTGGCTACGCGAACGGCAATCAACAAATAGCACCTCTACAGACTATGTATGACTATGTACCCATGCAAGCCATGAGCGCTTTACCATACACCTCTTTCACAGACTCCCAGTCTGTGACCCTTTTGTCAATGGTCAAGATGCAATTGGAATATTACTTCTCGATTGACAATCTGTGCAAGGATGTTTACTTAAGGAAACACATGGACTCGCAAGGATTTGTATTCTTACACTTTGTGGCTGAGTTCAAACGAATTCAGTCCCTTACGCGAGACATTGATATGTTGAGATACGCGTGTCAACAATCCACGGAAATTGAGATTGTTAAGGGCGAGGATGGTGTTGATAGAATACGAAGACGTGATGGTTGGGATCAATGGGTGATGCCATCTGAGGAGAGAGAAGAGTCAATGAAGCATAATGATGGACCATCTACCTTAATTCGTGATAACCATGGACCACCAAGCCATATGGGTCAAATAATGATGCCAGGTCAAGAGATGGGCTCACCAGCGTTCAGTTCCGGTGGACATGACTTTATGAGATTTGGGAATGGAGCCGACCAAGCGCCTTTAGCCAATGGTAATGGCAACCACTATCATGAAGACACACCGCTATCAGCTGCCGTACCTAACTTCACACCTGGTCTGTTGCCATTAAATGGAAGTACAGTCCCATCGCCTGACCCTTTAGCGTCAGAAACCACATTCACTGATGAACAGGTTGAGAACCTAAATTTGGTGTTTTCACAAGCTTCCCGAAAGACTAGTGACCAAAAAGCTGTCAAGCACCCATACCACCACTCATCATCAAGAACCTTCTCCAATGGGTCAATTGATGGTAGGTCAATAAATGAGGAATTGTATGAAGAGCGTCAAGGTCGACCCTTGGTCAATGGGTCCCACCCACAAGAGAGGTAAATTTGTGCTGCTTTGAATTCCACGTTAATCTACGGTTCTGACTTATACCATTCTAGCTCTATAGAAGGTGATCGACGGACACTTTCTCCTCATTCAAGCTACAGCAATGCCCCGACAGTCATGTGGGTTAAGGATCAAAGACGACAAGCAGCAATATCCGAATCTAATACCACTGAGAAATATACCACCTTCCGTGAAAGGGCAATTAGAGTTCGGGAAAACACTCAGCCTGGTGAAACTCACACTGACATGAAGTTACTTTACGAGTTCTGGGCGCACTTTCTGTGCAGAAATTTCAACCCAGGCATGTACTACGAATTCCGCAGATTGGCTCTTGAGGACAACAACAACAACGCATCTACAGGAATAGAACAGTTAATACTTTATTATGATGAAACCCTCAACAACAAGAAGAAGGCTATCAACGAGGTCCTCGCCGGACACTATGTAGATGTTGTCAAGGGTGATGATTCCCCAACTCAACGATCTGCATTCGCAAAACTTCGTACTTCTTGGCGAAATGGTGCTCTTGATTTGAAGAGTCGAAAAAAGATTGACAACCTACTTGATGCTCATTTGAAGGCATTACTTGAGCAATAAATTTCCTTTACCTTTCCAATATACGCCTCGATACCCACGTAGCTTTGGAGTCATGCTCGGCCATTGACTTGGAGGTTACATACTTGGCTTGACATCTACGTTCCCCCTTCACCTTTTACGACTCGGTCCGCCCTATATCTTCTCGCATCGCTTCAACCAACGTGGCACGACTGTTCATCGCTCCAATCATGCAACGTTGCCTTTCGCTCGTATGACATGTAGCGATACAGATATTATGATCTGAGCAACTTAAGTTGACTGTATTTCCGAGCTTTGATCTGTGGTTTCTACGGCGTTTATCAGGAGCTATTAGAGGATTGGAGATCTCTGGGCATCAACGACGACTTGAGTTATGGAGCTCCAACCTTCTATCTGGGCAGAGTGCTGGGTAGGTGGGTTTGACAAATAATATGGCTTTTTCCCTCATTCATGTTTTGCTTTTACATGTTCATATTCTGGCATAGCCACGGCATACTTTTAGTTCACCATCGGACGTCTTCGAAGACATGTTGTCAATCGGTCATATTGCTTTTTCTAAGAAAATATTGGGTTTTGTGCGTGCGATTAATGGTTACAAAAAATGGCTTTTACTTGTTTTTTGGGGGAATTGAGGGAGGCGGATGCGAATTTCGCAAAATACAATGGTATGTCGCATCATCCTCCTCCCATGAATGATAGGAGTGGGTGGAAATGCATCAATGTTACATAAGATAGAAAAAACCAAATTTGCTGCAACCTTGTATCATAGAAAATCTTAACAGCAAAACTATCTTCTGATCAATTGAAGTGTTGTTGAATTTGTGCGGTTACATGTCTTATGGTTACATGTCTTGTATTGTGGATGAATCAAGTTCTTATAATAAAACGTGTTGGGTGATGAGGATGGGTGATGTGGTCATTCAAAATGGCAATGGTGAGTATATTATGATACATGCCTTCCATATTCGTCAGGTGTTAAGTAAACTTGAAGAAAGAAACGGAGCACTTCCATTTATCTCTATCAAACTCAAGGATATGATAAACAATACAAGGTCCTTTAAGTTATCACTTGATATCTCATTGTGTGGTGATGTTGATTATTTGTCCAGAAGTCCCCAAGAGTCTCGAACAATTCCCAACAGCTTCCAATATTCCAGTATTCCTTTCTTCCGTCTAGACTCCTCTCACACATCTCTTTCTATATCAATTCTTTCTATCCCAGCTTTATCATATACGAATCATTACTATTGACACAGTCTTCGGATAAGCACTTTCCTTTCCGGAAGGTTCTTCCCCCTCCAAACATTCACTCCCTTGTCATTTGTTTGATCAATGAAAGATATTTAGGATCTTAACTTTTATATTGAGCAGTGGATACCTTGAGGGCTGTCTTGTTCTTTCTATCTCCAGTCTTTAATCTTCCCCCCTTCTCTCAAAAAGTAACACCTTTTGAAGTTTTCACTTTGCTTGCCAGCAACTACAACCACAACAATCAAATCAATAGTTGATATTTATCAACGATTGCTTTACAGTCATGAATAATCTAACCAACAATGCTCCTAATACTGCAACGAAGCTCGAGATCTTTAAGGGTAAGCTAGCGACACTGAAGAATAATGGTACCATTTTAAGCATCAAAGACCTCGCAGAGGAGCTCTTCGATCTTACTCTTGAAGAGGCATCGACGGAATTAGGAATTCGTGATGACCCCATGGGAAAACAAGCCACACAGGCTACGCAGATATTGAAGATTTATTTGATCCTGTCGGATGAGGGATGTAGAAGAGTTGTGGAACTTAGGAGCCGGGTAAGTTATTTCAATGCCCTTACGCGACATATTAATTTCAGATTCGCATGACCTTCTCGTGGAACTGTCCTTTTTGTCTTCCTCTACTGTTCTTCTACTTATGCAATTCAAAACCGCGTGCGGATCACTAACGTTTGCACATAGGGATGGCATGATAACAGAGAAGAGGGCGACGAGCACTTCCGACAGCAGCGGAAACGTGCTGATTCGACCACTCCTGAGGAGGAACGTAGCTTTTACAGGATGATGCAACAAATTGGGGACGAAATGCATAAGTGTCACCATATCTTTACTATACCTTTCGTCCCAGACGGTCAAGTCAATATCCTCGATCTTTGCATGGCTCCAGGGGGCTATACAGCAGCAGCTCTCAGCCATCGCAATGGATTTAAAGCGTATGGCATCACACTGGCTCCTGAATCTGGTGGTCACACTGTTATTATCGACAAAAATCGTCTCCAAGGCCTCAGATTCCATGATATCACAATGTATAAAGAGTTTTGCCCGAGTGATAAAGAGATCCCCGAGTTTTTCAGGTCCAGATTTAGTGATGTTAGGCCCTTCAAGTCTATCAAGTATCATCTCGTATTTGCGGATGGAAAGACTCTTCGTACCCACGATCGCATAAAGGACACCTATAATGCCAATCTTAATAAGGAAACGGTACGCTTACAAACTTCGCAACTAATCCTCGCGATGAACAGAATGCACAATGGAGGCACCCTGGTTATGTTACTGCACAAGGTTGATACATGGAACTCAGCTTTCTTGTTGTACACGTTTTGGAAATTTGCGGAGATTGAAGTCTTCAAGCCAGCTAAAAAACACGCTACAAGAAGTAGCTTTTACATGATTGCAAAAAACATCAAAGTCAACCATCCGGAGGCACTCAGGGCTATTGAAGAATGGCAGGAAGACTGGGTGGGTTCTTTTTTTTCTTCTGAGCTAATTCACCTCTTCATATCCCCTATGTTTCACGGTTTGGGCATTGTAAGAAATCTTCTTGCTACGAGCACAACTGACTCGCGATTTGCAGTATCGTGCCACATTTGGAGGTCCAGAAAATACGGGTTTACCAAAGGAGGAGCCAACAGATGAGACAGTTCAAGAGTTGTTACTAGAATTTGGACCCGAATTGGTCAAGTTGGGACACAAGGCTTGGATGATACAGGCGAATGCATTGAGTCAGACAAGCTACGCGGGCTCAACGACCGATGGTAAGCTTGAGAGACTTTCTAGTAGGCTCGATGATATAAATGAAAAGTTCGGGGTAAAGGTGAAGGTTGAGGATGTCGCAGTGAGCTCCGAAAAATGATGGCAAGGATGCAGAGGGTGTCAACGAATTGATTGAACCATGTTAGCCTGTTTTCATGCTGCTTCCATGTCGTTTTACCTTCAGGAAATATTCACTAAGATGATGTTGCTTTACTTTTAGGGGTCAAATTGGGGTTCAGAAAGCGTGTCTGGAGTGGGCTCAAGGACATCTTTAATGATCATCATGAGGATGTGAAAATGGAGCGCGGTGTGGGATATACGCCAATTTGTGGTAGAGGAGCTGGCGGATGGGCAGTGGGAAGTGATGGCCAAGTTATTACTGGTAGCGGGGCTAGAATTGATGAGCAGGCTACTGCTGGTCACACCATTCGTACTCCGGGAGACAATAGAGCCATGTTCATGATGGGATCTTAACTCGGTTTGCCTCGCGTGTCTGGAGCTGTTCCGAGGATTGAAATGGCTGATATCATGTTGGGAGGATGTGATCTGTTTGAATGACAGTGAACATCACTCTCTCGCATAATATTGAAAATTTGTGTCCACTCGTATAGGTACTACAGAATGGGCATTAATACGTGTTTTCTAATTGACAAACTAGAAGCTCTAAGTGTCTAACTGTACGATATACCGGCCTACGTAAGGTAACAAATCTCTACTGCCTCAAGCCGTTGGAAGAACACACTTTGTCACTTCGATAACACCCATGTAAACTTCTAATCTGACCACATAGAACAAAACCGCTATTGTTCAACAAACCAGCTTTCGTAGGCCACTAATCAATACATCCGGTGTCTCACAGTGTGATGCATGATAGGAGGGATTGTTGTAGATTTGGGAGAGGAAAGTGGAGATTTACCTGTTGGTTATAAGTGTATGGGTTTGTCATCTTATGGTACCGATGTAAATGAGATCGATATGAGAGAAAGGACAAAAACCCTGGAAATTATTAGACTATGTGGGAACTTACTTATAGTAAAATGGCTGGAGAATAAACAATGTTTGGTTAGTGGAGATATCGCATCTACTCGAGCCGTATATGAAGCGTGGATTAGTGCTCTCTTAAGCTTTGTTGGCGAAAGAGATTGTAGTATTACATGGGTGTTGGTGATGGATGAAAAGCATCAAGACTAGTTCTAAGAAGGAAAGTACTAGGACGGCGAAATTCAACTTTTAGAAGATGCAATTCCGAAGGGACAATTGGAACATTTTATTGTATATCGTGTATTCAGACAAGGTTTCATCCTTTTCTTCTTCTGCGATTGATATTGTTCCTTCTATTGTTGTTATTGTCATCACGTCTTTACTAGGAGAGTAACAATTTCTGTGAGAATGACATATAAGAGTTCTGGTCATTACTCACCGTACCCCCTTTAAATTTCACCTACACTTTTGAAAATTTAATATTAAATCAACACCACAATATTTTTTATTGAAAATCTGATAATATATTAATAAATAATAACTAATCCTTTTATTTCAATTATATTCTCTAATTTATAGATCAATCTCTTAATATATAACCTGAAATTTAAGGGATCAAATATCTTTTATAATCTTTTAAGCTTCTTTTTCAATTCTTCAATAGAAATAGATATAAATAGTAATTTTTTTAATTCTTCTTTTATTCAATATTATATCTTTTTAATTGGATTGAGATTTAAAGAAAAGAGGAGTTATTGAAAACCTTTAATATTATATTTTAATCGAATTAGTTTAGTATACTTCAAATAAATCTTTGTATTATCCTTTATAAATATATATTCAAATCTTAATTTATTAAATAAAGGGAATACAATAAGAATAAGGATTTGATCTTGATATATTATTGAATTTATCCTTTTATTATTAGAATTCTTCTCCAAAAAGATTAATGAAGATTTATAATTTCAATCAAAAGCTTTTTATATTATTACAAAGATCCTTTCTGATCTGTATATTGATTTGATACAATTCCTATATCTCTTTTTTTCAATTCTATAAATCATGTATATCCTATTATATTTTTCAACCTCAAAAATACTTTCATTTGACTATATAATCTTTCTTCAATCATCCCCTTTAAGCTTTTCAAAGATTATATCAATTATCCCTCATCAATAATATATATATACAAAATCCAATCTTTTTTTTGTTTGTTTCTTAAAAATAAATAGTTTAGAACAAATTATATAATATTTATAATTATATCAATATAATTCATATCGAATAATATATATCGAAGCCTTAACCCTTAATATATATTTCATTTATTCAAAAGTTATCCTTTTTCCCCTTCAATCTTTTATCAATTCCTTTATAATTTGTCGAATCTCTTTAATTATTATTATAAAAGATCGATATACCTTCTCTTTACAAATAGTTCTAAGTAAATTTGATTTAATGATACCTTTTACAATACTTCGAAATACATTCAAATTTTGTTCGATCCAAAACCATGATTTTCTATCCCTTCTAGCCTGAAAGATTCTAGCTCTACAAGAAGTACCCCAATTTTGATGAAATTCATAATTATCATTCTTATTTTGAATTTTGATAACCATTTTGAATTTGAATAGAAAATATTGAAAATTTGAATTTTGATGAATTATTTATAATTGAGGGTTGAAAATAAGGTTACGGTTATTTCTCGGTAAAGTGTGCGGTTAGAAGTTTCCAGAACTCTTACTAATTGGCTTTCTTCCTTAACTCGTCTGAAAATAGAGCTCCGTTTCTCCCTTTTCTCTTCTTGCTCATCTCCTATTGTCGAGTTTCTAGGATGGTATGCACACGATTGCGTACACAATGTTTACACCTTGATAAAAATTAATGGATAGTGGTCTTAGGATGGTGCTAATGTATCTTCCTTCACACACTTTAGTCCCACTTTCGACCTGGGGTGTTAGTAAAAATCTCTATGCTTTCATCTATAAAGACTGTCAATCTGGATATCTGAACTGCTTGCAGGGGAAAGAGGTATAGCTGAAAGGAGATTGAATAGCTTGAATTGTAGGCTAGGCCACTCACGAGTATGGAAGTTGAAAGTATCGATCAAAAAACGCTAGAATCTCGACGTGGTGAAGTATTAGAGGAGTTACTATAATTCTCAATAGGTGCAGGATGCTATGTACAACTTACATGTAAGATCTACAACCGAAAAGCAATTAGCCTTAACATGAATGGAGAGGAGGAGTCCTGCAAGGTGTGGGTGACTAAAGGGGAATCACCTCCTAGTTCTGTGGTGCAGTTGTCGATTTAAAGACGAGACTTTTTTGGGGTTCCACGAACTCAGTAGCTACAATGAAATCTGACGCCTTAGCAATCAAGCTATAATATGCGTAGTCCATTGAAAGAGGGATTTACAAGCATGTGTCTGTATTAATGATATTGAAGCTTGTTGGTTGATCATAGAACTACTGTGATGGTTATCTAAATCAAACATTGGACGCATGACTCTGTCAGTAAAACATCACTTTAAAAACATCAATTTATGTTAACGAGGACATTATAAAGTTAGTAAGTCATTATGATGACTCTGATGACTATCACAAACCACCGAATTCTTAACCACCGAATGCCTTAACCACCGGCACATAAATGACTGAAACCCAAATTATGAAAACCCCAGCCCCCTTACTCCATAAAACAGAGGGAAAGCCTCTCTCCCCGTTTCCATCTCAAAGCTCAAACTACTGCTCCATCCTTCCCGCCAATCCCGTCCAAAAAATACACCTCCCAAGCTGATCATCCGGAATAACTTCCATGGCACTGGCCCCTGTCTGCAGTACCAACCTCCTCAGCGTCCCACCCGCCGCAGAAGGCATCCCCATACTTTCCCAATGCGGCGCACTCGCATCCTTTCCAGGATTCGGACTCAAAAATTTAATAAAACTTATCCAGTATTTCATTACCACTGGAACAATATCTGCATTGTATGTCCTGTAACTTCCTCCATCCCCATCATTTGCATTTCCGGGGCCGAATATTGCTGGTAATTCGAAAACGTGAGGGACACCTAGTCCATTGGCGATATTGTTATTGTCCTGCACGTTGTAGCGGTAGATCCATACCTGCGCTGGATCGTTCAAGGTAGCGAGGGAGATAGAGATGATTATGACGGGGCAGATAAATGTTGTTTCACCATAGGCGGCAGAGGCGGAGGGAAAATATGGATTGTGGTTTGCAAGAGGAGACATCAGTGGGTATTGGGCATTTATGGAGGATGTATCGGAAGGAGTCAGACGGGGATAGTTGTTTTCGAAGAAGATGGAAACGTCATTTGAGGTGGCGGCGTTGGAGGCGAAGGCGGAGCCCTCATCTGTTGTGTCTATTGAAGTAATAAGTAAACGTTAACATAGATTGAGAGGATTAGATAGGATAACCAACGTCCAAACATAATTGGTATATTCACAAATAATCCTTTCTCGTATAGAACATAAGGATAGTCTTGGATAAAATCTCCATCAATAGTTGGTGTCCAATAAAAAAGAGGTGAGCCCACTTGTCCTGGATATGGAGAAGCGATGTTTGCAGCTTGAAGAACCGCTGTACTTTGAGATCTCAAACACCCAAGAACATCACCTGCTGATCCACAACCGGCTGAATTTGTATAACGGTCAAATTGCCATTCTAATCCTGATACTTGAGGTTGTGTGGGAAAGAAAACAGATTCGCCGATTGCGCCGATGAAGAGATTATCGTTTCGACCTCCACTATCTCGAAGTCAATAAAAGAGCATATCAGGCCGTCTGGACTTACTATGCAGTAAGATGAAGGGCGACCGAACCAGCGCCAGCAGAATCTCCATGAATGACCACATGATTTGAATCACCGCCAAACTGTATCTTTTTTTTAGTAAATTTTCAAGGGATCGGACAATCCATACCTACCTGAGCGATATTATCTTTAACCCAGCGTAGCAGGAAACGTTGATCCAGAAGTCCTGCATTTAAATCACCATCACTTCTCACTTTCTCGCTTGTCAAAAATCCAAATGGACCAACCCTGTAATTAAAATTGACAAAGACGATACCATGATTCGATGTATTGACTACTGTTGAGCCATTGAAATTGGCATTAGAGTTGGAGATATACCCGCCTCCTTGTATGAATACCCAAACTGGAAGTTTGGAAGAGGATGTGGCAGTGCTGGGTGCCCATACATTGACGAAAAGGCAATCCTCTGATTGTGAGAAGGTGGGTCCATTGTTAGTAGCGAGGCAGATCGGTCCAAACTAAAGGGAAATATTAGTGAATATATAATTTTGCATGTGAGAATCATGTACCGTTTGTGCATTCTGAATACCACTTGTCCTTTGCGGCGGTTGAGGTGCGCGAAATCTTAAATCGCCAACAGGAGGAGATGCATATCGCATTCCAAGGTATTGAGTAATTCCCGAACTTAGCAAGGCACCTTGATATTGAGAATATCCTAAATCTACGACAGATCTAGGCTGTGCTTTATTTCCATCATGGATTGGGGAGGAGAGTGCGATTGCAATAAAGTAGCAGGCTACAACTCCTAGCCAGAATGACATTTTGAATGAGTGAGGAAATGTGAAGATCTAGTTTAACCGTTCGAGGAGACTTTGAACAGAGTATGGTGAAATCTGAGAAAATTGGTTCAATGTAAGATATTAGGAGTGAAGTATAGAATAATGAGATGTATCCGAGTAGTGTTTCCGGTGGAAACAAACTTGAGGACTTGAGGCTCGAGAGACAGTGGATAGGGAGATCACCTGCTAGGAGGTTGGACACGTGCACATGTGAATGGACGATATATACTATATGTGAATAACGAGGTACGCGACGATTTGCGCTTGTATCGGCAATCGGATGAGGACTATGAGGACAAAGCCTTTGAAAGCTCACCAAAACTTCAAATCCATACAACTAATTGAGAAATCTTTGGATAATATGTATGTTCTTGAGTTTATGTCTAACGACCCCCTCAAAAGGTCACCGCCTTAAGTATATATGCATGTATGCCACCAGCTATACTTGAAGTGCAGCGCATGCAGCCAAAACTTTTTGATTATCATGCTGAACAGCGAAAGTAGCACTTAACATAATCCTTGTATCGTACATGTAGCTACAGTTCTACATCGATACATTTTCATTCGATTCAAGCATTCCACGTAAGGGAACTAGGCCCGAATGCAAGTTGTCCAATTTTGGCGCATACATTTATTTAGACATAGAGTGCCCAGGGCTGGGCAACCATGAAGATGTGTATGTTGGTGGGTGATCATATTTATGCAGGATACTGCACGAACCAACATAAAGAACGAAGGATTCGGTCAAATGAAGTATCGAGTCTAGACAAGTCTGGATATTTCTGATGGAAGAATGACCACCCGATCGCCATGTGTGCATAAGGTCTCCTGTGGTACTCATCGGAACCACAACTTTGTGTAGTGGGGTAGTAGTAAAGCTTACTTGAACCATGCTTTAGCCGCCAATTACTCAAGTTAACGTTGAAGGCCGTTTGAAGGAGCGAGAGTCATGAGCAAAAGGAAAGTAGAGAAAGAGAATGGCAGGGTGATATGTGCAGAAATAGAATATAGTGTAGTCTATTCTGTTAATCGAATGATGAAAGATGAGGGGGTAGCTAGTAAGTACGTGGGAAGATTCATGTAGCTATAGCCATGTGCCTCTCTCTGTTCTTCTCACAAGGGCTCAAACACAACATATTGAAGTATCCCCTAGGATTATCCACGAAAACGGCAGCTGAGTTCGATACCTCTATCCTCACAACGTAGGAAATGTCACTGACATACTAGGTAGATCGATTAATGCATTGAATATATTTGCGATGTTGAGAATTGAAGACCACGACGGATTGTTTGATTAGATTCCCCTGGTGCACAGACATTTATTATGTAATTAAAGTTACCGTTACCGAGCGTAGAGAGAATCTTATTGATGCATTTCTCTGCTCGAGTAGGTAAGCAAGGGAGTACATGCCCGGAACAGAAGCTAGCTGCGGGACCACAAACTACCAGCACTTCTTTCCTTGCAGGTCTCTAATTAGGTTAACATACTGCCTTATTGAAGTCCAGGAGTCGATCCGTGCACTTTATATCTAGATATTAGATATATTACTCTGCGGGGAATGAACACCACAAAAGTGTGGCGACGCAACTCTTGAACTAGAGATAGTGTCACGCTGAGCATCTGCTTGAGAATAAAGGTTGCATATCTGACTTTGTGACCCACTCGGCATTGTGCTGTGGAGAATGTAGCTGGAGTAGATCACGTTTTTCAAAAAAAAAAAAGATGGTTCAAAAAGCTTTCTCATTTTGTTGGCTGCTAGTATCTCAAATGATGAGTGCTCAAATCAAAGTCGTATTAGATATAACGACACTCTGACGTGAGTCTTCCATCTATGCAAAATCTAAAGGCGCGAATTAGATCATGGAGATGCATATTTATAACCATACTGCTCCTTCGCCTTATTAGCTAAATCAGTTAACTTTTCCTCACTCTCCTTGAATTCCGGCTCTTCCTTAAGTCTACGCTGGAAAGACTCATTGCCAAATTTACTCTCACTCGGAATAGCCGTTCCCTTTTTCACAGCCGGTCTAGCATTAATTCTCCCCCACCATTTCTCCAAGCTGGGAAATTTAGCGAGATCAACACCTGCCAAGTAGGAAACGTTGACCCAGCCAAAACTGGCGATATCGACAATACTGTATTTGCCTTTTCCTGGCCCGACGATGTAGTCACGATCTTTCAGATGGCTGTCGAGGATTCCGTATAATCTCTCAGTTTCACCGACGTAGCGTTGTGTTGGATATGGTATGCGTTCTTTGGTGAATCTGTAGAAATGGTTTGACTAGAGTTTATTAGCATGGAATTCAGTAGAAGAAAGTGGTCCCTTGACTTACCTGCCCCTGCATAGGACCTAAACCACCATGTCTAAATTCGCATCAGTCTATGTGTATATATAGAAAGAGTTCTGAAGACAACTTACTGCCATGCAATCCATTGTTCGGCACGACTAATATCATCCGGATCGGTAAAACTGAATTTATGTTCGGGATCGTAATGACGGGTCATATAAGTCAAGATAGCTGCAGTTTCGAAAACGGCAAAATCATTTCGGTCATGATCCACAATGGCAGGAATACGACCGTTGGGACAAATCTTAGTGAACCATGGTTCTTTTTGGATATTCTCTCCAATGTTGATGGCCTGATAGACATAATCCTTTCCATAAGCTTCCTTGAGCTCCTCGAGAAGGATTGTTGCTTTGTGACCATTTGGAGTACCCGCCGTGAGGATTTCGATGCCAGATTTGGCAATTAACCCCGAAGGTCTATTTGACGAAGACATTGCTCGAGATGTATTCAAGGTATTTAAGTGTTTAGATGTTTGGAATAATCTATTCAAAGATGTTTTAAACATGAGGAAGAAGAAGAGAATGAAAGAAATTTATATCTCAACAAAGTGAATGTACTCAATTACCTGGGGATTTATTGAATGTTTGTTGTCAATCTCATGCGGAGTAAGTAGGCTGGCTGCACAGAAATAATCCGCAACCCGCGGATATCTATGAATAATCCGCTCCGCGGATTATCTGTTTAAACTTTCAACAATCCATCCTGTAAACAGATCATTTATAGGTTATCCAACAAAGCAATACCTACCCGCCCGCGGGTACCCGCTGGGCAACCTAGGAGTAAGTAAGAGCCCGTTCAATGTTCAACCCATAGAGTTTTGTAATTGGCCGGTTTGAAAAGAGATTTATAAACAAATATACAAATTTATAATTTTGATCAAAATCATATTAAAAAAATCAATTTATTTATTAATTTAAAAATAAAATTTTATTAAATGATCAATTTTTTAAAAAAATTTTAAATTAAAAAATATTATCAATTTTGATTTTTTTAGTTTTTTTATAAAAATTTATTAAATTATACTAAGGGCCTGCGCCCCTCGGACCCCTAGCTTTTCAAGAAAGTCTAATGAAAATTTAAATATTGAATATATATCAGGGTGTAAATAAAATATTAATTTGTTTTTGATAATTAAAAATTAAATTTTTTTATTTAAAAATAAAAATTATAATTGTTAACTTATTGATATTATAATCTTATTATATATAAGGTTTAATCGATGAGTGATAAAAAATAAAAAACTTGTTTAAGTGAGTCATGATCCTGATAATCTGATTGATCTAAAATACCTTAGTAAATAATCTAACAAAAAGTTTAATATAAGCCTTACAACTTCAAACAAATCTGACTTGGAACTTTTTTCAACTCTATTGAAATTATTCAACTTTGAAATCATTTAATTTAATTTAATTTATTTAATTCAATTTATAATAATAATAATAATAATAATAATAATAATAATAATAATAATAATAATAATAATAATAATAATAATAATAATAATAATAATAATAATAATAATAATAATAATAATAATAATAATAATAATAATAATAATAATAATAATAATAATAATAATAATATAAAATATTATTATTATTTTAAATCTTATAAATATTATAATTATTATTTTTAAATAAAACAATTTAATTTTCAATTATTAAAAACAAGCCGATATTCTGTCTACACCCTGATATATATTTCATATTTAATTTATTATAAAAATTTTAAATCTTAAATTTTCATTAGACTGTCTCGAAAAGCCAGGGGTCCGGGGGGCGCAGGCCCCTTACAATTTATTAAAAATAATTAAATTGATATTGAAATTATAAAAGAAAATCTGTAAAGTTATTATTTGAATAAAACTACAATTATTAATATCAATTTAAATATGATAACTTTTCGATTCGATTTAATCAATTGTATTATTATAATAAACAAATTTAGTAATAATTTGTTAGTATTAAGAGTATAAATTGTTAAAGATTCTAAGTATATATCTTTTCAAAATTATCTTTTATTTTATAATAATTGTTTGATAGTATTTGATATCGATAATTTACAAATCTATTTGATTTGTAAAGTCTACGATTTTATTTTCATTCTTTACTTTGATATAAACAAAATCTATTTTTTATTATCTCAATAATATTATTAATCTAAAATATATATACATTTATACAATAATAAAAATAATATATTTAAAAAATATATCTATTATTATTTCAAATTAATATAAAAGAAAGAGTTTAATCTTATTTTTTTATTGTTGAAATTCTTTCCTTTCAAAAGATCCTCAAAAATCAATTTGATTAATTTGTTGATTAATTTAATTACTTATCAATATAATTAATTAAACTACTCAAAATCAATTAATTCAATCAATCTAAAGTTAATAAACTTTTTAAACTCTCTTTTTAATAGATTAAAAAAGTCAAAAAAGTTAATTTAATCAATTCAACTATTTATCAATATAATTAATCAAATCAAACAAAAATAATTAATCTAATCAATTTAAAGTTTATAAACTTATTGGATTCTAATTTCTGATGATTATTGATAAAATAAAGAAATAAAAAAACTCGAGGACAAACTTTTCTGAAGAAGAAGATAATATTACAAATCTCATACAAAGAACAATTGATCGATAATTTCTATCAATAAACTAGTAGATTATACATTTAAGTTTTGATTTACTTTTTTTAGTATAAGATTATAATCACTTTAATAACTAATATATACAATTATACAACTACTATATAAGTATTTTATATATAAATATAAATACTCTCTACAAATTATAATTTTCAATTGTAGATTCTAAGGAATATAATTGATCTTGTTTATTTAGTTCTTATAAGACTTTTATATATTACAATTATTATTATAAATAATAATATTAAATTATATTATAATTATTATTTTTAAATAAAATATTTTAACTTTCAATTATCAAGAACAAACTGATATTCTGCCTGCACCCTGATATATATTCAATATTTAAATTTATTATAAACTTTTTGAACTTTAAATTTTCATTAGACTTTCTCAAAAAGCCAGGGGTCCGGGGGGCGCAGGCCTTTAATATTAATTTAAAAAGTTTTTATTTATATGAAAAGATTCTCGAATAAAAATTAAAAAAATTAAATTTTTTTTTAATTCTTTTTATTTATTATTCAAATATAATTAATTCTTTGTATATATAATTTATATTTTTTAAATATTAAAATAAACTTTAAAAGTAATTTATATATATACTTTGAATAATAAAATATAATTAACTAAAATAAACTTTTAAAGTGTTTTTAAATATCTATTTATTAAATCAAAATTTTGAGTTCAATCTTAGATTTTAAAATTTTTTATTTTTTTAAAAAATTAAAAAAGAATATATATTTATATATATTTATTTAAAATTTAAAATAATATCAAATAAAATTTATATATTAGACTGAAAATAAAATCTGAACAAAATTTAAATTCTAATGTTTTCATTGGTCAATAAGATCTTTATTAATATAACAAAGCTCATTTTGATATTTAAAGAGATAACTCTATAAGCTGGCTATCAAACAAGACTTTAAGTTTTACTTACAAATCATTAATAAGCTGCTTAGAAATAAGAGCTTCGGCCTCATGTTTTTGGCTACGCGTCAGCATCCTCAAAAACCGGAGATCAGCAAGTATGCGGGGCTCCTAACTGCTAGTGTAGGTGATTCATCTTACTTTAATATGACCACAAAACACAAACACTTGTACAGAGTATTATTCATTTCTATTTCAGTATTCCGGCATTGACTTAAAGATCTACATCCAAATGGATGAAAATGTGTATCAAATAAAATAAATTTAAATCAGTCCAAATGACACCCTAAAACTCCCTACTTTCTCCAATATCACAAACGTCAAAAACACCAGTTTCAGGTAATTTCTTCCATGCTAAAGCCTTCTTCAATAATCGAGGCGGTTCCATGACGGCTTCCGGTGTCAGGACCCAGGTACCCCAGTGGATACCCATGGCACGACGACATTTGGTGTCGAGGAATATGTTTACGGAATCGAAGGGGTTGGCGTGCATGGGAGAGAAAATGTGGCGGGGTTCTTTATCAAATTTGAGATTAGTTTGATGTTTGAGAGACGAGAATGGGAGATTGGGAGGGTGAGATGGAAAAGCAGTCACATACCATAAGCACCAATCGGAATAAGTCCCAAATCAAAAGGCCCTCTCAACTTCCCGATCTCTTGAAACGCAGGACAAGTCGGTAAATGTTGATACTCAGGCCCGTAATCATCAGTACCCTTGGAGACCTGCGGAACTGCTCGATAACCGGTGTCACCGCCAAACCAGACAGATTTTGAGTTGTCACCGGAGCCAGAGGAGACGGCCCACGAACACCAGAGTGTGTGGCCTTTGTCGAAGGCTGTGCGTGCTGACGTATGTTGGGATGGGAGACAGCTTATGCGGGCTGTTATTGGGGATGCGGATGTTGGCGAGGAAGAGGGAGGAGAAAGTGGTGGAGAGCTTTTTGAGGAATTTTTCGAGGAAGTGGATATGCGCTTTTCCCCCGTGATAGGGGATAAAGTAACATCAATATCCTCCCACCAATCCATCTCCACACAATTTTTAATCCCACACTCCTCAAACCATTTCTTAAGCCCCAATCCTACAGCGAACTGCACATTCGGATGATTTTTATGTATTTCCATAACCGTCGGATGGCTCAAGTGATCATAATGACTATGACTTATAACCACGAGATCGACGATTGGAATCTCAGATAATTTGCAAGGGATAGGTGTGTAGCGTTTGGGGCCCATGAACGAAAATGGTGAGCAGCGTTCCTCAAAGACGGGATCGAAGAGTACCCGTAGACCAGAGGGAAATTCAATGTAGTAGCAGGCGTGTCCGAGCCAAGTTGCGCGAAGAGAAGGGGTAGCACGAGTAGGCAGGAAGGTCGGCTGCACGACAGGCACAGTTGGAGGAGTTGTGTCAGGGTTCCCGAACTCGCCGGCTAGTTTCGCCCTATGAAGAGGTCACCGAGTTAGTCGTAGTTACGGAAGTATTAGTGAATAAATAGCTTCCCGATAGATTCAGTTGAACCTATATGTCTTCATGTGCATACCATGATGCATCACTAGCCCTACGAGGGCGATTGACGTGGAGTTGACGTGGAGGCGAAATATCTGAAAATGAGATCACCAGGGTATCAAAAACAATGTGACATTGACATGAAAACAATGGAAACATTAGCATGGAAAGATTCTCCCCTCCATCTTCCACCACCTGGCGAACCATTGCGCTCCCCGGTGAATCATACTGAGCCTATATTTGTCCACAATTACATCCACAACCTCCCATAACCCTTGGAACATGTATATGCAAACTTCGAAGCCCCCACTTACCGTAACATAGCCAAACCGATACCCGGTGCACTCATCTCCACCCAAGAATCCCACGGATTCGTAAATCCTTTTCCATTTTTTAGATGATGCGCTTTTGCTTTTGAATTCTCTGGTACGGCGCCAAGAGCAGTTGGACTGCTGATGGTGGCAGCGTATAAGGTCGCGCCTATTAGAGATCCCGACATAGCTCTTAATGTATTTTTCGGATTGTGATTGAAGGAGGAAGTCGAGGAAGTCGAGGAAGTTTGGCGTAATGGATGCCGAAGGAGAGAGCGGAGGTATGAGAAGCGCATTTGTCGGAAGGTGGAGGTCGGGGAGGGAGGAGAGGACAGAGGAGGGGATAGAGGAAATGAAGAGCGAAGAATGAGATGCAAATAGAGATAAGAAATGAGAAAAATATGGTTAATGAATCTTCACAGTCTTACTCTGGAAAGGTGGAAAGCATCTGCGTTTCTAGCACTGTATTGTACGTACATACCGTTAACGCAAGGGTCTTATCCTCTTATCGACGGAGTTAAATATGGTGATATCATGGAGATGGCATTTCCCATGGCCCGAAGTCCATTTAAAGCGGAACAGCATCAGATTTCCAAAGTGGGTGTTGGGTGATCGGATACTGGACGCTGTGCTGATAAAGGATTGAGTGTACTCATCTTACACCTATCTAGGTAGATTCGTCGTGCTGTAAAGTTTTTGAAATTGATCAAGTTCGTGTACATGCATATCCACGAAATAAAAGCGAAGGAACATTGGAAAAAAGCTCAAGCCTCGGTCGGCTGGACTTTCCTCCGATTTTCCTTGTTCTAGTAGGTAGGTAGTAATGATAGGTACACTTCAAGTCTCATTCTACAGCTTGATCAAGCTACGTGTATAGTGACACATCATGATGGTAGTTATCACAGGGCAATCAAAACCTATAATGTAAGAATTCTAATCACCACGCAAAAAGGTCACAGACATATCCATTTCGCAAATAAATAGCCATTGACTTCTATGAATACAGGTCGTAAGGTGAAATCCATAACTAAAGAGTTACGTCCACCCCCCAAAGAGAAAGCATGTTCTCATGTACAAATAATAAGAAATCGATCCCCGGGTATGCTTTTGATTGAGCAAAGAAAAAGTAACAAGACTGAAAAGGGCCAACTAGCGAAATCCGTGTATTCACATCGTAACCTCCGTGAACGACCTGAAGACGTTACCGAAAAACGCCCCTTGGCCCGTTCACCGTGAATCATCAATAGAAAAACATTTCATATCCCACCCGGTTGTCATTAGAAATCTATTTTATGTGAGCAGAATCCAAATGGTTACTGAGCAACCTATTTGGAAAGGATGATTTACCAGTAGCGGCCACGACGGTATCCGTCATCAGCATATCCGGCATCTCTTGGTGGGTAATCTCTTGGAGGAGGACGATCATAAGGTGGTCTACCATGCCCATTGACATATGGGTCAGCTGGAGGGTAATCACGACGGTAAGGATCATCAAAACCACTACGACGTGGCGGTGGGTAATCGTCGATTGGGCCACGAGGTCTGGGTGGTGGAGAACGTCCATAACGACCACGATCATCATCATAATAGCCACGACGAGGGGGGCTTCGATCGCGGTAGGCATCACGACGAGGACTATAACCTCGGGGTGGACCACGTCGATCATAATCATCGATGGGATAAGGTCGTCCTCGAGGAATTGGCGATCGAGATCTTGCACGGTCGCGTGGGAGATCCGGCTGGGTCTGTTTCATCACATCAGCATCTCATCAAGAGGGTATGTTCCAGTGAGCGACGTGCGTAGATTCGCGAATTTATGTACGAAATGGATCTTACATCAGCAGTGCAAGTGACTCGGGCGCCTTTAAATTCACGGCCGTCAAGCTTCTCGACTGCAGTCTTTAAGTCTGCAGCTGTTTCGAATTCGACGAAGCTTCTATTCAATCAAAAATTAGAGGTTATCTAATCTACACGATACAGGCGTCACTTACCCTTTGCCATCACGGTCACGACCAGTCTCCGAGTAAACGACGTCAAGGCTAGATTGACGAGCGAAGTCTTTAAGATCCTATATCCAGAAGTCCACGTAAGTTGTTGTCCCGGACTGTTGGGCTTTGCAAATGCCAAGGGATGGATGTTGCGCTTGAATTAGTAGCCAGGAATATATCCTTTCAAAGGTAGCTGATCCACCTTCCAGAGGTTGGCCATCTTTTCCCGCGCAGTATGACCACTATTCCGGATATGCAAGGGCAAGAGCAAGCAATGATAGCAGAAAGGAAGTCGAGACATGATAAAAAAGGCGAATAGCGATCAATGTTTATGAGTCCATAATATCCCGGCCGCCCGCGCAAATGCACTAGCATGTTGCTATGGTATGAAAATGCAAATTCCATAGCTGCGCGCCACTGACCAGGATTACAATGGTAACTTGGCCAGTGAAGGCCTGTATAGAAGGAAGGCGTCCAAAAATTATGTGGTATGTAGTCCAAATAGCAGCAATAATTGATATCCATGAGTCCGGGTGAAGGAACGGGGTAAACAGACCTGCCAGCTGGTCTCACCTGGAAGTCCAGAGATTTGCATTCGATGAGGGGTACGTCTGGGACGAGGAGCAGTTCGCTCAGGGTTGGCAAAGGTATCTCTATTACGAGTACCACGGGCGAATTGTACCGTCAAGCGTTCGCCCATGAAGTCCGAACCGTGGAAGGCTGTGAAGGAAAATATGTTAACAATTGCGTTCGCCCTCGAGATGATTTTTTTGGTAGTTATTGAATCCTTACCAGGAACGACGTCGCGCGCATCCATTGCATCCTTGTATTCAATAAATCCGAAGCCATTCATAAGTTTGATCTCGGTAATTTCGCCTGTGCCATGAGTGTTGAAATGAGCTTCAACATCAGCCTTGGTGGCTATTTAAATTTGTTAGTAAACAAAATTGTTCGAGTGTCGCAGTTCGCAGTTCGCAGTTTTCCATCCATCGCATATCAATTAGGATTTTGATTCAGCTTACCATTACGAGGGAGATTCCCCAAATAAAGTCTGGTGGAGGAAACCTCGGTCATTTTGATGGAACTGGTGTTGATAAATTTGAAGTAGGTTGTTGATGTGGTAGTAAAATGCTGCTAATAGTTGAAAACTTTTTTGTTTTAACTTCTGGCTCGGGGAAAGCGGGAGCCTTGTTTTTGTTTTTGTTTTGTTGTTTTTTTTTGGATCGAGAGGCCAACACCGTCGTCGCGATCGCAAATTGAAGACAATACCCTTTTAACTTGGGATTATCTTGAAAAGCAGTAAGTAGAACGCGAAATGCAATCAAATGTAAATTGATCAATGCTTGCTGCAGCTACCTTAACCTCAGGTACTGACTGGTTGTGCGCAAGAAAGTGGGGATAAAAAAAGGTGGATGATGAATGAGAAGTGGAAGGTTTGATGGATGGATGGATGGGTTTAAGGAAAAACGAGGTTAGGTTCAGATTATTGGAGGGAACTGAGGGAAGGGGGAGGGGAACGGGCCTTGGGAGGAAGCTAGTAAATAAATAAATAAAAAGGATGAAGAAGTCTTCCGTAGTAAGGTAATACTGGCTGAGTGACTGAGTGACTCTGATTGACTATTTATCATGGGAGTGCGATGGGTAAAAGTGCCAGGGTGAAGTTAGTAATGTGGGAAAGGAAGTGGATGAATAAAAAGCGGGATAGAATAAATTGATTAATAAGCACATTCCACTATTGAAATTTGTATTATCACATGAAGATCATCTACCCTAGCACATGTACATGCCAACCAAGTATACTACATGCAGACCTGCACTTTTACTATCATACCACCAGAGCGATTTGCACTCAATTCTCAACGCTTCAGCCAACTCCTGGCCTCATGTACCTGCTTTCCGATGTAAGACTTACTTTAATAAAAGTAGCTGGGTAGATGGGTAGATCTTCAAGCATCAAAAGAACCATGTTATCACTCGGTGAATATGCGATAGGTCAGACCATTAGCCATTTATTATTATTCAATATTTATTTATCTATTTACTTACCTACCTACCTAGCTAGCATCGATTATCGAAAGAACATTTTACCAGCTACCCCAAGGGAAAACACCAAAGTTAGATAGAGTACAAAAAACCTATCACTATACCATATGATCCATACCATTCACTCCCTTCATTATTCGTTTATTCCTTTCATCGTCTCCGCCAAACATTCCGGAAAGTACTACGCAGTTACACTGCATTCATATTCACACATATTAGTATGTATGCAATAAGCTTAGATGGTATGAATATGAGTTTCCAATCAATATCAAGCAATCTTGAATCCGGATCATTTCTCATAACTGCACCAGTGTCCTCGCTCTACCGACAAAGGACTCCCAAAAAGAGTCAACTAAGGTAAACCCACAACGCCAGACCATTCATCCAAAACGTGGATAAACTCCTTGCTTGTCAATCCCTTTCCATATCCGCCAGAGTAGAACCCGAATACACAAGAACCCTGACATTTACTCCAACAAACAATCATCGAGGAACAAGGTTATAAAAAAACAAATTCATCCACTCATTTCAATATCTCGGGTATCGTCTCGGATTTCATCATCACCCCCGAGCTCATGCTCTACCTCATCCACAACGAATCCTTCATAATCCTCGAGATTCTTCTGGATATGGACTTTAAACTTGATAATATCGTTTAACATCTTTTCAATTTCCGTATGCAGTTCCTCACGCAGAGTGTTGGCTCGGAGAGTTAATTGTTCGTACCTAGACTATGTCAGTGTGGTGCTGTTTAAAACTATCTCGGGATTACTGACTCAATGTTTGTATTCATTTCTCGTTGCTCCATGAGTTGCACAGATTCCGTAAGACCAGCTCGCATTTTAGCTAGCTCTTTCTCCATCTTCTCAATTTGTGCATCAGATGCCAGTTTTTGGGTCGTGGTGACCTATTTGTGCATTAGCTCCCGTCAATTCTCGGTGAAGACTGGTGTTCTTACCTCTTTGGTCTTTTCATACTCTTCTTCTGCAGCTCTGACGCGGTGTTCCAAAGCCTCAACCTCACTCCTCTTATCGTCAATAGCTTCTTTGATATTGTCGAGCAAATCGTTGTGCTTCTCCATCTCTTCAACCGCAAGGGTTCTTCGTTCTGATATCTCTTTTCGGAGGCTAGTGAAACTGTTCTTCACATGACCTCGAAGATCCAGGTTTAATATATGAGCTGGTTGATAACCCGTTGTAGGATCGGCAAGAAGTCTATCGCCATCTCTCCCGCCAGAATGAGAACTTGCCATCTGCGATGCCGAGAAATTAGGTCCTTCATTGACAACAACCTGAAGCTCGTAGTTCTTCCCTTTGGCGTTGACGGCCGTGGATGGAATGAGCCCTATTTGGTATCCCAGACTGTTGTATTTTTCCACGACGCGCTCCAACTCTTCCAATTTGCGACTCGCTTCCAACTCCTTTTCGGCAACTTTTCTCCTCGCTTCCTCTAATCTTTGTTGAGAAGCTTCATGTCCCTTTTGAAGTCGTTCCATTTCAGAATTCAGGCGATCGATGTCTTGCATACTCATTCCTCTGCTATCTATTTCCTCTTGTAACCTTGATCGCTCATCGGATGCTTCTTTGAGTTCTTGCAAGACTTTGTCGAGCTCCTCTTGTAAGAATTGTATACGAGACTCATATTTCTCAGACTTTTGATGCATGAGATTGTCGAACTCTCCGAATTTCACTTTGTCATCTTCCATGATCTTGAAGTTTCTGTCCAAAGTAGCAATATCCGAGCCAGTCTTTTCGAGTATCTCTATCTCCTTTTGTAGTCGTTCGTGCTCTCCTTCAAGAACACGCATTTCATCGAGATATTTTGCATTCCCTCTGTTGAATTCCTGTGCCATAGCCTGAATATGTGGTGCAAGAACTTGGTCCTGATCATCGTCTCCAGCGTCTTCATCCATGGAAAGCCAATCTCGATACGCACTACTGAGGAAGTTGAAAATGATGCGATCTCCACTCACATCGACCCCAGCTTCTGCGCATGCCTCATCATATCGGTCAGTGGCGTATCCATCCAACATCTGAGCCAGTTGCATCATCCAATGTAATAATCCAAGAAATAGTGGCCACGAATTTGCGCCTCCAACGGCGGATAATGCAGATTTCGTTATGCTTTTCTGGTATGGATAACGTAGCTGAGCCATGATTGGAGGCACCTCCTGATCGATAGCCTTTTGGAACCGGTAACTTGGATCAATTCTGTGGTAAAGCCACTGAAACATAAAAACAAAGTCCTTTTGAGTTGGCGATTTCAAAGTATTGGCCGATACGTTATGATTCATTTCTATATCGTAATTGTTATTGGCCATGTACTCCAACAATTCCTGTCCAATCTTTCCCTGATAAGCTCGATCTCTCAATGGACGTGGGTCTTTGGGTACTCCAGCTGGTTGAGGTCCAGTTTGAAAGAAACTCTGATGTCCCATCGGTCCACTTGTTGAACTCCGGGATCGATAAACACTGCTTCGACGTTCTGCTCCTTCCGCAGATGCGCGGCCCATTTGAGGTGGTGCATAACTTTTTCGGCCACTACTATTCTGGAATGAAGTCCTTTTGACCGACGAAGTTCCAATATCAGCCAAATTTGTGCCCGAGGAAGATCGTGAGAATAAAGGTTGATTTGGCCGCGAAGGTGCGAGAGATTGTCTGGCTCCACTGCGAACATGGCTGGCGGTAAAAGGTGCGTTATTATAACCACCGATTGAATTCGATCGCTTCATGGCGGAAGCTGGTTGTGGTAAACTCGAATTATAATTGATACTTCCCAGTGTCTATATTGAATGAGCAACTTCAAAATTAAACATTTGAATGAGGGGGTATAAGGATCCTTACCTCTCTTGGTCGGCGCACGGAGAAAAGACCTGTGTCTTGCGACATTTTCAATAATTTATCCTCCAGAATGAGGTTCCTCTCTATGAAATGAATGCCACGGGGTTCTTGCTATGTGAAAGATATTATTGTATTGAATGATTGGAAAATGCTGTTTATGTAAAAACGTTTTTTATTTACACTGACATTCAGATTTGCGGCCTCACCACAACAAAAACTTGTGAATTTGGTTGTTATCGGATAGGCAACGCTAAAGGGAAAGTAAACAATCCGATCTAGTTTAGGGCCAAAAGTAGACAGCTCAGTCACGTGCACAACCAAGGAAGGTAAGATGACGGGAACAAAGCTCGCGATACCTCGGTTCCGGCCATTCTTATTTTAGCGTGTAAATATGTACAAATTCCCCGGATTTCACAACTTTGTATTTGTCTGACGGTGAGAGGAAGTTTAACCCTTTTCTTCATTTCATCTGTTCTTCATCATGGCGATTCGTGAGGATCTCGTGGCATCTGCCGTAAGTTATTCCAACTCCCTCACATATTCGAATACTAATCCGTAGCTAGGTTACATGTAAGAACGTTTCATTGAAGATGGCTTCATCATTTCTAATAATTCAACAGTTCTTCAGGACCCAAGTGTCTCTGCATCGCCTTTAGAGAATCGAATCGCGTTTCTGCAATCAAAGAACCTTACACAGGAGGAAGTAGATGCGGCATTAGGAAGAGCCAGCGGCGAACAATCGCCAGCACCACAAAACTATTCGAATTATCCAGCACAACAGCAAGTAGCAAGACAGCCTCCACCTGCATATGGAGGATATCAACAATACCCATGGCAACAGCTCCCGCCTCCGGAAGTACCGAAACGGGACTGGAGAGATTGGTTTATTATGGCTACAGTGACAGGTGGCATAGGATATGGAGCATATTTCCTAGCTAAGGTAAGGCCAGAATTCTTTGAAGGTATCAACTATACTAACCTATACAGCGTTATATCTATCCAATAATTGCTCCTCCTACACCTCCGCAACTCGAACAAGATAAAAAGGAGATTGACGATTCCTTTGAAAAGGCATTTTCTCTTCTTGATCAGTTAGCAAAAGACACGGAAACCCTAAAGACATCCGAGCAAGAACGAACGGAACGATTAGATATAGCGTTAACTGAAGTAGAGACAGTTATTAACGAGTTAAAATCTGCGAGCCGAAGAAGGGATGACGAATCTCGACGCATGGGCGATGAAGTCAGGGGGCTCAAGGATTTAATACCCAAAGCTATGGAAGGACAGAAGGAGGCAACAGATACCAGGTTAAAAGAATTGGCCGTTGAACTGAAGAGTTTGAAGACATTAATGGGTCAAAGAATGAATCCATCTTCGACCATGAATCCATACAACAGAGTTCAGAGTGCAGCTTTACCTTCTCCAATCGTCGCAACTACCCCTTCCAGCAATCCAACCCCTGCCGAAGATTCCCCAACTGAAAGCATTACTCCTAGGCCAGCATCAGTCAGTACTAGCTCAGGTACCGAGGCCGTAGCATCTGTCCAAGGTCGAAATGCCACTCCGTTCAGCTTCACTACTGGTGCGCAAGCAGGAGGAGCAAAGATTCCAGCTTGGCAAATGGCAGCTGCCAACAAGAGCACTAGCGCCATTCCTACTACTACCACTACAAATGGTACACCGGAGGCAAGCGGGTCAGCTCAGGCATAGATCCTATATTGACATATTTTGGAGTCAGCGAAATTGCATGGAACGGCGTGTTAGGGTGTTAATGACTGGAGATGGAGATTTTGGAATATGTAGCGTCGGAATATTGACAATATAATCTAATGGAGCACAGCTGTTTGTATTAAACCTATAATGCCAAGAGGTAGTCCCATATTTAGTTGAAGGCAGGAAATGGCAATTTGGTGTGGCAAAAGTTCATCAATCTGGAACGCTTTGGAAATGTAAATTGAAAACTCCAGGGTTGGGAAAGAGACGATGACTTTATCTTCAATAGTTTCTGAACGGATTCTTCAAGCTAGATGTGACTGCTTTAATAACACCAGCATAATTGAAATATTTCGCTTGACCAGAATCCTTCTCCAGCCTGAAACTTGAGCATCCAAGGCAAACATTTAAGTGTATGAGACGAGAACGCCCATTGTCCAGTATGGACCATTTCTCAGCTATCCACAACCCAGAATCAATGTGCCACTTTGGAATTTGCTCTAGAACGTGACATTATACCAGCCGAGGTCGATTAGCTTCACACGTGCTAGTCGACTAGGTGGCGTCTAGCAATTTCATACATCTTGTTTGCTATACTGGGCTATTTATGTTTATATATGGATTTGAGCCGAATTCAAGTTGATTTTATAGTAATCTCTTATCACATTTCTTTTACACGATCTTGGAAACAAAGAGATTGTTGGATTGTTGGTCAATCTATTACGCCTTCAATCTCGGTACTTATAGTTTATCCAGTTGTCTGCACCAACACATACCCGTATATCTCAAACTCGCCACTCTGATTCTTAATTCACATATCCATCAACCATGGATACCGCCTCCTCTCTTTCCCTCGCAAAAGTCCTACTTCCCAAAATGCCCATGATAGGCAAGACTCTCTTATCACACACCCTTGGCCTCTCCCCCAATTCAACACATTGGGACCTCAAAACCGAACTCACAGTCAACATCCTCCGATCCTTCACATATGGCACCCTAAACCCCATCTCCCGAACCCAAGCCGCTACGCTGCATGATCCTGGTATCAAGGGTAGGATTTGGGTCTCCAAAGTCACATTAGCAGTTCCATCAGAAGACGATGTGCGTCAAAAGCTTTTTCAAGTAATAGAAGAGGTGAAAGATTCAGGGGCCTCGCATCATGACGGTGGTTTTATAGAACCGGATTTGTTGCCCGTAGAAGGCGAATGGACAGGTTATCGCGCCTTTTGCCCCAAAAGCGCCTCCAGATTGCGAATATCAGAAACCCGACAATACGCTGAAATGATGAAAGAAGTTACTTCTCCCGTGACAATTCTCTATTTACATGGTGGCGCACATTGGCTTTTGGATCCAGCCAGTTATCGTCAACCAATCAAGAAATTGGCTAAATTAACAGGAGGACGAGTACTTTCCCTCCGGTATCGACTTGCACCGCAGAATCCATTTCCGGCTGCTCTACTGGATTGTTTAGTTGCGTATCTAAATCTACTATTTCCACCAGCAGGTTCATTACATGCTGCTGTCTCTCCAGAAAATATTATCATATCTGGCGATAGCGCCGGAGGAAATCTTGCATTATCACTTTTACTCGTACTCCTGCATTTGAACAGAACATCCCAACCAATAACTTGGAACGGCGAATCGCATCTCATACCACTTCCAGCAGGTCTATCGCTAAGTTCACCCTGGACAGACCTCCTCTGCTCTTGTCCCTCATTAGAAACAAATAAAGCATATGATTACATACCTCCGCCCTCCATCTTCCCCGCTCCTCATTCCATACCCTATCCCAGCTGCCCTCTCTGGCCTACCCCCCCTCCCCGCTCAAATATCTACTGCGAAGACACCTTCCTCATCCATCCCCTCGTATCTCCCTTGTCCGCAGGAGCCTCAGCATGGAAAGGAAGTCCACCCATCCTCTTCCAAATCGGGACCGAGCAACTAGCCGATGAGAGTAAAATATTGGCAGCTAGGATGGCGAATGTGGGCGTAAGCGTTAGATGGGAGGAATATGAGTACATGCCGCATTGTTTCGCGCTTTTGTTACCTCATTTGAGAGGTACGAAGAGGTGTTTTGAGAGTTGGGCGAGGTTTTGTGGGGATGTTGGTGAGTTGCAAGGGGTGGAGAAAGGAGAGAAGAAGAGAGAGATAACAACGAATGGAGTGAAGATTAGCGCGGACGGTGTAAAGGAGACGGAGGTTGATGTGAAAGGATTGTGGAAGGAGAGTGATGAGGTTGTGCTGGAGAGGATGAGAAACAGAGCGAGAGTTTTGGTTTCACTGGGGAAGGAGATGGATGGGAATGGAAATGAGGATGTGAATGGGGGAGGGAATGAGAGAGCGAGGTTGTGACGTGAGGATTTAGGGATTAGATGAGATGAGAATAAGGAATAGAATTAATCAATAATCAACTAAGAAAAATATTTTGATCAATAAGGCCCCCGACATATTAAAGATCATCAAAATCAGCAGTGCATCACCAGAAAGAAACAACTCCAGTATATTGATATCTGAACCAAATTCAAAATTATCATCCTCATCTATCATTGCGCTGTCTATCTATATGTGAGACGAGGCCCGAGATCATTCAACCACCGCTCATACAATGCTTCATTCCCGCTTCGTTCTCCACAATCCTTCATCAGTATCAAAAGTATTAAAATTCCTATTTCGTTGAAATCATCCCATGCATTTAAATTTCCATCCCCTCCCACTTTCCAGCACCTTTATCTACCGTACTCTCCGTCACTTTAGACGTAAAGAGTAAATGCATGCAAATATCGCGCTCTATATAGGATAACCGTGGACATGCAATTTAAAGAAAGAAAAAGCCGTCCCAGTCAATCTATGGCACCTAGCATGCAAAGAAGATTTGCAGTCAAATTAAAATTGATTTTGAGAAGTTATGCCTTGATCTCGTATTCTCGGCGGAACATATCATCAACACTCTTGAGATAGTAAGTATCCTTAGCGATGGTGTCTGGGCTACCTTGTGGGGTGTATGACTTTTGGAGATGGGCTTGCTTGCGAAGACTGCAGAACTGTTGTATGTTAGCACAAGATCCAAGAGCTCCTTCTCACAATATCCTTCATACCTCTTCGTAAACCTCTGGAGCGACGGTTCGGCGAGCGTCAAGTCTTTCCTGTAAGTTCAAAGCCTTTGCAATGGCCTCAGTGGAACCGTTGATCTTCAAGGAGAACAAACTTGCGGCTAAACCACTTCCGTAACTGAAAACACCAATTCTTTTTCCTTGAAGAGTAGCGCTGTCGACGTTGCTCAACAAACTGACCAACCCACCATAAACACTGGCAGTGTACATGTTTCCGCACATGGTTGGGACTTGGATACTGGGTTGAACGCGCTCATTGAAACGCTTCTTTGTCAATCCCATGAATGTCTTCTCGACAACCTTGTCGCTCAAAGACTTGGCATAGTCCATATCTCTCAACTCAGCTGGAACATCAGCAAAAGTGGATGCGGTCGGATTAGCAAGATAGTCGTTGTAAAGCATACGGGCGTATGACTTGGAAACGAGCTTGCAGGTAGGGGCATGGAAGGTCATGTAATCGAAACGATCAATAGGAGACTTTGTTGATTCCTCTGAGACGGCACCGTTTGTATGTCCGTTTGCTAAAGGCTTGAGGGTTTGTTCCCGCCTGTTGTATGCCTTGTAGCAAGCATCAACTGCTTCGGTATAACATCTGAGAGAGAAATGACCGTCGACGATTGGATACTCGCTAGTAAGATCTGGCTTGTAGAAATCGTAGGCGTGTTGCATGTATGTTCCACGAAGACCAGGCTCAACAACAACTGGAGCGTTTGGTCCAATCAACATGGCAACAGCTCCCGCACCTCCAGTTGGACGCGCAGAACCCTTGGCATATAAAGCAATGTCTCCAGCAACCACAATGGCATCTCTTCCATCCCATGCGGACGATTCAATCCAGTTAACAGCGTTGAATACAGCATTGGTACCACCGTAGCATGCATTAACGGTATCAATTCCCTCAATATTCGAGTTTTCTCCAAACAGTTGCATGAGAACCGATTTCACGGACTTTGATTTGTCGAGAAGGGTTTCTGTGCCAACTTCCAGACGTCCAATGGTGTTTGTATCAATGTTGTACTTGCTGAGAAGACGGGAGGTGACGGTCAAGGCAAAAGAGTAAATATCTGCAAGATGCCATGAATAAGTAAAACCCCCGACAACTGTTGCGAATATGTAAATTCTCACCTTCTCTATCATCACAGAAGCTCATCTTGGTTTGCCCAAGACCGATTGTGTATTTCCCTGCACTAACGCCATCGAACTTCTCGAGTTCTTCCTGAGCAACACACTGGCGGCGGGGACACGCAAGTTAGTTTCCAACGTAAACAAACAGGACTCTGCAGAAATAAATGAGGTATGGTGAATTACCTGACTTGGGAAGTAAATTTCAATGGCCTTGATGCCGATATTTTGAGGACGGGTAGACATGATTGCGAGGGGCGGTGTACTTTTGAGGTTCGTTCTGATCTGAAGGTATCTGGATAATCCGATAGAGTTTCTGAAGCAAGCTTGTTGAACTTTTGTATGTACAAGTCAAGGAATTTGACGAGACTGAAGACAAAGATTGATGTTAGTATTGTTCGAAATTACCACTTTACAGAGAGAGAGTGTGTGCGAATTCAAAGAGAATAAAAAAATAAAAGAATTGTGTCCTCCAAAACAATAAATAAAAGGGGAAAAGCGAGAAAGAAATATCTTTTAATATTAATATTTTTTAATTCTTTTGGTTATCGGTATCATCCAAATAAATTCCAATTTCCCACTAGATGGCCGCCAACACAGCCCGATAATCGGTCGAAGGCCTAAAAGGTTATGATCCCATGTCCATTCACGCCATTCACGCCATTCACAGTAAAGTTTCCGTCAACAATTTACAACTAACGAGATTAAGAAAGACAATGAGTGGGTTGAGTTGGTTGAATTGGTTGAATTGGTTGATTTAACTTGGCGATTGGTATATACTATGTTATATGATATCTAGATTCGTCAATTTGGAGATTCATTCATTCATTCATTCATTCATTCATTCATTCATTCATTCATTCATTCATTCACTCATTCACTCATTCACTCATTCACTCATCCCTCAAAAGGACAAGGACTTTGAGTGTGAGGTGGTGTTTGTTCCGTGCAGACATTTGACAACGGATATGCTAAAGAAGATTGAACTCTTTGAACTAATGCGGACCCCTGAATTTCCATGGCAGGCCCATCTTGACTTTCCGATGCCATTGACATTATATAAGAACATCGGCCTCCGAGAAACGAGAGCGAGAAAAGAGAAGACTTGATATCATGAAATACCTGCATTACCGGCGATTGGAAATAAAAGAGCGAGTGAGATGGCAATTGGAGAGAAAAGTTTCAAGTTACCGCTGCAGCCGTTTGTGTTGCGTGAGAGAGAGAGAAAGGGACCAAATCATCAATGAGTTTGTGATACGGGATAATGGGACAGCTTATGCAGGAACGACGATCAAGTCAAGCCGAACTCGTGAAAGCTTACTTACTTACCATTTGAGATATGGCTGACAGATCATCAACTTTTCGCATCTCAGCTCAGATCCAATCATCAAATACGTCCTACTGCATTTCTATAAGAGGGAGAAAAAAGTAAACGTTTAGGTTAGCATCTATCATCTTCACCCCCAAGTCCTTTCCTCTTCAAGGTTCCGCGCATCAAAGCCAGAAGTTGTACAAGATCATGAATCCTCCTCGATGTAAGACTGTGCCACTGCGATGTAAATCAATCTCACTATTTACACGACCAAGTATGGATTGAGTGGAAAACTTTTCCCCGGCATCCGAGAGGATAGTTTCCACGGATTCCTGTACATTGGCTCGTCTTGGCATAAGGATCAAGAAGGTTTCTATTATCTGATTTATCTTTTTGATCAGATAAGATTTATCTTTTGATCTCGGATATTCTCCATAAAGGGTCCACATCCTCTCACTTCAAACAGGGTGTTTCTTTGCTATGTGTCATGATGTCAGAACTTATCGAAAGAATTCTTCAAAATGGTGTCAAGATGGATCTGAGAACCTTGAGGATGGGCTAAAGTGTTCATATAAATTACCTCACCATGGTGGGATATACGCACAGCCTGATCATTATCTCCAGATGATCTATCATTCAAGGCAAGCCGAGACTCGAGAACATCCATTCGATTCCATTCAAGGCAAGTCGACGCTTGGAAACTACAAGTTAACGCCATACACCTCGATACAGTATATATATTGCCTCACCCACGGGCTTTCCATCGGGAATTTGATGATATCGATGGATATGAAAGGAATATAGGCGACGATTTTCCATCCTTTTGATGCTAAAATCGAAAGACCATAAAACCTCCAGAAGAAGCTACTACGTAAAAGAAGGCGAGCACGGTACCAATCGCTCCTAGGAACCCAGGATCAGGGACTTTCAAGAAAAACAAAAACATGATCGACAAAGGAACATGTCTTCCCACATTTAAGTGAGTTTGGTATCAGGTACGCATCGGCAGCACGAATCAATAGCAAGTTGCAAATTCACTCAAATATACAATTTCCAAGTAGAGAGAAAATGGGTGAAAGCTTGAAATGATGGAATCTCATTGTCAAAATTTCTTTGGAGGTTTGGACGAATGTCGTTCGGTACCGTATCTCCAAAGTACAATGGGAAATATTCGTTTCACAGCAGAGTGGAGAAATATGAGGGGAGGGTTGACGGGAGATTTTGGCCCTCTAAACGGTTTGACCAGATGCCCAGGTCAAATGGGTCACTTCCATAATAGACAGGTATTTGAGTGATATTCCCAACTGGCACCTAACAAATTCCATATCGACTGCTGCGTCGAGGATAAATACACAAGCCCTTGTGACATAGTTCACATCAACTTCCGTTTCTACCCCGGCATCGGTACCAATTAAGCATCGCATTCGGGTTTCAGATTACAGTATCACTGTATCTGGACACATGCTTGAACTTCGGATTGAGGAAGGCGGGACGAGAGCCAAGTGCCAAGATGTTGCTCCCGACAACCATCCGTTGAACAAGAACGGAACGGGGCATCATGTTTGATCTTACATAGCGAGCGACCTGAGGAGCATTTTTGGGGGACCATATTACCACCTGGAATGTCAATGTTTCTTCTCTCTAGACCGGGGAATTTTTCAATATTGAATGGGTCGCTGAAAACAATGCGTGTGCACTATGCCGGAAATGTATCGAATGCTTCACGTGTGTCGGGTGATGTCCAGATATGTATGAGTTTACGGCAGTTGGCCTGCATGGTTCGATGCGAATAGTGGTGTGAGAAGATTTATCCCATGTTCAATTCTTGGATTGGTGTGGTTGGTGCGTTATCAAATACACGGGCATCGACACCGATGAGGCAGCTGGTCGAAAGATAATGCGAATGGATGAAAGAAAATTCTTTTCGTGCAAAAAACTTTTCAGTTCCATATCAGTAGACTATGGGGGAAATGGAGGATGAAGATACATGAGTACTCTTCTATTTCTGAAGCAGTAAAATGCGTGGTTGGATGAGACACCCTACCACCTCAGCCCCTTCATCGCCTCGTTGCTAGGACCCCAATCGCTAGCAAATTGTTGCTAGTCTTCAACAGAGTTATGAAAGATGAAGGGTGATACGAAGGTATCATTCCACTTAGTAGAGTAGACAAGTTCATATTGATTACTGATTGCATCAGAAACATTACACCATACTGAGAGCCCCTCTCGCGTTCCTTGTAAAGCCATGCCAGTCTCACAGCCAAAAACTCTATATCTATGCCCATAGATATCCCGATTTGTGTCGATGGTATTCCGAATTGAGGCCTCCATCTTCCATCCAGAAATGCTGGGGCGTAAGCAAAAGTCAGTATATGAAATTCAATTCAATTCAATCCAATTCAATTGGATTTATACATCTCAATGTTTGAGTATGGAAAGGCTGTCAACTGGTCGGCGAGACGGAATAGCTCCAGAGATCAGTCTGATTGGAATTCCATATGGTACTAATCATAGACCTTGCATACGTAACAATATATTGGTGTGAAGAACGGACCTATCTCCCAAGCCAGTCAATTCGATAATCAGTCATTATGACTTCGTCATCGGGCATTTTTGGATTTGACTGAAAACTTTCTAGAGACCCGTAGCATACCCACCCCGTCTTAACAGTGTCAGTCAGTGATGGAATGCAGCCAGAATAGAATGTCTCGTTCGAACCGGGGTAAAGAAAGGAAGAATCGGAAGAATCAATAACAGGAATCTTTTATCCTCTAAAATACTTCAAGTATGTACAATTCGCCGTGAATTAGATGCATTTATAAAAGATGAATGCCTCAACTGTATCAATAAGTCTGACGGGAGAAATGCAGTCCAGTGGGTGACTGACTGTACTATGAACGATGCCACCTTCCCATGCAGGTGTCTAATATTCTGATGATTGACAAGTCTTTTTTCATTTTCGCATTTGCATTTTACTCTTATGTGTACTTTCTTGGTACCAAGTTTTCATCTTAGCTTTTATAACCAACTCCCTAGGTAGGCAGGTGCAGGCAGAGGTAGAGGCAGGGTAATAGAAACGACAGACACAACACACACTTGAAGCATATGGATGAAGCATCTCTCTGAATGAAGAATGCTCGCTCCATGATTAAACAGTTAGTTTTTTAATGTCTAATAATAATAATAATATAGATCGACAAGAGCATCAGGGACAAGAGGAACAAGAGGGACAAGAGGAACAAAGAGGAACCATTCGAAATGAATACACTGGCACTAACAAATAACTCCCAGGTTTATTACTCCGTGCAGACAAAATAGAGTAACGGCATAAGCATTTTCATTTCTTGAGCCACTCTTAAACCAATTAACCAATCAGCCAATCAGTTAGTCATCCAATCAACCAATCAGCCAATCATCCCAATCATGAACTTGGCGCACTTGGCGATCTTCTTCTCAACTGGTCCAACAACATGAAGCAGCTTTCTCTCAAACACTCTCTCCTGGAAAAATACCTTCAAACCCCCCAATTTTCGTGTACTACACCAAAGGAAATCCATTCTTACAAACCTCCCACCCCCAAAATCCACACTCATTTTACTCCCAAATCACAAATTCATTAAATATTCCATTCCATGTTATTTTGATCATCATCTCATATCAACGCGCGAATAACGACAGTTGCATCGACAGACACATCGACATCGACATCAACTTTGATAACAACAACGACGACCACCATCGAAAACGAGAATACATCGATATCTTCTCTTACCTTTCATGAATAATCGATCAATTATATAGCATTCCACTTACTGCAGGAGGTACCATTTAGAAGCTGTACTTACGGACTTGGATTGAGGCGTGGGTCGTGAGAGTGTTGAACACTCGGGAGTGCGCGGACATCCGAGGTCTCAATAGGCGCTCACTCTCACTCGATCGAAAAAATGGGTGAATCCGACCATCCTTCGCATTTCGAACATAATAGAAGGGGGTCTCAAGGGTCGACGCGATTGTCAATACAAATGCAGGACGAAGATGAAGATGATTATGCTTTGGCAGCCTTGGGAATTTCAAATGGTGGTGGTTACAGACCATCGGACTCAAATCAATATACCTACACTCCGCCATCACCACGACCTCAACCACCACAGCAAGAACAACCTCAGAGCCAATTACTACCCTTAGAAAGGAGAAGAGCATCAACACCACCACCACGACCATCGAGTACAACAAAACCAAAGGGCATTGATTCGTTCGCCTTACGGCATGATGGTGGAATGGGTGAAATGTCAAGGGGTCCGACGTTCTGGTCCCAAGGGCAAAATGGTTATGGTAATGGTAATGGAAGTGGATTGACAAGGTCATCTACCGTATCAAGTTTGTCAAGCGTATCAAGCGAATCAACAATGATGAGACCGGAGAGCCCATACCGAGGACCTACGGGACCATCGCATCCATATAATATGTATAATCAAGAATCTCGATTAGCAAGAACAGCGAGTATAGCAACAACTTCAACGACCCCGGCACCACCACAAGAAATGTTGTACACAGGTCCAAGTGGACCAACACATCCTTATGGCATGTACCCGCAGAGTACAGTTCCAGGTGATTCTGATCATTTGCCCATTGCACCTATTCCGGTTGGTTTCCCTGGCCTTAACAATGATTATCAACGAAGATTAGGTCCGGAAGGTGAGGAGGCAGCGGATCTCATTGGGCCTGATGGACACACGGAACAACTGCCACCTTATACCAAATACCCAGATGAGGCGTTTGCTAGGAAATCACGTCCCGCATCTATAACTACATCTGTACCTGTACCTACAATACAAATGCCAGCTCCTATTATTCCCATATCTGGTGCTGGAGGTATGGGACTAGCGACCCGAAATCCAGAGTTTGCATCACAAGAAGATCTTCACTCATCTCGTTCGCGCCAATCAACCAGGAGTGTCATGTCAGATCGAAGCTCACATCACAGCAATAACGCCGAAATGGAATATTCCGAAAAGCCCCCTTTGAAGAAATGGCAGATTGCTGCCAAAAGAAAATTATGTGGCATCGTTCCTTTATGGGTTGTCGTTTTAATAGCATTCGTCTTCATTCTTTTTGGCATCGTGCTAGGAACCGTTTTTGCCATTCTGAGGCCAAGACATAATAATGACACCCCTAACAACCAACCGTCTAATGATCAGTCAGTCTTCGTCAACTAACACCTTTGAAAGGTTGCTAACCTTTGATATAGAACAAGCCAAACCACAGTATATGCTACCATGACCACCACATTCGATGCAACTCCACTCTCTACGGTGCCTGCTTCACTCCCATCACTTCCAACCGGAACTTACAACATGCCTCTCACCGTTCCCTCAACTGCTCAAAGTGGTTGCATCATGAACACCGCCCAAAACTCGGCCTGGAGTTGCTCTATCCCAATGACACCCCTTGAAATGTCTATAGTAGATATTCCAGGAGGAAGTGCACTCGCCAATAAGGAAATTATGATGAACTATGGCAACTCATCGTTAAACTTCTATCCATATGGCGCTCAACCACCGATTTTATCCACTGCTCAAGTGCTCTCTCTCGTCAATGATTCACAATATCCTAGTCGAGGCCCAGCTTGGTTTTTCCAAATGTCATACAACAAGGTAGTTGTGTTACCACAGAAGTCTCTTTCAACAACTATGAAGCGTGGCCAGTCCGCTGCCGGTTTCATGAATCACAAAGGCGTAGCTCAAGCGGGAGATCAACCTTGGTTTTGTTATTGGAATGGAACTATTTTAGAGGCTTTCATTTATGTCAACGAAACTAGCAGCGGAGCAGGTTCTACTACCTCTAGTGGCTCATCTAGAGGTAATGGTGGTGGATATGGAACGAACATACATTCATCGGACGTACCTTCTTCGACTACCCAAGCTCAATCACAAAGTTCTTCTTCATCTTCATCTGGATCTTCACAAAATAATCCCCAATTCTTGCCGCAGTACCCAAAAGTCTATAAAGTCGCCGAACGTCGTGTCCCTAGAGGTGGTCAAACTGTTCCAGCCTACTGTGTAGCTCATCAAATTTTATGGGACGGTAATGCTGCACCTTTAATGAACTCAACTGGTCAGCCAATTACTATATATTTGAACGAGACGCAACCTACAACTTTATCGCCTCTACAATCACGTAGTCTTGTCCCGGATCTCCTTGAACGAGATGTAGTACAGCGAGATGGTGATGAGAGTTGTGGATGTGTATGGCTCGAATCTTGAAACTTGATTTAGCTTGAATTTTTCACTTTGAATCATCTTGAAATAATGGGCGTACTTGGAGATTTTTGGGTATTTGGGAGTTTCAAATGGGAAAGGAGATCTGTTATATATTGGACCTGATTAATATCATGGCGTTTTAGAGGTGGATGTGCATAGCAAGCCTACTTGACTTTTTGGTCTTTTTATGGAGCAACGGAATTGGGTCTAGGGATCGGCGTTGGTCTTGGGTTTTGTTAGACATTATATGTTGTGGCTAGTTTATTTTTTACCTTCCTTTTTGGAATGGAGTGTTTAAAAAGGAGGAAGGTATCTGTATGAATGAAGGATAGTCGTCGGAAATTTTATGAGGAGAGAAATGGATGGATGGATGGATGAATACGAAGGTTTAAGATAAGATAGGTTTTTTTAAGACGGGGAGGAGGGAGAGTAAGGAGGGGAGAAAGGAAAGGCCTAGGATGACATTTTTTGGATGAACAGCTTTTGATAGCAATTTGAAATCAACGATAGATAATTGATTGAAATGATATTGGAGAATCGAATCAAGTTTAGGATAGGAGTCTATTGATTAAGAATTATTGAATTGAATTGATTCCAAACGAACATGTCGTGTTATGTTCAAGTCGATGGCCGTCCTTGCTAAATTTAGGTGAGCTGCAGAAACATATATGGCTACGTGCTACCCGTTTGATATAGTACCATTTAGGTTTAATTCCCAACACCGGCTTCCTGGTGGAATGGTATTTACTCGTTTCCCATTTCGTAGAGTTTACTCTACGGGATGGACAAATGCAAAATATCAAGATGAAGATAAATACATTCATATATAATATAATCTAAACACAACACCTTCTTCCAACACTCCAATCTCTAATCTCCAACCTTTATAATCTCAAAACCATACATGTATATACCTTCGGAGCATCGATCTATAAGTCATTATAATTCTTAATCACTTCTTGAAAGGTAAGGAAGAGGGGATATTATATTATATTAATATCAATATTAGAGTATGCTTTCTTTTTATTCCTTCGATTAATTATTAGCTAATTAGCTTTGTGTATAAAGAAGATGTAATATAGAAGTAGCGAAGAGGAGTATAGAAAAAGAGGAAAGAAGTATTCCCAAAAAAGAAAGAGTATAATGGAGATGGAGATGGAAATGTTGAGGTATTGTATTGTATTGTATTGTATTATAGACTAGGGAAGAGAGAGGAAGAGGGAGATGGAGAGAGACACGTGGTTTCTAGTTGTGGTATTTATATAGAAGTCAAAGATTGTTCTACGGAGTAAGGAGTGTGTACGTGTTGGGATATTTTTATTTGCCTTGAGTATAAATCAGAACGGATATAATGGATATAATTTATCCGTATAGTGTACTAGAATGAGATCACATATTCATACTTCTAATATCATTTAGATTCGAAGGGTGTGATTTAAGTTATCTGTCTTCTACGTCCTATTCATCCAATATCTAATATCCATATAAACACGCCACGCCACGCCACACCACACCACACGCAGACGCGGACGCACACCACACCCCTCTTCCCCTATTCCCCAAACACACCCAAACCCATATCTACCACTTTATTCATTCATCCACCCATCAAATAACCATCATTCTCATGTTCAATTTCAGTCTCCAAACTCCATATCAAAAATGCATTCAGTGAAACCAACCAACAAGTCAACCATCCCAACGCCTCTGCTAAAGCTATTTATGCATTTAAATCCCCAAATAAAACATCGATGATTTCATCTAATAGCGTAAACGCTAGATGTGCACTATACTTCTATTAGTTTCGTTTCATCACTGCCGCCTCTTCCCTTCCCCAACCGTAGCCCACCTACCGCTGACAATCGCCATTCCCTCTACCAGACAAAATATGAAGAAAAGAAAAGAACTCACTTCAACCTCGGATTATTAAACGTAGCGAAGATCCTTCTACTGGCTGCCTGAGCATTAACTCTCCCCACCACGCTTCCCGCCAATTCCGGTATCAACGTAGCGAGCATCAGACTCGCTTCCTTTCTACTCTTACTCTTCTCGCCCATTGTCCTAACTTTACCATTCACTTTCCTCTGTCCTCCAGGCCACATTGATTCCTTTAATATCGATATATACTTCATCAACATATCATCCTGTACAAGGCCCTTTACATTTTCACGGACTTTCCTTTCGATTGTTCCACCTAGGAGTTGATGAAGAACGACAACGACTGCACGACCACGTAACCAGTTATTTCCACGATTGAGTTCAAAGACTTCGAGAAAGATATCGCAAATAGGTTTTACGAAGGGTTCGAGTTCGCGGTCCTCAAATGCATTGAGTTCGGCTTCTGCTTCGGCTGCTGTTAGGGGATCTTCGCTAATTGTCCCGGGCATGGTAATGAGTTGATTAGTAGCTGCTGATAAAAGGTTTTGTCCTGCGACCGAAAGTTGATCTAGGACTGGAATATTTCCAAGGATATCTTCCATCCCATCTGTTACTGAGTTGTAAAACCTTGTTATGATATCTTTCTTATTGTCGATAGCATCCGTGTCTTCTAAGTCTGGAGCGAGAGCACTTTGTGAAAGAAATGCACGCAATTCTCGACTTCGACATACATCTGGCAGCAGAAGAATTTCTCGAAGATATTTCTCTAATGCCACACGTCGCTTTTGAAGAAAATCACCTTGCAATTTCATAACCATTCGTCTACGAGGGAAATCAAGATGTCCTACTGATGGATACTTGATTCTTAATCGTTGATGAAGTTCATGAAATTCACTGTAGCGACGAGTAATTGTCCAAGTAGCGGCCGGCATTTGTTCTCCAGCCTTTCTTTGCACTTCGATAACATAAACGGCGTACTCTCGGCCATCATCCTCTTTTCCAACCATGATTGACTTGATTTTGATTGTTGAACGTCCGTAAAGACTATTATCACTCTCTTGAATGACATATTGCTGCCTCTGGAGTTCCTTACGACGAATCTCTCGCTCTAGACTAGCTTTAGACTTCCGGAGAATTCTAAGCTCGGCTGTATTGTTGGTGAGTTCTGCTTTCCTTGTTAGTGAATCTACGACAGCATCTTGAGCTATAAGTCGATCAATATCAGTGGTAAGAATCGTGATAGCCTCTGCTAGACCTAAATCTCCAGGAGCTGCTTCATGAACTTCATCTTGAGTATCCTCATCCTCATCTTTCTCGGGATCGTCATGTTCGTCAGAAAGAAATTTTTCTTCATCCCCAAATAAATCGTTATCGGTGAAAACACCAATTCTAGATGAAGTATTTACAAGGCCGAGAGATGCTATGCTTGGCTTTTCCGTTCGTTCATGTCTGTCTACCCCCTTCCCATTCTCAAATCCAAATAGATCGGCGCGCTTATGATCACTTGAGCTCCTGTTTGAGATGTCGTTTGATGTAGAGTTAAGACTTGGAACTGACGAGTCTAAAATGTCATTGGGACCGAAAAGTGAGCTTCGAAGGTCATCAATGTCCGGATTATCTTCCATAATGGTATTCAGGGCTGCTTCCATGGCTTGCACAACGTTGTTATCTGGTACAATTACTCCAGGCTCCTGATCAAGGCTCATGATTGAGTTTGCCATTGCATCGCTATCCAAATCTTCTTCGTCAAATAGAGGAGCATCTTCATCCAGAGAACCCCGAGAATTTGACATTTGGTCTGGTTGGTGAGTGGTCAAATCGGTGAAAGACATGGCAGTCCTTCGCAAATCCGCTCTCTTAGGAACCAGCTTTGATGAAACTCTCGAGAAAGAAGGCGATCGTGTGTTGACTGTCATGGTACTGTTTGCCCTAGGAACTATCGCAGGTTTTCGCATTGTATTTTCCATGTTAAGGGACGGTGCAGGGGAAGGCTGCCTCTCCTTCGCGGCTTCCTGAGATGTAAGACACTTGTAGAAAAGATCTGATCTTTTGAAATGTGGGAAAAATTTGTCTTGCATTACTTCAAGTGCAGAAGTTTGAGCGCGTAAGATAGCTCTTCTAGCCATGAAGTATTGCTTTGAGGTTGCCTTGTTTCCAGCCTTGAGAAATTCCTGGACAATTTGCCTCGATGTCTCTGGAACTTTAAGTTCTGGTTTGGAAAGATACGCATCATTTATTTGGGCAAGATCCGTTCTATCAGCGTCGGTCCAAGGAGCAATAGTAGTAGGAACTTCATCGTCTTCTGCACCATCATCTTCAAGAGGATTTCGAAATCCATCGACCACAATCCAAAACTGTACGAGAGACATACAGTTCTGTCTATCCATGTATTCCATGAAGTATGAAAGACCAGAGGGATCATGTAGAAGATCCACAAGTGAAGCATTTTCGAGCTTCGAAGCTTGAACGCCATTACGACCCGGTTGCGACACTTGAGCTCCACGACCACCTGTGGCAGCCAATTGATTAACCCTTTCATCCAAAACCCTTTTTCCAATGTCAAGTCGTCGCAAGTATACCGGATCTTGTCCTTCCTTCAGAGCATCTCTCTTAAACTGACTAGATACCTCACTTCGAAATCTTCTGGCATCTGATAAATTGTTGGTCTTCCGAATAGCACGAATAAATTTTTCAAACCTCCTTTCGTGATCCCCGGGAGAAAGTCTTGGAAACTGTGCTGCGCGCTTTGATTTAGGAGCAGGTGATGCATGCTCATCTAGAGCAGCTCGCAGTTTTCGTACCGTCGACCTATCCTGAAGCATGGAACGACCCTATACCATGTTAGCGCAACCGTGAACCGTGAGATTGAGTAATCCGGAGTACATACATATGCTTCCATTATCTGATTCCACATATCCGGATCAGAAAGCATCTGCATAATGGGAAAAAGGACTGCACAAGCCAACAATTCCCTGATCAAAACACCCACTGCACGACTCCCGATAGCACTCTCCGGTAGAATTTCTGGCAGTAGCTTTTGTGTCAGATTCCGCAGATATTCCTGTTGCACCAGCTTCAGATCTGAATACGCCAAAGATGCAGCAGGATGTAGCTTCCCATCATTGTATTTTGCGGCAATCGCAAGGTCCAGCTCGTCAGATTCCGTAACACTCCGATTTAAATTCTTGCCTCTGATAGCAACCTCTGCATTATAAAACTCCTTGAAATGTCCTGTCAAAATAGGAACAAAACGAGTGGTGACAACCTCCACTAAATCTATAGCTAGGAATCGCTCACGCAGATTGACAAGAGCCAACCTTATCGTCTTGTCGACCGAATTGGTAAATGTCGGATTCTTGCTAATACTTCCATACCACGATGCCACGAAATCGCGAAGTATCAGGTCTAACAAATCGTCGAGGGCGCATGATACTACGAACGAGTCGGGAACCAACGGCTTTCGGATGTGAATTTGTCGTGTGCGTAACGCAGCTATCTCCTTCTTCCATCTCGTCGCTGCCAGAAATGCAGGTCCTTTTGGTCGACGGACAATTCGTTCTTCCGCATATTGGGAACCTCTAGATGTGAGAAGTAGCAAAGCTATGAGCCCCACGACGGGTACGATAAGTCCTGCGACAAATGCATATCCAACCCAGCGTAACGTTGGGATCCAATTGGTAGCGAATCCCCATGCAAAAAATACGGCGATACCAGCTAGGATCACATCTCGACGACTCAAGGCCATAATCTATGAAGGGCGAATGTTTTTATGAACAGCATTTTTGGGTGGAAACTTTTTGGAGGAGCTCTGCCAGATTGTCAGAGGTCACCAATGGCTGCTGGTTCGTTGGTTGTAGCTTTCGGCTTTCAGGGATTTCGCGTAATCTTTCCACTTTACACTTTTATATGCAATAAATGCAATAACCTACTTGTCTGTACCAAGGTAGGTAGTGATGGATGATGGACGGGACGAGTCATGGCCGATGCTTAGAAGAATAACATACTGATCCTCCTCACAGTGAGGAAATAGGTAGTGGCTTGTGAATGAGAATGAGGATACAAGTATACGATTTTCTAATTAGTTATTTATTCATTTGGGTTCTCTAGATTGACACTACTTCAACCCATCGCAATTCTTGTCAAGAATGAAATATCATAAATGACATCATTTTTATATAATTGGTACCTCTCCCACACCCCTCTTATACACACCAATGCTCTTTTACCCAGGATCTTTTAACAAGGCTCTTTTACCACGGAGGATCCTCCAAACGCTTGAATAAAGCAACGTATTTTGGTCCATTATTTCTGGTTACTTTCTTCCCCTCCTCAGTCTCCGTCCTCATTATATCGACACATTCATCCGCCTCTTGTTCCTCTTCCGAAACTCGCTCGAAGGTAGGATGCGCATTGAAATGTGTAACCATCCAATTATGCAGATCTTCAACATCCGTGATAGTGTATATGATTCCCCCTGGTCGAACTACGTAGGCATACTCGGCAGCTAACGTGGTTGAGACAATTCTGGCCTTGTGCTTTCGAGCCTTGAAATGAGGATCTGGAAAGCAAAGAAAAATCTTGGCGAGTTGGTGCTTCTTGAAGAAATTTGGCATAAACTTCATGGTATTGGCTCGTATGCATGAAGCATTCTGAAATAGACCGGTTTCCTTTTCTTGAACCCTCAGAGCCCTGATTCGTTCTTGTACATATTCCGTAACTTGTGCTCGAATTTCCATTCCTGGCGAAGAAAGTTAGAATTGCGCGAACTTACTATGTGACAAAAAGACTCGTACCGAGAATTAAAGAATTTGGCAATTTGGGAGCCAAAGCTACTGTCAAACCACCAAACCCGCAACCAATATCTGCAACCTCAACATCTTGCTCCATCTTCTTCAAATTGCTAGATTCCAAACCTGCCGCGGTTTCTTCAATTCCTTCGGAAGCTATTGGCGACTCTGCGTAGGCGGGGTAGTGTGAAGCCCAATCCATCTGGGCTGGGGAAGCAGGACTAATACCAGTCAATGAATCTCCATCAGATCGACAATTGGAAGTGTACGTACTATGCTAAACGATGATCTGAGAAAGGATTGGCATGCGCTCTCTGCCTGTAAAATTTCTTCTTTGGCAACTCTTTACTCTCCTCACCATTCTCTCTCGCAGTCCTATAATCCTCCCTCTTTTGCTTTTTATTTGGTGGGCCTGCCATCTTGATTGCAGAACTTCCAGAGCTTCTCGACAGTCAACGATATTCTCCTTGATATAGTGGAAAAATAATTGTTTGAAAGGATGGTAGAATACTGATGTGGTGTAAACGAGGCTTAAGCGGAAAGCTCGAGGCTGAACCTTTTTCTTTTTTTGCACATAATCCGAATGCGCAAGATAAAATTTTAGTGGGCGGGTTCTTTCTATTTTAGTACTGTTTAGTGATAATGGGCCGTGAATTTAAGGATTTTGCTCCTTCCCAACCCTTGTAAAGCACTAAAACGGAGCAATAATTGATAATCGTCATCCTGAGCTGCGCAGTTTGATTGCGATAACAATTCATCCCCATATTCATCCCCACGATATGATATTTTTAAGGGCGGCCTCAGTATATTACAAGACCCTCTTTGAATTGTCGTTGGAACTCTTCTCCATTTGGAATGAAATCAGCATTCGTTATTAACACAGTTAGTTGAATTCAGCCCTTGGCTAGAGGTTGCTATACTTGTTTGTGCAACGATAGCAATATTTCAGGTATGTTGCTTGTGCCATAAGCATTAAGTTTTTGGGCCATTCATCATTCTTCACTTCCTACTATCACTTTCCGTCCATTCCTGTCATATCCCCCATACGTCAATATGATAAAGGTCACATCTCCGAATTCTGTTCAACATTTACCAATGTCAATGTGATTCAAGGGGTTCATAGTTCGCGACTACATCTCTGCCAACAACAAGCATTTCCTGCAACTTAAGAAGAAGGGAATCACAGACAGTTTCTCAACATTCTAGGTCAATCACCCTTCGACACCATCAAAGGACTTTTCGATTCTACCTAGTAGTTTGTTGGCATTCTACTCATAAACATGTCGTGGTTTTCCATTCTTCCTGAAAGTCTGGCGTTTGTTGAAATTTGGGCTATGAATACGTTTGTATGTACACGTCCCATTCCGGGGCACCGAAGTTAATCTTTTACCATAGTTTCTACTGGGCATGATATGCATAGGTCCTTGGCTGTTACTCCTTGTGTATGACGTGGTTTTCTACATATTCCGCTTGATAACTTACGAAATACCCTATGTTGGTGGACGAGCGAGGAATAGACCACGACCGCGTGCGCCAAGCTTGAATGAACGACCGAATGGGCAAGGACGACCGCGGATTTTGACAATGCCTTCAGCAAATGGTTCTATCAATGTGGCAGAGGTGATAGAGGAAACAGCCGAAGGAGTGAAGAAGAGAATGGAACAAGCAGGTCAGCCACGAAAGGACAGCGGCGCGATTATAGACGATTGAAGCAGCACAAAACTTTTATAGTATTATAGCAATTATTCAAGAAAGCCTTTCGAGGACCTTGATCAGATCACCTGTGACACCCATTGCCGTCACGTCTCCTCCAGCACCAGCTCCCTGAATGATCAAGGGATTGGACCCATATCGTTTTGTGTAGAAGCTGATGATGTTATCGCTTCCTTTAAGTGCAGCGATTGGGTGTGATCTGTCGAATTTCTCCAAACCCACCTTCACCTCCTTCTTTGCTACATCAATACTTCCAACAAATCGCACAACCTTACCCTCCTTCTCGGCAGCGATCTTTGTTTCTTCCATCTGAGAATCAAACTCGGGCAACTTCTGAAGGAATTCCTCTCCACTTGAAACGCTCTCCAATTGTTTGGGGATTAAACTTTGAACCGGGAATGAAGTAGGAGATTCAACCTCAAGCCCTGCTAATCTTGCCAAAATTGTCAATTTTCTGGCAACATCGAGACCGTTCAAATCGTCTCTTGGATCCGGTTCAGTATAGCCCAATTCTTTTGCCTTTGCGACCTCCGCGGACCATTTTCCTCCTGAACCTTCAGTGGGAGCAAACGAATTGAACAAGAATGACATTGTGCCGCTGAAGACACCCTCGATTTTGGTGACAGAGTCACCGGTGTCGACCAATTCTTTCAAAGTAGAAATAACGGGTAATCCAGCACCGACTGAGCTTTCATGATAGACCTTAGCCCCGGATGATGAAGCTGCGGAGAAGATATCCTGCCATAACTTATATGATCCAGAGAATGCCTTCTTGTTGGGAGTGACTATCGAGATTCCTTTTGACAAAACTTGCGGGTATGCATCTGCTACATCTTGCGAACTTGTGTTGTCGACAAGTACGACCTTTGCAGGTGCAGCTGCTAAGTATTCGATGATCTTTGGTATAGAGAGGGGTTCTTGTGTGGAGTCTGCGAGTGTGGTTGAGAGGTTGGAATATGAGAGAGGAGTATATTTTGGGCTGTAGAGAACTTTCTTGCTCCTTGACACGAAGATTAGGGATATCTTGGATGAAGTGTATCGTTGAGAAAGAGCTTCAAGTTGAGATAGAAAGCATTTTCCTACACCACCAGCACCTAATAATGAATCAGTATTGGAGCTCCTATAAAAATCTTAGAAGTTAGAGCTTCATACCAATAACGGCGACGTAAATTTCCTTGGCTACCATGTTGACTTGAGTTGTGGGTTGAGATTTAAAATCAATTGATTTGATTGTAAGAATTCTGTCCGAGTAATTGTTCTGCTCGTACGTACTCTAGGAATCAAGATGTTCGTGAATTAAATGATCAATTATAGAATGTTGGTGGGGTTGTCTCTATGCACAATAGGTACGGAGTAATCCGATCTCGCACACGTTGATGCCCCTCCTTGTTATATCCACTCTAACCTTACTCGTTGTCATTGGTTAGTCCCGGAAAGACGAGGCCAGACTTTTGAGCTAGGTTATCCAGATTCCATTCCCTCAGCCTTACGAGCACATGAGATTTATATCAAATCGACGATCGCATCTTCCAGCTCTTCTTCTACCACAACAATAATAAAAATATAACAAAATGTCACACGATCCGAATAATCTCTACAATTTCAAAAAACCAAAACTCCACGACTCATCAACAAAAGAATTATCCTCGTCCACAAATCTAGCATTTAGCTCAACCCTCTCCTCACTCCTCACCTCCAACACGTCCTCATCAACAACCACTCGCGGACGTCCTCGACCCTCAAAAACCAAAGAAGATATCTTCAAAACTCATAATAAGGGAGCTAAAAAACGGTCTGCGAAGGATCTAGAAGGTGACGAAAATGGATACACACAAATACATAAAACCGGCGAAGGAATAGATGAGAATACACTTCATCGAAGTAAAAAACGACTTGCTGAAAAAGCAAAAATATACTCCCGTCTAAAACGCGGTGATCATGATAAATTCGACGAAAATGGAAATCCAGAAGGAGAAGGACTCGTAGACTTTGATCGAAAATGGGTTGAAGAAGGAGAAAAAGATGACGAAGGAAACTATAGCGATGATTCATTTGGCGCCGGCGGCGCAGACTCGGACACAGAACTCGTCGAATACGAAGATGAATACGGACGGGTACGTCAAGTGACGAAATCCGAAGCACGCCGTCTAGAACGTCGCAGAAATAAACAACTCCTCGGCGCAGAAGAACTAGAGCGTATGTCCGCTCGCCCATCAATGCCAAACCAACTCATCTACGGCGATACAATCCAATCAGATGCTTTTACGAGCGCATTAGATGTGGAGACGGAAAATAAGATGGAAGAGCTGGCGAGGAAAAGAGATAGGAGTGCGACGCCACCGGAACAGAAACACTATGAGGCGGATAAGGAGGTTAGGAGTAAGGGCCAGGGATTCTATAGTTTTTCGAAGGATGAGGCGTTGAGGAAGGAGGAAATGGAAAATTTGGAGAAGATGAGGAGGGAGACGGAATGGGGAAGGAAGGAACGGGAGGAAGCGAAGGAGAAGAGGAGGAAAGAGGTTGAAGGAAGGAGAAGGGTGCTGGGGGAGAAGAGGGCGAAGAAGCAGGCAGATGCTTTTCTGGAAGGGTTGGGTGATGCACCTGGGCCGATGGAGGAAAAGGAGTGAACCGTTGGGCAAGGTGGAGTTTCAAGATACCATACAGATACTTGGCCATTTGATAGGACGAATGAGCCATTGAAAACTGAGCACTCCATTTAGATAACCACAGAGGCAGGAAGATAGGAATTATGATACCCAGAGTAGATTAACATGTGATTCACAAATACTGTAGCTCTCCAAAAACAAAATTACTACATCAATCGAGATCTATAATGTGACGAAGAGCCGACATATCGCTTTACAAATACCAAAAAAATCACCATTTGGAACAAAAAATCATGATATACGTATCTCATAAGCTAAAGTACAACCCTTTCTACATTACACATCAATATCAAGCTCCCAAGATCCAACCCGTCTGCAAAGAACATCGTTTCTTTTGTATGGTGCTTTGTCAGACCAAAAACTAAAAAGGTATATGAGTACATCGCATCTATTCCCTCAAGCGCCAGCAATAACATTGATCAAATGAAGTCTTTTGACCTCAGATACTACCGCTTTAGCAAGTACTTTTTATCCCACTTAATTTGTTGAGACATAGCAATATCTAACAACCATTCGACCTTGACGATTCTTGGCTCCATATTTCCCGCCTTGGCCATTTCTTCGAATTTAGAGTAGAGAGCTTGCTCGGATTTTTTGTCGCTGCTGATTAAGTAGACGGGTTCAGGAGGTCCATCATCATCTTCTGGTCTGGTGGGTTTAATCGTTGGGCGTCCTTTATACACGCCGAAAGTAGCTCCGTTGACTTCTGCAATATCCTTGTAAGTTTCGACCCCATTGTCGATGTCTGTAGTACAATATATTGGAACTGTATTTAGGAGTCGACCTTTGTTAACTTTAGCTCGGCTCAAAGCATCCTTCAACTTGATTTTATGCTTCTTCTCGTTTTCTGTATCCTCTAATGGAAAGTCTTCAACATCCAACTTCTTCCCTGCCTTGATACAAGCCTCGATGTATTTATCTGATACAACGGTAGGTCCATGTGCAAGACCAACGAGGAATTTCCTAGTTCGAACCATTTTGGGAGCAGCCATAATGTCGACTTTGCCATAATTATTCCACACGGCAATACCAAGGTTACGTAGCTTTTTCTGTTGATTGTTAGAACAACGGCGACCAAGTAGATAGGCCAACTTACAGTATCTGTTTCCTCCTTAGATGCCTCCGTGGCCCAAACCTTGTAACCAGTAATAAGCATACGAACTTGGACCTCTGGTTTTATCATAGTTTTTGCCCTTTTTTGTGGACGAACATCAGTCTCCTCACTCTCACTGTCACTTTCCTCTTCATCCTGTTGGTGTTTTACAACTGGACTCGAGTTGCGTTGTAACTCTCGCTCCTTCTCAATCCTATTGGCCGCTCGATCACCACCGAAGACGTGCCCTTTTCTTTTCTTTTCCAATTCGTACTGGGCAATATCAGGAGCAAGATGATGAAGGGCATGTATTGCTTTGTCTTTAGCACTTCGGCTGCTAGTCGACGAAGGGGTATCATTTTCTTTGCCCAAGGATGTGCGCTTCTTACCGGCAGGTGTCGAAAGAACATTTGTAGAGTTTGTAGAGTTTGTAGAAGTTCGTTTGCTTTTGGCTTTGGGTTTCGGAGGAGGCGCAATTACTCCTGCTTCCTCACCTTCAGTTTCCCCGTCCATGTCGTGATCTTCATCTCGGTCTTGAATTGTCAAATTCTTCATTTTCGGGGGCTTTGGACTGTTTGGACCAGGAGTTAGATCCCTAGGATAGTATTTTTTCTCCAGAGCCTTTAGGTCAAACTGAGTTTGGCCAATAACCTCACCAAGATTTGTTCTTGGAGGAAAGTGGATATAACGAGGATCAGTCAATTTTTGAACCTCGCACTTGGCATAACTTTCTTCAAGCCAAAGATGATTTACCATATCAATATTCCATTCGGCGGCAGCATTGCACTTTTCACTCGTCTTTCGAGCCGTGATAAGATGTGTGTTATCCTGCTTCATGCTTTTTGTGAACTCCCCACCAGCAGCATTTACCAGGTTCTCAAGGTAGATACGTGCCTCTCCACCATAATTGGAGAGAGTTATCTTATACCTTTCGAAACCCGGTAGCCCTCCTTTCGGCATAGGATAATGAAGAAGCCTCCTAGTCGGATTTGTCCATGTGTTGTGGGCAATCAAGTAGTAAAGCCAAGAGAGATTACCCACATGGGTTGAAGCTGATCGGGAGGCTATGACATAATTCCTACCCTCTCGGTAATTACAGACAAAGATATCAGCCTGACGTACTGAGATTGTCATTGTGCCTTTCCCATGCTCGATAAGACGTGAAAGCAATCCGGTAAGTCGGCTTCCAAGGTCCAGGTCTTTAGACAACATTACTTTTTTCCCTTTGAACACATCAAGATCACGTTGTATAGGAGAAGCTGTTGGGGTCTCGAGCATATCAGGATGCGCCGCAGTAGCACCTGTAAGTCCTGTGGAGGGAGGTATTGGCAGATTATCTTCGGGATGCACGTGAAAGATTTCAGGATTCGGGAGCAAATATGGCCGTTCGTCTATGCGTCTTCCTAATTTCAAGCAGTCATCGAACCTATTTTCGATTAGTTGAGAAAATGTGCAAAGTGGTAACACTCACCACTGTGGAAGCACAATTTTGCACTTCATATTTTTCTCCTTGGCCGTCTGACATTTGGGATGATCCATGCTAAGGGCGCAAATGTGCGTTACCAATTTGGTCAAGCTATTGCTCTCCATTCCACCCATAGCGCATGTCGCACCAATTATCGCAACTTTATCACCTTGTGGGATGTCTGCGCATGTAAGGTTGACATTGGAGAAGATAAGTCGTTCGTCGGGTGTGTAAGGGCGTATAGGAGCTTGTCTGCGTCTGCTGAGAGATTGTGTTACCCAACCGGGCGTAACAACTGGTACTAGCAAAAGGCTCGCCTCATTGTAAGATGCAAAGTCGGTTGTGGTAGAGACTATATGAGTGAACTCCTCTAACCTTATGCCATCGTCTCGGTTTTTAAATTCTGCTGAAGCTCCATTATCCTCAAGAATGTCTCTTAACTGCAAGTTTAAGTCAGTACGCGGACAGAACATTACAAGTTGTTGGAACAAGACAAACCTGTTCCGCCTGCGTGAGCGGAAGCTCTTTGCTCACAATGATAGTGATGTTGCAACTATCAAATATGGGAAGGGGAGCAGCGCCACCTTCGACTTCAGCCATCTTGAAATGCCAATCCACATGCACAGCAAGATTTGTGACAGATAGCAAAGTGCAGTAATTGAAAAATACCTTCCTAATAATTAACGATTGAAGTATGTTGTTGTGTATCTGTGTATTGTAAGATGCTATATTGTTGTTGTTGATTTCTTTTTATTCGATCTTCAAAATTGACAATCGCGGGACCTGATGCGCGTTTCTAGAAATCACGCTAAAACGACAGGGGTAAATTGATTGCTTTTGACGCCCAATCACGTGTGAGCTTGAACTTTACTTTTTCTTTAGTTTACTTCACTTCACGTCACTCAACTCATTCCACAGTAAAAACATAAATATAACCTCCGATATGTAAACCCGGTGACCTTGATTCTAGGAAATCAAAGTCTTGATGAATAAGAAAGGTTTGTATTTGAAATGTATCGAACAAATGGGGAAAATGATGCTAATCATGCTAATCATTCTAATCGTCACTTCCCGCTCCCCTTTACCGCTAATCTAGTGTTCCCGGACCGAGGCTTGTGGAGAGCGAGGCATTCGCAGCTGAATAGATAATCAAGTACTAGGTATACCTTTCATTCCCATTCAATAATATCTTCAATCCTTTTTGTATTTCGATCTTTGAGTCGAGGGTCGAAGTGTATGTTGTCCTTTTATTTGCACGCCCATCTTTTTGAAGTTTTCGTCCAAAAATACACCTCTCTCAAACTTAAAGACCCCTTCTCCGCATTCATCCCATCATGCACTCCGCAATATTCGAGATAAAGGAACACACCCTCGAATGTCAACACATTCGAGAATACCCTCATGCCACTTCAAATACTCAAGAAGATGTATTGCATCTAGCAATTAAACAATACATACCTAAAGATAATCCTCATCCACAACCAGGAGATGTGACTATCATTGGTGCCCACGCAAATGGATACCCAAAGGTATGCTTTCGCTTCCATTTGAAGAGTTGAAACACTAAATCTGCATAGGAATTATATGAGCCATTATGGGAAGATATTCACGCACGCTCAAAGTCCAATGGCTTCAGGATACGAAGTATCTGGATAGCAGATATAGCTCAGGAAGGCGCTAGTAGTGTCCTGAATGAGAAATTATTGGGAAACGATCGTATGTAAAACCTTTTTCTCGTCGATTTATTCACCCTCATCTTTCTCGTGATCATAGCTCTGATGATAAGAGCTCCAACGTGTTATAGCCCATAAGCGTGGGTAAAATAAAATCTTACCCAGAGTCTTGGTAGTTCACTCATATAGTCCGTATTGAAGTCCAGGAAGTCATCCCCATGAACATCATAAACTGCAATATTTTAATATCCCGTTTATTCCGACACCTTCTATAACAGCACCGTTCTTAACATCATCTAACATCATCTTTCATCTAGCATCCTGGATTGACCACGCTCGAGATCTCCTCCACATGGTCAATACCTACCGTTCCCAAATGCCCCTCCCCATAATTGGAATTGGTCACTCTTTCGGCGCCAACATGCTCACCAACCTCTCCCTCATGCACCCACGCCTCCTAACCAACCTCGTAATGCTCGACCCCGTAATCCAGTCATATGCTACCGGTCCAGCCGGTAGTCCTAATCCCACCCAGCTATCCACCTTTCGCCGAGATCTCTGGCCCTCCCGCGCTGCGGCTGAATCTTCCTTTAGAAAATCAAAAGCATATGCGAAATGGGATCCTCGTGTTCTAGATCGCTGGTGTCAATATGCCATTCGCGAAACTCCCACGGCTATTTATCCCGATGAACCAGCAGGAAGTACAACACTAACTACAACCAAGCACCAAGAATGCTTTTCCTTCATTCGCCCAAGTTGGGAAGCCTTTTCTTCGGATGGTAAAACTATTATCCGTCCAGATCTTATCCCAGATTTACGCGAAAATAGTCCAACACAGTTCCCTTTCTACCGTCCAGAAACAATTAATACTCTCATTCGGCTACCACAACTCCGCCCTCCTGTTCTCTATATCTACGGCGCCATTAGCACCATCTGTGATCCTGCTTCCTGTGTTGAAAGACTCTCTTTAACGGGTACTGAACATGGAGGTAGCGGAGGTGCCAAAGAAGGAAAAGTCAAGGAAGTCGTGTTAGAGGGAGTAGGTCACTTAGTAGCACAAGAGGCAACAGAGCAATGTGCAGATGCTTTGGCTCCATGGATAGGACAAGAATTGAAGAGGTGGAGGAAAGAACAAGAGGTATATTTGGAGTGGACTAAAAAGAGTTTGATTGAGAGACAAACCCTTTCCGAAGAATGGAAGAAGAGAATTGGAGGACCACCAAAGAGGGCTGGGAAAAGTGGAGAGGAAAGTAAGTTGTGAGTTATGGTTTATCATGGTGAAATTGAGATATGGAACGTTCTCTGCAAGTTAACAATTTAGTAGATGGGTACCGAGTGGGAATATTATAAATTATACTTAGAATATATATTTTCTATGCTTCAAAATGCTATGATCCACGTAATGAGAGTAGGCATAGTATGTCCTGAGTAACATCACCAATATTACTTAATATTCATCGGATGTAAGATTACAAAAAATGTATAAAACAAGAGGGTAGTAGCTATAGGTAGGACTTTGTAAGAAAATAAGTCTGGACAGCGAGCAGTGATTACATCATCACAGGGAAATCGATCCTTAACTTCTCCATTTCCACGTTATCAGATGTGATGTACAAGTGCAAAAAAAACCTCTCAAGTACCTACCTAATAAAGGTGTGACTTTTACGGCCGTGGAGAAAGAAGCTCTGAGTAACCTAACCAAGGTATTGAGAAATGGATCTAATGAACCCGACCTCAACTTTCCATTTCTAAGATACACAACAAATTATCTCTTCTTCTTCTTCTTCTTCTTCTTCTTCTTCTTCTTCAAAAATACTCTTTCATATAATCTAATCTAATCCAATCTAATCTTCGCCTCACTTTAGTCCACCAGTCACATCGATATTGATATTGATATCGCCTTTATATCATATCATATCATATCATATCATATCATATTAATACCTCACTTCATCATGATATACAGAGTACCTACCTACCTATCAAAAATATACTATATGATTCGGTTCCATACAAACCGGACCAAACCAAACCAAACATCCAAGAACAACTTAATTCCAAGTAAATCTACAGTATATAAATATAAATCAATCTATAAATCAATCTATAAAAAAACCTCCCAGCTATTCATCGATAAATCAGTCTTGCGATTCTCGGGGTCCAATTAAAATTAAGTTTTTGAAGGATTTCAGAGATGATCTTCTTTTCATTTTGGTGCTTTTGTTTAAAAGCGTAAGGCAGGCACTGTGCTGTATGTGTAGAATGTACCTAGGGGATCTGCGGAGATAGAGAGGTGTGGAGTTTGTTTAGGGATAAAGGATGGGGTGGTTTGACTCGGTTTTCAGTTGTGTAATAGGTAAGTTGGGGGATATAAATTACGGGATGAATGAATAGAGGATGGGTAGACGGATGGGATAAGACGGTTGATTATTATGTATACCCTGAGAATGACTGAGGTAATTCTACATGTATGAAATTTCACTTAATCGCTCGTCAAATTCTAGAAAACACATTCATAACAAAAGCATTGCAAGAACAAAGTGATAAATTTCTCATCTATCATATACCTCCACACCACTAAATACCCAAATCAAAACTCCTCATCACTTGGAACCCAAATAAGTAATCCTTCCTTTTCACTCTTCATTCCCTCCGTTGGAGCAATCTTCAAAACCTTCTGAAAATACCTATCCCTAATCACACACCTAATCGGCCCAATCCAATCACCTCTAACCGTCGGTAATAATCTAAACTTAATAGTCCTTCTTGAAAGTGGGACTAATTGCAACGTAGACTGTTTGACGCCCGAAAAGGCGAATTGCTCACTGGGTTCCATTGTGATTGCAAAAGAGAGGAAATGATGTGAAGGATTCTCGATTGTGACGTCGAAGTGGATCATGGATGATATAGTTGATGAATAAGTTACTGCGGCTAAGACTCGAGGTTCGCTGCTTGAGACTAAAAGACGTGGGACAGGTACTATACATGTGTTGATAGTGGAACTGTCTTTGTCTCTACGCCATTTAATGACAAGAGATAAATCAAGGGTGGCTGTACCTCGGTCGTCAAGTGAGTACTTTTGTGTAAAAGTATCAAATTGAGCCTCTTCGAGGACTCTCGGACTAACTTTCACGCCTCCCTCAGGGATTGTGGTTAGTCTCTTCGTGGAGCACTTGATGCCACCTTGTACGCCAAGAATTTCAACGTCAACATCTTCGACAATTATGTCTTCTGTTGCAAATGAAGCAAAGCGAGTCGTTAGGCACCATTTTTGTGCCAACCCGAATGCTTCACGATCGTAATCATGTCCATCCTGTCCGATCTCCAACGATTCCTCATGGGTGAAGAAGCTCGGCCAGGGGTCTGGATGAATCCGCGGAGAGAAATCATAATTAGCCTCAAAGGGATTCAAGATTGAAAGCTGTGCCGACATCGCCTGCGATATAGGTGTTTCCAGATCCGTTACAAGATTGTACGAAGCCTTAAGATTAAGATCATAAACTGCTGGTATATCTATAGATGAAATGAGTATCTCCACGGTGACGGAGGAGCCACTAGCAATAGTGCCCAGTGACAATTCATGATCATCTTCAGGTTTGGTATCATCTGAAGGTTCAGCTAGATCGAAACGCCTTAATATAATATTGGATGGAACGTTTTCTCCAAGAAGACGGGCTTCTAAGTCTACGACAGAATCGGTATCCTCTCCATTCTTCACTTCGAGATGTAAAGAGACGAGTTCATTTGTATAATACTGGTCCTGTAATTCAAGAATACGTAGCTCCAATTTGGGCGGCTTGGGAAGTACGTGAATTGATGACGGTCTGGTACGAACGAGCTTCTTCTTCGTTCCAGACTCGCCATACCACATCTCTGGAAATGTTGGCCTGTCAAAAGAATGGACATAATCAAAATCAAAGAGATCAGAGGTAATGGAAAATGTGGCTCTCAAAGCTTTTACATCGCCCGCTTCTCTCAAAAGATTGACAAATTCGAAGGCCTTGATCTGACCTGGACGAAAAGTAAGATCTTCATATCCTGCTAACGTATGCCGAGCGGGCGCTGGATCGTGTCCGTTTTCTATAGTAGACTCATCAACTAATGAAGTCCTTTTGTATAAAATGCCAGATTTCAGAATCTCGGAAGCTTCAGTGCCTGCTTTGTGGCGCAAAAACATAGGTTTCATACCACCCGTGAACTCTACACGTATGTCGTTAATTGTTACAGGGGTGGATGAAGCTATAGCAGAAGACCTGATTGCTAGTTGGGACAATGAATGCTCGCCCACCTTTCCTTCAGACTTCTCAAAAGCATATGATGCAGTCAAGAAGGATTGGACTTCTTCTACATGAAGTACAATAGCAGGTTTAACCTTGACTGTACTCAAACCATCTAAAGACTTCTTGATATTATAATGCCAATTCGATCGACGGGAAAAGCCTGCGATACTTGTTAACAGACGACAGATGTTCATTTTCCATAGTATACTGACAAGTATGTAGAAGCTCCCAATCCACGGCAACGATTGTACCTCCATCACCGACCTTAGCTGCAGCTTTTCTCAAAGTCCATGCAATCTCCTCGACCACAACCCACCACCCTTCATTTCTATATGTCATTTTCTGCCATAAGGCTCGAAGAATTCGTAACGCGTCATCCCATGCTTCCAGCCTCATATGTTCTTTTCCACATTGAAACAAGAGCTCTTGCACTAAACGATGTTGTCCTCTTGTTTGAAATTCGGCAATGGCCTTGTTCAGAACGTCAATTATAAGATTTGCATGATCAACACCTTCCCGACCTGGTAAAGGATTTTCCTCATGCGGCTGGGGACAAAGATATGTATCATATGTATAAACCCTACTCGCAATTTGTGAAGCAGGGGAGGACCCTGGGGGAGACCTATCTTCCTCCGGTATCGTCAAAGCAAGAGCTCGACGAGCCATTAAATGTTTCGAAGCCTCACGGTACCAAAACCCTGGATGATGTAGGTTCTCCCATGGCTGCGTCCTGGTTGAAGTAAGTTTATCAAGTGGTAGGTATATCGTTGATTTTGATTGAGTAAAATCCACAAAACCGACTTTCTCAATCATCTCCGCCATGATGGTTGCCCAGCGAGCTTCCCATGCTTGCCAACCATATGTTGATGAACCTTTGCCTCTACGATCTACAAAATCACGTACTCTATCCCGATGTAGTTGCCATCGACGGACTGCTGTGGATGTGTGTCCATTCCATAATAGACACCGCAGTACTCTTATTGCAAAGACATCGGCGATGAGACGTCCTTCATTGAAACGAGGACTCCAAGTAGCAATTGTTTCAAGGACCTCTTCACCCAACAATGCTTCATAGCCACTCTCAAATGAACGAACAGCTACATCCATCTCCTGCCTGAATTCGGCAAAAACTCCAAGCTTAAAGTCATATCTTACGTTCCATCCTTGTCCGGTTAATGTTTGTGAAGTTCCGGATGTGGGTGGTGCTGTTGGAGGTGGGACTACGCCTCGGTTGCGCTTCCTTCTTGAGTGCTTGCTCAAGTCACGGTAATATTCAATACAGAGCGGGTATATGGTAAAATAAATCGTCTCAACAAAAGCTTCAATTTCAACAGGAGAGCTTTGAGGAGGTAAGAAAAACAAGGAAGTTTTCGAATCAAGACCAGTCCCTTTACGAATGTTGGAAAGACGTTCTTCTACATCAGAAGATGGCACTCCAGGTGTTTCGCTCAACAATGCAACTATAAGCCGAGTTTTGTAACCAGATTTGTTCAATGTATTTTTGATGTTGTTGATGTCCGTCTTCAACTGATTATCATGTAAAGTTGCTAGATTCGGATCAGATGTAAAATTGTAGAATGAAAGATATGCGCTTGGTACGAGATCTTGGTGTTTATCTATCCACTTTGTATCCAACAGTCCATCCGGGAAAAGTGTTGCTCCAGGAGTTAATGGAGATAGAGGGGAGTGTAGAATAAACCTAGAATTCGGAGCTGGACTTCCAGCATCGGGAGAATGCGAGATACTGGTTGGAGGTGGTGCCTTGCGACTCGGTAAAATATAATCCTATGAACCTTCAGTGATTGACTCCAAACATGGTGGTCCCTTCTTTAGCTACCCTTCCAATAACCTTCACCTTGAACTTATTCTTCTCACTATGCTCGGATCCATTCCATGGAAGATTTTCCGCGTCATTGGTTTTGAAATATTTTAGAATGTACTTCGCATCCTCCGATTGCAATGGCGCAATATCAGAAGTGATTAGCACCCCTCCTTCCTTCAATCTGGCATTTGTGGGCGATGGATCAGCTCCTAACCCGGAGACTACGAGCAATGGTAGATTATGAGCAACCCATGCAGTCGCATACCCATCCATCTTGATGGCAGTGTGGTGCCAATAACTCCATAGGACTACAAATGAAGGTAGTTGAGGATTTGTTCCAAGACAATGTTATTTCGTGGACATGGATTGGTCGATGATGGAACGGGTCGTTCGCAAATAGAGATAGGTAAGGCTGAGGTCAGTGATTTACCTACAGGTAGGTAGCTTTGTTGCAGTGTTCGTGATCGGTGAAATAGTTGACGAGAAAGAATATAATTCATAAGACGAGTATTTGAAAGAAAATATAATGTTGTATGAATTCTAATGTCCCAATAACTAGAATACGCATGTTCCCAACTTTCAGACGATAAGTACGAAAGGCTGATAACTTTACAATGCACAGATCATTTCAAGTTTAAGCACCGACATGCCGATCTACGCAGCCTTGTGTAAAGTTACTGTACCCTCCCAGCAAGTACAAAGCTTCTTTAGATAACTTTCCATCATTCATCATTCTCGACTTTATTTCTATGGTAAATTGTGAATCTCTCTCTACCCATATCTTGTCCTTCTCTTGCATACTTCTCGATACACAAAACTCAAAACTTATTTTGTTTCCTATCTTTAAGAATAAACAAACCGGCGCATTCATTCCTGTTTCCCACAAACTCATTGCGATCGAATACCTTTCGTCAATCTACCCCGTACTCAACGCACCTAAATCCAGCTTCTGGATGATTTTATTGAATGCGAACAATAACGGCATGCTCGCAGGATCTTAAGAATATAGCTCCTGCAGACCTATTTTTCTCGTTTACATTATCTTTGAAATTGTCACAATGGCTTCTCAAGCTGCTATGATCGCGGACACGATCGTTGCTATGAAAAGAGCAGTCAAGAGAAAAGCATATGGTATATTCTGATTCCTCTAGCGAAACAAGTTCATAGATATATCTAACAATGTTTGGCAGAATCAGATTCCGATGCTTCAATCGAAAGACTTACAAATCGAGGAAACAAATTGCGAAAGAGAGCAAGATACGTTAAGCAAGGTCAATTGATTCCGCCAAGTGGTCGACATCCATATAGAGAGGTAAGATTTGTAAATTGAGGGGATGATAGGGAACTGTCTAATATCTTACTTTTCATAGACAATTGATCATGCCGGCTACATGAGAGATATTATCAGCAGGAAACCCGCGCTTATCGACGAAGATGGCGAGGAGATCGATAGCGATGAAGAAGACGAAGAAAAAATCGAAACCGCAAGGGTAGCAGCGGCAGAATTCGATCCATATGCAAATATAAAACTGGAAGGTCCGTAACTCGAAACGGAGTTGCTTCGAAACCCTCTCACTAATTTTTTCGAATAGAACTCCTAGCACCTCTAACCGCTTCCTCGGACTTACCAGACCATCCAAGCCTCTCGCAGCCCTTCACATCGAAAGTTCTCACAGAATTAACAAGGAATGCTGGAGAGATGGTCCAAAAAGAAATGGCGTCTTTATGGAAGATCAAACATCTCCTAACCCGATTTAGCGGTCATGATACTTGGATGCCGTGTGAATCTGTCGAAACAGAATATGATAGTTCATTCTTTGAGACCGAAACCGAACGGCACCGGGCTCAAATAAAGAGAATTGCAAAAGAGCATGCGGACCTGATGTCGAGAGCAACTCTAGCTTCTGAGTCTGACGACAGCGTAGCAGTTTCTGGATTAATGATTATGGGTGTGGAAGGTGACACTGCGTCTGGGGTCGCTGCTCTCCAGGCGTTGAAAGGAAAAGGAAAGGAATTGGATTCTGAAAAAGATATGACATCTACCTCTACAAATGGAGACATTGCAGATACAGCTGGTGCAAACGGCACGGGCAACAATTCCGTGCAAGCACCCGAGTCAATACCACCGCCAGATGATGTAGACATGGGTCAAGATGACTCGCAAGTGACCGGAGATGCAATGGATATTGAGCCGATGGGCGAAGATACTGGGGATAGTGCCATTCCTCGTCGTATGAGGACTCGTGCACAAGCACAAGCGGTGTTTGACAATGCAACCCGTTCTAGGTCTATAACACCCGATTTGAACGGCGAGCCCTTCGTTCACCCTTACTTTCTCGCGCCGGCGAACTCATTTCCGGACCGAGATCTTTATTTGCCACACGGTGAGGCTGATGAACTGAGAAGATTGTTGGTGCACTATATTCAGAAGCAAGAAGAGATCATCCGAGGGGCTCAAAAAGTATATGATGGATTGTTGAGAGCTGATCGCATGCGCCACTTGGTACTGAAATGGACGAAAGCCGAAGGACATGTCGGTGACAATCGTGACATGTCAGATGGTGAGGATTGGTATGACAAAGACGAATGGGGATTAGATGGGGATCTTAAGAAAGGACAAGATGAAGAAGAAGAAGATGCCGCAACGACAGCTAAGAAGACTAGAACGAGAAGGCAATGATTCCATGAAGGGTAACAATATATTTTGGATGAGGGATTTAATGGGAGGCGTAACGGTATAGGAAATTGAATAGGGGATAAGGGATATACTGTACGAAGATACCATGATTCATGATGGGCGCAATTAGGAAAGATTGCATTAGGCATTTCCATATCGAATGCATCAAATGGATGGAGTGAAATGGTGCAAGTATTGGGTATTCATAGTGAAGTTTCAAGTAAGGAGGAGTAAGGAGTAAGGAGTAAGGAGTAAGGAGTAAGTGGTAAGTGGTAAGTGGTCAGTGGTCAGTGGTCAGTGGTCAGTGGCCAGTGGTCAGTGGTATATATAAGAAATGAAGATGTTCAACTTTGATGAAAGGGTCATGTCATAATTTGTGCAAATTCTATGCTTGTTCTGTGCTGTGTTGTGCTTGTGTTGTGCTGGGTTGTACAATTCTACAATTCTCTTGGTCTTGCTTGGTCTTGCTTGGTCTTGCTTGGTCTTGGCCATAGCTTTCCTTTCTTTTTTCGAACTTGTGGGAGCTCGCTTCCAAAAGACGTCATGCGACAAGCACAGTCAGTATAGTATGTTCTTTCACGTGAAAGATTTCCCCTACGTTTTTTTTAATAACCATCAATTTCGAACTTCCACTTCCGACCAGATTTGATTTTCAGACAAGACAATCTGTCCAATTCTTTTCTCTTACAACGTGATATATACGGGAAGCAAGCTCTTAAGCATCGCCTCCTCCGATTCAAACTTGTTACATCTCACATTCATCCCCAAGGGTTTCTACTATGTCGAGTTTTCTAAATAATAACAGAGGTCTCGTCAACTTTGACCAGAAAAGTCTTGCAAGTACGTCAAGGGGATTTAATCCCCGCAATAGCTTCATAAAATACTGATCGACTTTTCTAGTTGCGGCAGCATCCATTGCATTTAACCCAATATTCTGGAAGTAAGCTTCCTATTCCCTCTTCCCCTTCAACTAGTGTCAAGCTAACCTAAGCTCTCAGTACCGTCGCTCGTCAAGGTGAATATACAATTATCCTACTTATTACCCAAAAGCACTTATTGGTCTGATTTTCCTATATACAGAATACCACAATAAAATCCTCACAAAACTCTTCAATGGAAATTCTCGTTATGGATGTTATTTCCTCGCGGTAGTCATCTTTTCCCTCGGTATCTTCCGGGATTTCCTCTACGAACGCGCCTTACGCTCTCAACCCACTCATCCTTTACTTCTATCCCCTCTCTCACAATATGCATCCTACGCACTTCTTATCTGTGGTAATACTCTTGTCATCAGTTCCATGTGGGCATTGGGTGTCACGGGTACATACTTAGGAGATTATTTTGGTATCTTGATGGATAAGATGGTCACCGGCTTTCCCTTTAATGTTAGCAATGCGCCTATGTATTATGGAAGTACGATGAGCTTTTTGGGAACGGCACTTTGGTGGGGAAAGCCAGCTGGGGTCCTTTTGACGGTGGAGGTATTGGTTGTTTATCTTTTGGCGTTGAGGTTTGAGGATCCATTTACGGCTGGGATTTATGCGAAGAGAGAGAGGGAGAGAAGTGCAAAGAAGGGAAAGAAGGGATTGTAGATGATATTTGTTGGGGTAGGGGAAGAGTTCTGTGGATATAGGTGGACCTAGTGGAGTCCGGGGGAGTAAGGTTTGAAACCGGGGGAAGTGCGGATCTGGGGTAGTGCTATGGGGCAGTGGAGGTAGTATATGATGGTGGTGATGGCGAGGAGAGGTTAATAATTTTCAAAGGAAAAAAAAACAGCTAGAGCAATGAATTTCAGGTGAGAAGTTCATTTTATGAGGATGGGTCGATGATTGGGTGGAGCATTTACATTTCGGGAAAGATGATACCAAAAAAGGGGTTCAACAATGGGCAGGATTGGTTCGCATAGATATCAACTACTTTGCATTACAGGTGTTATATGGTAGGGAAAAGAAGAAAGAAATAGTGTACAGTCTTTATATCATTATATCAATCTTTATGTCTATTGTCTATTGTCTATGTTCTATTTTGACTGTTGATTGTGGGTCCTTCAATCATCATAGTCCCGTATAAACATCACTAAATCCCCCAGTCAGCAAATCACCTCAAATCACTACACTACAACTCCCCCGAAAAAGAGACTCTTACGTCCTAGCCACCAACGGCATCCTCTCCCTCGCCTCCTTAACCCTCCCCAAATCAATCCTCGCAATCCCCAGCTTCCCCCCCTCCCCACCTTCCTCCCCCATATCCAACACAACTCTCCCCTGCGGATCAACCACCATCGAATGTCCATAACTGACGCGTTTCGAATTATGCGCACCTACTTGCGCGGCCGCTATGACGTACGATTGGGTTTCGATGGCTCGCGCTCGAAGGAGGATTTCCCAGTGCAGTTTTCCGGTGGGTACGGTGAAGGCGGAGGGGTAGGTGAGGATTTGGGTGTTGAGGGTACGGAGGGCGAGGGAGGGGAGAGGGAAGCGGAGCTAGAAGTTGGGACGGCGACTGAGGTTAGTTGGGTGGTTTTGTTTTGCAGGGTGAGTTTGCTCTTGATTGAGTATTTAATTTATTTGATGGTGGTGTGATGCTCGGGTTCAAATTTTATTGTTTCTCGGGAGTAGAGTTCTCCAGGAGAGAAGGGGTGATGTAAATTTTATGGTTAGGTTCCTTCATGGGGTAATAAGGTATTGAGAACACAACACTTGAATGTTCAACCTCACTCATTTCATCAACGAATTTGAAATTCCAGAAAGGCATCAAATAAGAGAATCGAAGAAGAAGAAAAAAAGAAAGAAGACATACATCAAAACAAATCAACAATCCCACCTTCCCCACAACCGTCTCCACAGGCTCCTCGACCCTAACTCCCGCCTCCACACTATCACTCTCCCTCAAACCCGCAGCCGCATAATCAAACAAATGCAACTTATCATACTGACCTACAATCGTCCCAAACTCATCAATCCATATACTCCTATTGAGAACTTTTGTGCCGTCGAGGTTCGGCACGTGAATCCCGACGTTGATAGCGAGGGTATGCGATTTGGCGGTGCTTTGGAGACCGAGTACGAAGGGGGATGTGGATATTGGGAGGGCGAGGGCGAGGGAGGTGGGGGCACCCCGGAGTGGTTATGTAGTCTGTTGCTTCGGGGAGGAAGAGGGCCTAGATTTTGGGATGGGATGAGATGGGTGTTTGAGAGAAGAGGATTGAGATTGGGGGTTGGGGGTTGGGGGAAGGCGATTGAGAAGGGATGAAAGATGGGGAATATGGGGAAAGGGAAGACGAAGGAGGAAGGAAGAAGGAAACAAACTTTTGCTCCTTGTTCTGAGGCTTCCTGGGCAAGCTTTTGACAGGTGAGGAGATTTTGTTCAATGTTGGATGTGGAACATAGTTGACCAATTGCCTGGAATTGAAAAGTTAGCTGGTTTTGGTTTATTTATATAATATTCATCAAGATTATTTATGATATGTAGAGAATACAAATCTTACGATAACAGTCTCCGAGTTGGGATTGGAATCCATTTTGATTGATTTTTTTATATGATAGGGAGATGAAGTGGTAAGAGATCGAAAAGGTAGTTTGGCTTTAGGAGTGTAGTTGGATATTGATATTGGTATTGGTATTGATATTGGTCGATACTGCTGACAAATAATGAAGCTTTTGATGGGATGAGAATTGACTTTGGCTAGGAAGTGAAAGTGGGAGGGAAAGTGAGATTTCCGATGCAACATCATCATTTACCAGTTTTGATAATTATCATCTAAATTCATTTAGACAGACGATTATTAATCAATATTCCATTTCCGAGGTTCAGACAAATACAAACCTAGTTGATATCTTCAGTCTAAGTCTTTTCATTGCAATTGCATGAACTTATCATGTATGCACACACACATGCGGAATTCCGTCCATGACGTCCATGACCACAAAGGATCCGAACTTTTAACGAAATTCCGAATTCCCCAAATAATTTTTGATCAATTCGAAAACCTCCACTCTCACAAAGTACAACCTTACGTGAGCCCCTTTTTTGGATTATAAAATATCCAATTCCCTCTTGAATCAACAAGCGAAATGCCATTGTAATTCTAGAAAACCGAAATGTCAAATGGAGGAAATGCTGGGAAAAAATCCTCTTCTTGTATGTATTCTAGCTACCCCTCTACTACATCATCCAAAAAGAATTGAAACTAATATACCACCCCCTTCCAGATTTCCACTTCACAGCAGGATTAGGATCAGGAATCCTCTCTGCAGTTCTCCTCCAACCTGCCGATCTCCTCAAAACCCGCTTGCAACAGAGTAACCATGCTTCCCTATACACTACCATCCGCGAGCTCTCCCAATCCCCGAATAGCATTCGATCTTTTTGGCGAGGAACCGTTCCCTCTGCTCTTCGCACAGGTTTTGGTTCTGCGATTTATTTCACTAGTTTGAATGCGCTACGGCAGAATGTAGCACGCTCGAATCTTTTGAGGACGATAGGCGTTGTGGATGCGAAAAATGGTCCGATGCATTCGAGCTCACTGCCTAAGTTATCGAATCTAGCGAATTTGACTACGGGCGCTGTGGCGAGAGCTGGAGCGGGTTTTATACTCATGCCTATGACTATTATTAAAGTACGATATGAATCGAATTTGTACGCTTATAAATCGATCATGGGCGCTGGAAGGGATATATTCCTCACCGAGGGATTCCGGGGATTTTTCTCTGGATTTGGTGCTACGGCTATTAGGGATGCTCCTTATGCGGGATTATACGTGCTCTTTTACGAACAGTTAAAGAAACGTTTAAGTCATATTGTGCATTCAGTACCTCAAGCTGAGGAATTAGTCGAAAATCTGGGTGTGAGGAAAAATATGAAGGGGAGTACGAGTGCATCTATAAATTTTGGATCGGGGGTATTAGCAGCGGGTTTGGCAACTGCCATAACGAATCCCTTTGATGCGATTAAAACGAGGATCCAGTTGCAGCCGAAGAAATATACGAATTTGGTTATGGCGGGACGGAAGATGGTAGGGGAGGAGGGAGTGAAGAGTCTTTTTGATGGGTTAGGTTTGAGGATGGGGAGGAAGGCGGTTAGTTCTGCATTGGCTTGGACGATTTACGAGGAACTTATTAGAAGGGCTGAATTGGCTTGGAAGGGAGAAGAGGTGATTGTTTGATCTTGGGGAAGGGGGCGAGGAAAGCCGGGCGATTCACTACTCATTATTGATTTGGGAGTTTGTATGATTACCTTTTCAGCATAGATAAAATTATGATATCCACTTTATTTTCTGCATGTTTTGTTTGATTGTTTATTCTTATTTCATGATCGTTAATGCCATTCGTTATATTGTGGGTATTCAAGCTCAGTACATAGAAAAAGGGATGAGAGTTCATCCAAGAAAGAAAATAAAACACACTAACACACAAACAAACAAAGAAAGAAAGAAAGAAAGAAAGAAAGGAAGCATTCTCATCATCAAACTCTTGCTCCATCCAGATCATTTATCTTATCACTCATCCCTCATTAAAAACCAAAAACCTTTAACCAAAACCTTTAACCCCGGTCCTAATCCACCTGCTCACTCCATCCTTTCAATTTCGCCGTTACCCATCCATCACCTCCCCCATCATCATCATCTCCTCTAACCCGCTTCCACCAACATATGGTAAGCACATCCATCTATTCCCCTCCCTTCCGGCCCACTCCCCTCCATCCCAACCATCCAATTACCTCCCCGCCGCCCACCTAACCCAAGGACTCGGACTCCTACTCCCAGCATGACTATGTCCCCGCTTATGTTTCCTCTCAATAACCAACTGCAAATCATCACTTTTCCGATGATGTTTCTTCTTATGACGATCTTCCACGACGTATTCCTTGACGTATTCGATGGTGTGTTGATGCTGTTGTTGCTGTAGTTGTTTTTGCGGTGCTGGGCTTCGTGTTTCCCGTAGTTGTCGTGTGTGTGTCCACAGGATGTCTTGTTCTTCTTCGGGCACCCAGCGTTTGATTAGGAGGTATTCGGGGTCCTTGGGGTGGGGTTAGCGGAGGGGTTTCTTTTTTTTCAAGGGGAGAGTGGTGAAGGGGTTTTGGGGAAAGGTATGGGAAAGCGGGTATTTACCTCTCTATCAAATTCGTATGAAATTCCATAAACACGTAATGTTTCAAGCGACAAATGTTTCCTCGACATTCTGGTATAAGTTGGTCTTGGACCCGCAGGTTGAATTTGATACTGCGGATGAGCATGCTGTACTGGAGAAGGAGTAGGAGGAGGACGAGCAGGCATCTGAACCACGGGTGGCGGAAGAGCTTTCCCTTCTTTCACAGCTACGATTTGTTGTTCGTTCAAACCGGCTTTATGAAGATCCTCATGAAGACGTCGTTGATATTCCCTTTCTCTTTCTTCCCTCTCATGTCTCTCTCGCGCTAATCGATCGGCTTCTTGTTTTTTGAATTTCTCAATTATCTCTTCTTTTTCTTTGCGTTCTCGAGCTGCCCTCTCGGCTTCTTCTTTCTTGTACTTTTCGATCGTTTCTTCGCGTGCCTTGTTTTCTCGCTCGTGTCGTTCTTGTTCCATGCGTTTCATTCGTTCGTATGTATCTCTGATTTCTCTCTCGGCTCTTTCTTTTTCCTCTTGACTACGTTTTCTTTCTCCATTTTTTTCTTCCTCGATTCTTCTTTATTCTTTCCTTCTTTTCCATCTCTTTCTCCTTTATATCGTTCCATTTGTCATTCGATCTTCTCTCACCTCTCATTCTTTCCCTCTCCTTCTCCTCCGTTCATTTATACCGTTCCAACTCCCCTTCGTCATCCTCAACTCAATATCCTCCCTCAACAACCTCATTCCTCTCCCTCTCCGTCTCCGCCCCTCGCCAACTCCCCAGATCCCTCACCAACCTCTCACTCCTCTCCCGCTCCTTCTCCATCCTAATCCTCTCCAACTCCGCCCTCGTCCTCTCCAATTCAAATTCTTCACGTGTGAAACTCTCTCGTCTAGATGATGTCCCACTGTGCGAAGTACTCACATGACGACTATGACGGCTATGACTTCGATGTTTGCGTCTCCCTCCATCTGCTACACTTAATCTACTTCTCGCACGATGAGTTTCATACACGGAAGAATCATCGCTGTCGCTATCGAAATCATTGTAAATCCGTCGCTGGTCTACGATGATAGGCTGTGCGATAGGAGCAGGAGCAACTGGTGGTGGAGGAGGAGGAAAAGGAGATCGTTCCCGATGACCTGTTGAATGGGCTCGTCGGATGGAAGATACCTCTGGGGCGAGATAGGTGGATGTTCCGTACCGGTAGCCTGGGGAGGGAACGGGATTATGTTGTGGTTGTGGTCTTCGGTATGGGATTGTGGGGACGGGATCTCGTCCTCGCGTTAACGTTTCACGGGATATATGGATGTCGAGATCTTCGTCTTCGTAGTAGTGACGTGCCATTTTGTTGGATTTATGATGATAGTTTTTAGTTTCAGATTTAGATGTAGATTCTTGTATCTTGTATAGTTTTCTGATTCGTTCAGAAGATGGGATAAATAGATGGATGGGTGGGTGGGTGAGCGGGTTGCTTAAATAGATCTAACCCCGCGCGACCGAGGAGTTGGGTTGGGTTGATTGCGACGTTGAGATAGGATGGATGAATGCGATGCGATAAGCTTTTTTAAACTTTGCTTATTTTACTTTGTCCGTCTGCTGTGTTTTCGGATGCTGTGCCTTTGAATAAAGCTTGTTATTCGTATTTCATGTGAAGATACCTCAGGTAGGTAGGTAGGTATGCGATGCGATGACAGATGAAGATATATTATTCGTCTGATATCGATATAAAATATCCTTATCCAAACGAGGAACTAACAAACAAACCAACAAAGAAGAAAAACTTCCCGCAAGTACAATAGTATAGAAAAGAGTAGAAGAAGAAAAAGAATCGAAGGAAGTAAAAAGAAAGATGAGTAAAGGATCAGTGTATGTATGTATGTATGTATGTATGTATGTAATGTCTTATCAGGTTCCTGTCAGCAGGAATGAGCATGGGCTGATTTCAAGCTATTTTACTGGAGCTGAGCTGATGTGAAGGATGGGTTTCTTGTATTTCCAATGCACAATGCAGTAGGTCTCTATCTAGGTAGGTAGCTAGGGAGGCAAGTAGGTCTGTCTCTATGGATCTATGGTCGAATTCACGGCTGCATGACTGACTGACTGATTTGATTCAAGTTTGGTTGGTTAGAGCGCTGTTTCATGTTTGGGTTGTATTGTAAGGTCAAGCAAGTCTTATTTGTGTGTGTATGTCTGTATACATGTATAGATAGATATCTGTCAGCCAGGTCCTATTTACCATTCATCTTACTTATTTCCATCTTATGGAGTAAGAGTAAGAAGAGTAAGGGTAATACTCCGTAAACCCCTACAAAGTACTCGGTACAAGGTTACTACGGATATCCCAAACCAACCTAGGATAAGTACACATGCACCAACCATACCCATAGACCATAGATTCCTCCCATAATGCCCAGAGCTGACAGCATATATTACATTGTACGTACAGCCCTGAGACGTTAGGTAGAGTTTTTGCCTCCCTCTAGAGAGGGTCTCTAAAGAGGGTCTCTAAAGAGAAGCGCTACCTAGTTGCATTTCTCCTATACCCTGTCAACGATTATGCAGCTAATTCGATATATCTGTCTAACAGGGGTTCGTATACTGATCCTATGAGAAGAGGGGAGGGAGGTTGGTGGGGAGATGGATTAATGGGAGATATTTTCCAGCTACATGATGAGCTAGGTAGGTACTTACTTGAGGAGCAGGTAAGGTTAGGAGTTACCTGTACACCTATGATATACTTACTACTCGTACTATCCAACTTCTATTTACTCATGCCTCATCCCACTAGATGATATTATCCACATGCGCACACTGTACGCACGGAGGATAAAATAGAAAAATTAAGTTTACAAGGTACATTTTCATTTTGAGGCTCTGAAGTCTGAACGTTTATTGCTCCACTATAATGATAATAATCATGGAACCGAACCCTTAAATTCTCCATTTCTCGATTTCTCACCTGCCGTGTACGGAGAAACTAGCATATTTCTATCGTAGCTAGCTAGCTCCTAAAACTGCACGCTGCGTTTGTTCTTTGCGTATGGTTTGTTCGGATGGACAGATATAAGTGGGGTTGAGATGGGAACGTCCGTCGGTATGTATGGAAGATAGAGATGGGAAAGAAAGAAAGAAAAAGAAAATGTTGGTGTTTCTCATGTGTGTGCGATACGCTGGATTGGTATGGACTTCTGGAGAGAGGCTGGACTGCAAAGGGAGGGTAGGGTAGGGTTGGGTTGGGTTATGGGTAGAGTAAGCGCCTGGGTTTGATTTGGTCTTTTAGAGTCTCTGAGTCTCTGAGTCTCTGAGTCTCTGAGTCTCTGTACCTTTTCCTATCTATTACCATGGTCCCAAAATGAATTGTGCACATGATTTGGATGATTTGGATGATGGGGTGTGCTCTCTCTCGTCCGTACTATACTACCGGTATACTCCGTAAAGTCGAGTTTTATCCCTTGCGTTCTTTGGATGAGTTATTGGGTGAGAAGTATTGATGATGGATTATTTTGAGGGTATTTTTGGAGGCTAGTGGCAAGGAAAAGAAACGGGTGGAGATTGTTTTTATTTGTCTTGATCTATTTTGAAGGCCGAGTACTTTTAGGTTACTGGGTTCATTTTCGATATTGATACTCGGTATTTGATAAATCCCGAGTACAATGTACAATTCATTTCATCTCATTTCATTTCATTTCATTCCAATTCAATCCAAGTCTGTTGACTGAAATGCCAACAGATTATGAGTACCATAGAGGACCATAACTGACCATAACTGATCTTTGTATCTCTGCACATGACATCAAAAGCATGTTTGTCTCTAAAGAAGTGAAGAGTGACTCCTTCACCATAAACATCCCCACATCCAAGTCTCACTCACCACAGCTATCAACCATCCCAAGTTAAATCCTTCCAAAGGTGTAACGATCGTCATACAACTCTGCATAAATCTAAAATGCATACAAAAAGATACTCCATTCCATTCATTTCCATACATACATACATACATAATAATAATCCCTTAAGCACGACCACCACTTTGAAGAATCCTCGCAATATTCTCCGTACTTTTCTCATACGTAGTCTCTAAATATTGTAACTTCTTGCCCAAATTATCAATATCCGATTTCAGCTCCTTGGTCTCGCTTTTTAATCTCTTGTCCACATTGGCTGTAGGGCTGAAAACGAACCTGTCCAATCATTAATGCTTTGTTACATCTATCTATCTTGTGAAGTGACCATGTGGTTTAAGAGGAAAAAAAAATGAAGCTGTGAAGAAGAAAAGCAAGGAACATGGAGGTTTCAAGGGAAGTAAGTGTAAGGGACAAATACATTTTTCCAACTCCTTCATAGACATTGGTGTTGGGTGGTAACGTGGATACTTCGGTGGATGTAAGTTCGAGTAAACGGATTTCGCGTTGTTTGAGAGAGATTTGAGATTTGACGACACTGATTTGTTGTTCGGCTTGAATAGCTTGAGATTGAATTTCGTTGACAAGCTATGAGATGGTTAGCAAATCTTACTATGGTTTTGATATTGGAGGGTTTGGGGGAAGAAGGGGCTCATATCAAGAAGTCTTTGGTGTTTAAATTTACCTTTTGTAAAGCTTCGTTTGAGATAGACATCTTTGTATGTGTATGTGTATGTGTATGTGTATGTGTATATGCGTGTGTGTGTGTAACTGGTGTCAACTAATGTTGGATTGGAGAATATGATTCTTCACGCTTCTTCACCGTATATGCTTCTTGTTGAATACTGTCCGTCTGCTTGCTTCAATATGCGTGGGGGAACTACTTTCAAAAATATCATGCGTTGACCGATAAGAATTGCGATAAGAAAGGCGGTAGAGATGGAAGTTGGTGGCAGAATAGATGATATCCAACTTCAAAAACCCATGATGATAGAGAGTAACATTGGATAAGTTGTGGTTACATCTTGATACCTCGGTTGTTGTAATTATCTTGCCACTGTTCTTGTTCTACCGCTTTGCTGAAGGACATGTGCAAGTATGGAGCCTAGATCCAATACAAGAAGGTTTATCTAAATAGTAGCGAGATATATACTCACTATATGAGCTAAATATAAAGTATTGTTAACCTTACAAAGAGAAACCATGTTGACCGTTTGGCACTTGACTTTACTTCTTTCGCTCCCACTGATCAGTCAAACTGTTGTATATAGCCTCAAAGACATACACACATATTTTGATAAACCATTCAAACCTCTAGCTACTAGCTCCCGTAGCTTCCGGTCAAAACGGTTCAACAAGTTCCAAAATATCGTATTAGGTCCACCCTTTCTACCCATATCTGGAATGACGTTGCATTTTTCAAGCATTTCTCACATTCGACAGGGTCGGCCCTTCACTTCCTGACACAATCAGATCAAGTACCAAAGTAGTTTCCTTGACTAGAACATTAAAGAACCTGCTAATGCTGCTTGCCAATGAATTCAAAGTCAAAAAGTTATGTGTGTTAGACCAATCTAGATATTTTCTATCTTTTGACTTGCTCATTCATTCAAGTATACTTTGATTATCATTCTTGTCTCCTGTTGCTGCGATATCAAACTATCGCCCCGCTGTACGTCCAGAGTACATTGGCCTACGGGCGATCACCACAACAAGCTTTCTCCACGATTTCACCATGGGTTTTCATCTCCCATCAATTCCATATCCTCCAGCGCGACCAGAAGAAGGTTTTTGGGCTCCTGTAACATCGACCATAAATTGGTGTGAAGGCAATACCTCCAAACTTCAGATTATGGCCATCATCTTCTAACATCGGATCATAGAGGACTACTATGCTACTATTTACTCGGCCGAAATCGTCAACACGCTTACCAACCTACTTTTTATATGGCTTTGCATCAAAGGTACTCGGAATTGTTTAAAGTATGGCCATGATGGCGTATTTCTGGTGGCATTTCTAGGCTATGGTGCTGTAGGCACAGGTGAGGAGTTAACCAATCTTCATAATACTCCGACTAACATTGCCAAGGTTCATTCTTGTTCCATTCAACCTTGAAATGTAAGTCATGTCTATCAAATGAACCCATCCAATTACTGACACGATAGTTTAGATCCTATGCAACTTGTTGATGAACTTTCTATGATTTATACTACATGCTTGATGTGCTATGCGACTTTCTCCTTCTCCCAATCCCGCGTCTTCAGACAAGTATTAGCATTTAGCTTAATCTTTTTGTCCGTATTCATCACGGTAAGCAGATAGTTCTGTCCTCACTTCCTCAATTTGTAATGCTAAAATAAGAATGTTAATAGCTCTACTATCATTACCTCCAAGATCCTGATTTTCATCAGAATGCATTTGCCCTTCTGACAGCTACCGTACTTTTCCGTTCCATGTATGTCATGGAAGTTAATATACGTCCTTCTCTTCGGAAGAAATATGCGACCACAGAACTTTCTCACGAACATCCTGATACTACTCATTCCGAGCGTCTAGCAAATGAAAAGAGACAACATGATATTTTGAAGGAAATGTGGTTGATGGTTGGCTTAGGTCTTTCCATATTTCTTGGTGGCTTTGGTATATGGTCTTTGGACAATCATTATTGCTCGACGGTTAGACAATGGAGACATGAGATTGGACTTCCATGGGGATTATTACTCGAAGGACATGGTTGGTGGCATTTGATGACGGGTATTGGATCATACTTCTATTTGGTTTGGGGTATTTGGCTACGACATTGCTTGAATGATAAGCAAGATGAATACGTTTTGAATTGGCCTCATTACCTTAGTCTACCGGAAGTCATCACGCGTCCTGAAAGTAGCAGAATCTCGAATGGAAAACGGAACGGAAAACGAAACGGACATATCAAAGATGAATCTAGAAAATCTGTTTAAAAAGGTTGTTTGTGGTGGGTTGTTATGGGTTTAGGAATACAATACCTCTTTAGAATAGAGTATGGGCATCGAGTGGTCAGACATAAAATATTGATACCCTTTTTTATAGATTATGGATTATACCAACCTCGAACTTTTGCTTTTGATTCAACAGATTAATAATTGTATAAATTATTATTTAGACATATGTATATATATATATATATATATATATAAGTATCTGAAAGAATACTATTCGAACTGGGTGAGCCCTTCCCGCCCCCACGATAAGCTCTAGCCTTGTCTAAAAATGTAGGACCAGCCTTGCGTAAACCTACAAGCCCAACAGGGTTAAATCTTAAACGTGATTGGCTGGATAATCAATTCGTGTCCAATATCAATGAAATAGTTTCAGCCACGGCAAATACGCAATACGCAGGCCCTTCGAAATCAGCATACATTTAAATGAAGTATACGTACTTTTTCCATGAATAAATATGCGAATCTACCCAAGATACCTTTCCCAATATTGTCCATCGAGTTCAAGAACTTTTGAAAGCAAATAAAGTCAATCTCATGCTGTGAGGCTACAACCATTTCCTATTCTGGATCATAATATGCAATGCATGATTTGATATTCAAACAACAATTTACGGGAGCAACGTGTTTCGTTTCTGAAGCTTGAAGATCATGACTAGTCCTGCAAAACAAAGCGCCTCTAGATGGGGATCATTTTTGTCACAAGCTGTAGGAGGATTGGAATCAAGACTAGATAATATATTGGCAGAAGGACAGGAAGGTCAAGCAAACAAACCAGCTTCTACGGCTGGCAGCACAGTTGCCGCAAAACCAGAGGCAGGTATGAAAAGCCGTCTAAAGTTCTTGGAATATGCATTGATCTGACAGTGCCTCTAGCAATTTCTCGAAGTGGATCAAATAGTAGTAGGACAAACGATCGACTACAAGAACGTCTAGCAAGGGCGGTAGCTGCAAAGAATGCACAGAAATCCGGGACACAATCAATATCTTCCAACGTACCTTCGAGAACTGGTAGTCCAATCACAGTTGTTGAAAGTTCGAGACAGAGTCTAGATGCGAGTTCTAGTGTAGGAGGTGACGAGGCTGCGAAACGAATTTCGCAAGACTTTGGGTCTACTGCAAATAAGAATGCTGTCGAGTGGGATGCACCTACTGTGGAGGTTCGACCAAGTACTCCTGTCACTGAACCCAATTCAGATTCCCATCAGGCATCACCCAATATAACTGCCTTGAAGGCTGAACCGACTTCCCGTTTATCGACAGATTCTACTAGGTCTAATATACCTAGAGGATCTATTGATTCTATTCAACAATTGGAGCCAATACCACGCTCATCAGTTGATGAGCTACCGGCAATTATTTCGACTCCAGATGTGGTTCCAACGTCAAAAACCCCGGCTGAACTAGAAGCTGCGCTCAATCAGCTTCAGACAGACTATGAAACCTCCGAATTACAAAGACAGGAGGAAATTCATGGGTACATAGAACGTATTGATGCACTGCAGGCAAAATTACAATATTTAGCAAAAGAAGGTCTAGAATCGGCTAGCAACGCTAAAAATGCTGCACCATCAGGTAGCCTGGAAAGGAAATTGGCCGAGAAAGAACAACAAGTCATTTTACTCATGGAAGAGGGCCAGGTTTTGTCTAAGAAGGAGTTAACCCATATGACGACAATCAAAAAGCTTCGTGCCAAAGTTCTTGAGAATAACAAAGAAGTCGCGGAAACTAAAAAGAAACAAGAAAAGGCTGAGAAAGAGGCTGCATCTCTGGCAGAGCGCCTTAAACGAGCTGAGGGTGCTGAGAAAAGTTTAAATGAGAGGAACAGCGTGATTAATCGACTTCGAAAGGAGCTTGATGCGATTAAGATCGAGAGAGATACTAAGGATACGATAATCGCAAATTTAAAGGCTCAGCTCGAAGATGATGCTGCTCAAGAAAAACAAGCAGAGGCAAAAGTTGCTAATGAAGCACTTGAGGCCGAAAAGAAACGTGTTGCTGAACTTGAGGATGATATTTCTAACCTCAAAATCGAGAAGCAGCTTGTTAATGACAGAGCACAGATACAGATTAAGGAGCTCAGAGAGAAAATGGACAGGGAAGCGGAAAATGCTCGAATTGCAGCTCTTGAAATGAAAAATGAGCAACAAATGTTAGAGAGTAAATTAGAGGTTATGAGAGCTAGAGCCGAAGAGGTATCATCTGGTGCTACAGGAGATGCGCAAGCAAAACTTTTACGTCAAATCGAAACCTTGCAAACACAATATGCTGTTGCAAGTGAGAATTGGCAAGGAATTGAAGCTTCATTGACGGCACGTGCAACTAGTCTAGAAAAGGAGAGAGATGAGGCGACTAAGCGAGAAGCTGAGGTTAGGCGAAAAGCTCGTGAAGTGGTATGTTTTAATTGTCTATATTTCTATGAATGACAGCTAACCACGCTTAGACTTTAAAAGCTAAACGTAATGAAGATGAATTGGAGGAAACTAGGTCGAAATTACCCAATTTTCAACAAGAACTTTCCGAACGAAATGCTCAATTAGATGATCTCAAAAAACGTGTCGAAGAGGCTGAAGCTGCATTAGTATCAGCCAAGGCCGAATTTGAAGATGAGAAACAGATATGGAATTCTGAAATCCAACAACGATTGTTGGATGAGAAACAAAAATGGCTCGAAGAAATTTCTCTCAGTGGTCGCGGAGATTCACCTGTAGCGACAAGTCGAAGGGGATTAACATCAGAATATTTGGGTTTACAAAACATGCAATTGAGAAGAACTTCGGGTAGATCTACAACCGGTGAAGCAACTCCGGAGAGACTTTTACGTCGTCAATCCGGTCAACTACCTTCAAAATCTCCAGATTCTGGAACACCTGTCAGACATGATTCAACGGCATCACTAACACATTCCATTTCGTTAAATTCGATTGCAACAAATGGGACGGGGGATAGAAGTGATTTTAAACCACAAACACCATCTCTTCATACGCTAGAGAATGATGATTTTTTCGAAAATCATAGATCTTCATCCCCTCAACAAACTCTTCACGATATTATATCCACTTCAACTGCTGGTGCAGGACCCACCGTCCAACTGGTCGAAAGAATGAGTTCCGCAGTTCGCAAACTAGAAAGTGAAAAAGTGGCAACGAAAGAAGAAGTAGCTAGATTAGCAGCTCAACGTGATGAAGCGAGAACGGAAATTGTAGCATTAATGAAGGAGATAGAAAGTAAGAGGGAAGTAGAAATGAGGGTTAAGGAATTAGAAGAAGAGGTTAGAGGTGTGAAAGAGAGGTATGAGGTTACGCTTGAGTTACTTGGGGAAAAGAGTGAGGAGGTTCTGGAGTTGAGGGGAGATGTAGAGGATATTAAGGCCATGTATAAGGAGCTTGTTGTTAGAAGTGTAGAGTAGGAGTGGTATCAGGAAAGGGTGAATAGGTGGATGGGTGGATGGGTGTGAGGAAGGATTTAGAGGTGTAAGGGGAAGGCACAAGAGGAAGGTATCTGGGAAGGCATACGGGGTAAGGGACAAGGGGTTGTACTTTTATCTGGAATTGAATCTGCGATCGATTGTTGAATCGTGCGTGTTGGCGGGTAAGCGAGCAAGAAGGCATAGATCTTTCAAGAGAATGAATAAATATGTTAATGATCTGACTCCATGTTATTTGATTATGAATTTACGTTGCTTGTATTTTTATTTGTGTTTATCTCCGAATTCGTCCTGTGTGATCGAAATCAATATACGGAGGATGGATATTTTTGCTAGATTTTGATTTATCTTGCTTTAGTCTGATACTGAATATATATAACTAGACAGGTAATTAGATGATGAATTATCTAGATGAGAAATAAATATGATTTTATACTATAAGTTATAAACAGGAGTAAATAGAACTTTAAATCTAATACTTTACTTTCAGATTATTTTTAATTTGTTTAGATTATTCTTATTTATTAATGATTTTATAATAAATAAATAAATAAAGAAATTTAATTTAATTTAAAGAAATTTAAATTAATTATAGATTTATTAAATAATTAAATTATAAATAGATTTTGAAAATTTTCAAATTTTTTATAATTTAATTAATTGAAGTTTATAAGTTTAAATTCTTTAATTTTTGATTTTTATAAGATTTATATATAAATTTGAAATTTTGGAAAATCTTGAATAATTTTTATTATTAAATGAGATAATTATAAAGTACTTTGAGAGATTACAAAGTAGATGATAAATATAATTTATAAAGTAAAAAAAATTGAAATAATTTGTTTTTGATTTTATTAATCAAGAGTGATAATATATATCAAAATAAGTAATATTTAATTAATATAAAGTTTTATTAAATTAAATTTTAGATTATTAATAAATTAAGATTGATAATAATAAAAATCGTTTAAAAGAGTAGAGGGCTTGATAGAGATTTATTTTATAAGTTTATTTAAAATAAAATAAATAAAACATTGTTTTTTATGACAACTTTTTAATAAAATTTATTAAAAATAAATTAGAAATATTTTTGGAATATTTATATTATGATTGGTTGAATAAATTAATTTATTTTAAAATAAAATTTATTATTATTATTTTATTGATCTTGATATTTTATTTTGTATAAAAGAATATATAAATAAATATTTAATCAATAATAAAACAATAATTATAAATTATTTTTTAAAATGAATTAATTTTTTCATCAATTTTAATATAAATATTTAAAAAAATTTATAACTTTTTTTATTATTATTTTTGTTCAAAAATCTTATCTTTTAGATCTTAACAAAATTAATTATAAAAAATCTAAAATTCAAATTTTATTAATTTATATTAATTCATTGTAAAGTTATTGATAAATAAAAATAATAGTTTTTGATATAAAAAGATGCTAGGAAAGAGAGATGGTTAAAGACTAAAGTATTAGACTTAGATTTCAAGTTGTTTTTAGATTATAATTTAACAGTGGATTGATATAATTGCTGATCTGAGGGTGGAATCTCTTATATTTTGTAATAGAATCAATATTGTAAGTTGATGAGTAGAAGATAGGAATACTTTTAGCTTTTATATTATATTTTATTTTGAAGGATAATAATAGTATTTTCCTCAAGTTATTTAGAGAAGAAATATTAAACAAACATGACATTTGTTTAGGAGACGTCGACTTGTGGGGAATATTGAGGAGTTCACAACCAATCCTTTTCCAAGAAAGTATCTCCATTCCCTGAATTGTTCTTCTCTGGGTATAAGGATTACATTTCCTTCTCTTTTTAAATTTCATGGGCTCTCGTCTCAAGCGTGGACTTCTTCCATGGGTACGCTAGTCTACGAATTAGACCCTTTGTATGCTTCGTAATCCTATTCTTTAGTTATTTCAGACCAAAACTTTCAGTCTATTTTCAGGATATATCTATATATCTCGAATATGACAATAATATGTTACTATATCCGATGATGAGTGATGATGAAGATTGACAATAATTATTGGGAAGTGATGCTCTTTGAATAAATAACATGGCATTTACTTTATTGGAAGCCAAATTGAAAATTGGACTTGCATTCGACTTTATGGAAGTGAGCGACCTATCCAATCTAAAAATCCAACCTCGTCAATTCCAGATACCGTGTCGAACTAGTAAGTTGATGAATTGAAACCGGAAATTATTCTAGCTTTTATACCTCTAAGCGAGAATTTTAAAGTGTTCAGATTGAGAAAGAGGGGCTGTACAGACTGCGTAACCACGCCCGTTAAATTGAAGTTTCAGATGGGGAAAAGAGTACATGTCAATATTCTAAGGCAGGGGAAAGTCTTCTTTGAGGAATTCATTTCTTATTATAACGGATGGCACTTTCCACTGTTTTGATTTCATAGATTTTGATAAAAACCTTTGCAAAAATATCTTATAGTTGCAAGTTGATATTTTATCTTATTACAAGCACTATGCATGGCATGAATGATTTATTTTCTAAACAATAGTATTACAGAGAGAGTTTCGGGTTGATTATTATATATTAATTTACTAAAACAACTATAAATGAGTACTGTATAAACTAACCAAAATTGATAACAATTGTCTAAAGTGACAGTGTCAAGAAGCTGAGTAAATTACAGGAACCTCTCGTGAATGCTATGCTCATATAAACATAGCATTCGATCTCGAAACTGAGCATATGCTTGGTTCTTCGAAACATTCATGCTCTCAATCTGACATTTGAATCTCCTAGACCATGTGAATATGGACAGGGATAATAAATTTATATTAAAAAATATCGACCGAGAAAGATTTTCTATAGCCAGAAGGAAGATTTACTACCTCGGCCCTTAAGGGTTAGAAAACGTGACCTTTAGGGCAAAATCCTATGCTGAAGGTAAACAAAACTTGTGATATCATACTATTGATGTCTTGTACCTGGTCTCTTGCCGTTTCCATACTACCTTAAATAGGAAATTAAAGCTGTGTCCTTTCGTAAACCACAGTAGATACCTTTAGACAAGGAAATATACTACGAAATATAAATCAGAAGCCAAGGACGGCGCCATCTCAAAGCTTCCCCTAATTAATAGAAATATAAGCCAAATAACGGGAGCAGAGATGACTATGTAGTGGCTGTGGTAATTTGACATGATAGTGCTGGAGAATTGGACTAAACTATTGACAAGGGAGGTCCCCATGTTACCAGGTGTGACATGAATGCCGAAACATGATTTGTCTCTGGTTTTGCTTTTATCAAGCCTACTTGGTTGACTACGCTGAACTATGGCATTGAGGTAAGAGTGTGACTTTGTATCCTGAAAAGGTTTACTTTTCCAGCAATGGACATAATTTTGTCTTCATCCAGCCTAGATCAAGTAATTAGTTATGGTGTTTTATAGATGGGAGATGTCAGCTGGACACATCATTATGTAAAAATTTCATTTGCCCATTAAAAGATCAAACAGCTTAGTTTTATATAAATAGAACAAGATACATGACCATCCATACACATATATTACTACCTGAATATTCAACCCTCTCACATATCATACACCCTCATCCTCAAAAGATATCAAGAAGCGACGAAATCTCTCCAGCAATCGCCGAAGCTGTTGTCTGAGAAGCAGAAGGCGCACTGGTAACACTCGAAACATCCGTAGAAACACTGCTCTCACTTCCCTTTGCCGTCACACTTGCAACACTAGAAGAAGCAGAACCACTTTTCACACTAGAAGCATTTCCCGTAGAAGAAGCCACGGTGGTCATCCCACTTGTCCTGGTCGACGCAGCACTGTATACACTCATCTGACTTGAAAATCCCGAAACACCAGCTTTATACCAAGCCGCTTTTCCTGCCTCGGCACTAATGATGGAATCTCTGTATCCGGTTGGAATAACGATTTTGCTAATGGAAGCAGAGGATGAGATGGTAGATGTAACTGTTGTGGCGCTGAGGGAACATCCGATGGTTTTTACCACTATGGAAGAGATAGTGGATAGTTTTGTAACGGAACCGAGAGTGTTGGTTGCGGGGGAGACGAAATAGGTGATATCGGTCACGGTGTTAGATACAGAGCAAGAGACTGAGCCGGTGGAGGATGTGAGTGGAGAAGAGGAAGTTATGGTTCCAGTCCCTGAACTGCCAGAGACGGAGCTGGAGCTAAATCCTGATGATAGAGAACCTGTGCTTATGACAGAGCCAGATGTGCTACTGACACTGGTCGATGAAGTGGAAGAAATAGTAGAAGATGAGACTTTAGATGTCGAGAGCGAACTTGCTGAAGTAGGAGTAGAAATAGAACTACTGCTCGAAACTGAAGATTTCGAGCTAGTGGTCGTGGTGCTTGGGTCCGAGCCACTTTTTACCGAACTCGTAATAGGAGTTTCAGTAGCTTTGACAGAGGTAGTCGTTGGTGTACTTACCACGGCTGTAGTTTTTTGAGTTGTTGCTACAGCCGTGGTTTTTTGGGTCGTTGGTGCAACCTCTGTTGATTTTGCAATGGTTTTTGCAGTGGTCTTTGCAGTCGTTTTCTTCGCGGCTCTTACGAAGAATCTAAACAGCCCAGCATTATCAAAGGACCCCTCTAAAGGTGGAGGAGTCTCCAAAACAGTCCCTGATATTGTAGTAGCTAGATCAGTACTAGCAGAGTCTGCTTGAAGACCAGGATATGCTTGAACAGCAGAAACCAAAAGCACAGAGGCAATAAGAGAACGGGGAGAGAAATGCATTTTGAAACGAATGATTTTAATAAAAAAAAGAACTGTAAGGACCGTAATAACAGAAAGACTGTATATGAAATGTTCAAGTAAAGTTTGACTCAAGAATCTCTTAGTTGGGTGCTACATCTTATATGGAAGAGGTGACATTCGGGAATACTGATTAACATCTTGGATAATCGACACAATCACAGCATCAGCTGTATAAAGGATCAGGATTGTGTCTATTATTACTATGTTTCGGTTCCAATCATGTTATACATGATTAGGAATCAGAAACGAAATGAAAACATAAGCAGATTTCCACAAAATAAGAATAACTATCGCTTATGTCAGATGGTTCATAAGTATTCTGGATGACATACCCAGCAACTGCGCCTCAAGCGATTTAAGCTTAAAGATCCTACAGTATGACAAACTTAAGGGGTCTGTCGGTATTACACCTTTTAGTTCTAGAAGAAGGATGAAATAGGATCAAACTGAGGCCATTTAGTAATCACTTGGCATGACTTTTTTTGGATTGTGGGGAATTGTACACAGTGAGCAAACGAGCTGGACATGTACTGATATAGCATACTTCTAACTTCCATGCAATATAATTTTCCACCTTCCATGTATATATTATATCCTTTCAAGTACTCAAGTAAACTTTCTCATCAACATATTCATTCCGTATTTTTGCTTTCGTAGCAATTTTCTGTCCTTACCTGGTGTTGTCTACATTCGTTCAGTATTTTACACTCTCATTTATATTCCGAAATTTTCAATCCTTTTGGAATACTTTGAAGAACAAAATGAAGCTTCTACCGTTTCTCTTAACAACAGGCCTACTTGGTCAGGCGATGGCTGTTAGCATGAGCAGTCGTTTTACGGTTTCGTCAACTTGTTCGACCTCTAAGGTTGATGACATGTTGACGGAAACAATCGAAATGGTAAATAGTGCCATTCAAGGAATTGATAGTCTGCTTAATGCCGGAGTCAAACTCAACCCTAATGTTGCCTCCAGTGGAATGAAAGCTCTCACGAAAGCTGCTACCACAGCTTGGGGAGTTTCAGAACCTAAGTGGTGGTCATATTCATTAAGTGCAGTTGATATTGCTCAACTAAAAGCAGCGCAAGGTATGAATGGCCGTTTTGAAGCGGAAATTAATCAAAACAAAACTAATATAATATAGGAAATTATCAGAAACTTTATGCAGCTTTGAACTCTGGCACTGGAATGACCGCAAGCCAGAACACATTATTCTGTGATGATTCGACATTGAAATGGACCACTGTATGATTCCCTCAACAGCAGTAGAGATATAATAACTAACAATCTCCATAGAAAGCCATTGATATCTTCCCCGATGGTGGTACCATGACGACTGAAGAATACTGTAAGTAATAAATGGACAGCATCATGAAGCACTAGCTAATGAATCATCTCCAGTCGTGGCTCAAGGTTACAGTGACACCAGCGTTGTCAAGGGATTATGGAAGGACCCGGACCACAAACGTGGAAAAAACTACAACTTCATTATTGACGAATATAACGGAGGCCAAATGTGTGGTTCAAAGTCTGCTGAAGCCATCACATACTGGCAAAGCGGAAATATGTTCCTGTGTCCCAACGCATTCAATAATGCCAACTACAAAACTAGCTTGAAAAGCATGAGGACTTCGACAGCTCAAGTTCTATGGAATGATGTTCGATCACTTCCTGGAACTTTCTTGCATGAAATGATGCATTTCCTTGACTTGAAACCACATGGTAAGTCTTCGTGTTTTTGGATTAGCTAGATCTTGCTAATAAGAAATATAGTCATCGATCATACAGTTACTGGTGACAAGGGGGGACAAGTTGCAGCTTATGGTCTGATTGCAGTCTGGATGTTGGGCGGTCAAGCTGGACAAGAAACGGTAGACAGATCGAAGGCTTTAACGAATGCTGATTCTTATAATGTTTTTGCAACAATGGCATATCTTCAGTCAGCAGAATTTTTGGGTTAAACGGAAAAATAGGAGGAAATGGACGGGGGAGTATGTAGGAAAGGAGACCATGTAATGTTCATCTTTTTTTCCGGTACTTTTTGCCAGAAAATTCTGTATTTATTTTTGTAAAGGGCGGTGATACGGTTTCCTGTGAAGGTCGAAGGGCGCGTTTTCTTCGAACAGAGAACCGTATAGTACCGGCATGTATTAGTGCGTCGAAGCTCTTATATATATTTCCTATCCTATCATAGATTCTACACAGAATAATAGTAAAGACCTACTTCGAAACAAGTACTATAGTAATTAAGAAGGATCAACACGCATCAGACTCCCAAATTCAATATGGTCTCCCCGAGCAGAATTGGGTCCATTACGTATGGTGGAGTTAGGAAAAGAACTATTAATAGTGTTAGAGATCCTGTCACCGGTAGATTTCGGCCTCAAACCAAGCCCAAACACAACGCTCAGCCCAACAATCCGCCTCCAAATCCACCAACAGCAGTCCGTATCCAGACGCAGGAATTAACTTCATATCCAAAGAGCAGTATGATGTGCTAGTTGATAAGCTGGTATGTTCCAAAATGATTGAATATGGATGGAATTTCTAATGAGTATCTTAGCACCGCACTAAAGAAAAGTACTCGGAGTTAAAAGGAGAAAAGTCGAAATTTAAGCGAAGAGAAAACGAGATTTTACAACACAAACGCGAAGTTGCGAGACTCACCGAGTATGGCGAAGAGGTTGATCGACAAATGCAGGAACTTGAAGATAGATTGGAAGATCTTGAAGAATTCGAGGAGCAAAATCAAGAACTTGAAAAGAGAGTAGAGTATCTTGAAGAGATAAAAGCAGAGAAAGAGAAACTAGAGAGCAGAGCTGAGCAGCTGGAGGACATGGTTTGGGACATGGAATCGAAGGGAACAGCGACTTACAATGGTCGGACTCAATCAGAGATGAATTACAGACCGCTTTTCAGGACCGACGTTTGAATTGTTACACCAAAGTGAAGGTATTGACTGTTCGATGGGCTTCGGATGACTTAGGTGTTTCCCAAGAGATGAACGATTTGGCTATCGTTCTCAAGTACTCATACAACTTTGAGGTCGCGTAATACAAAATACCCGATATCAATCCCATAAAGGCATTACTAAGCCGCGTTTTGGATTTTATAGGAGACAATTCTCCAGACACACTTCTCATTTTCTCGTACCATGGTGACAGTGGATTTCATGATACGAGGCATGATCATATTTGGTCTGCGTAAGTGTACTCCATACCATCATTGCTCTTCCAAGCTAACGATAGAATAGAACCACAGAGAAGGAACTTCCTTGTATGCCTTCCAGTGGTATTCAGACTCTACTTGGGGAATCTGAATCAGACGCTATTCTATTTTACGATACGTGCCATTCTGCAGATACTGCCATGACATTTAGCCCTTCAGCAGGAAGTGTGACAGAGCTAATCGCCGCATGTGGATTTCAAACAACTGCCCCGGGAGCCGGCAACAACACTTTTACACCCGCACTTATACGGGAATTATCCTCAGCTGCAGCACAAGAAGCTTTATCTGTTTCTGGGTTGTACAACCGAGTACTTGCTCGTTTGAGAAATACCAGAAAACGCGATAGGAATACAACACCTATTCATTGCACTTCTAGCCACCACGTCATACCAGGCTTCCGGAAACTCGGATGATGGGAATATAGCGCACCATATTGGACTTGTGCAGAAAAGATCCGATAGGCTTCACGCTAAAGGATTGCTGAAATGGTTGTTGAAGGCCCCATCTAGTATCCTCGATATCGAACTAAGCCACATTCAACAACGGCCCTCATCAGATGACGGTTATGTATCTCAATAAAAGTCTTTGGTACCAAATCCAGCGATGGAGCTGAGGCCATAAAAAGGGGAGGTAGTTCGTGAATTAGTTCAAGTATCCAAAGATATCGATAAAAAACTTGTTTATAGATGAATGTATCATTATAACCCAATATCAGTTGTCAACCTTTATAATTATAAATTCTTAAGTGAACATTTTCTTGATTTCACGTGATTCATGCCTTGGGTCTGGTTTCATAGCCTAACTAAACTTGGATCCTCGAGGTCCAACTAAATCCATCAATCCAACTATGGCAGATAATACACGACAAGACCGTGAATACGGCCGCAGAAGGCATTCACGTTCCAGATCGCCTCGGCGACATCATTCGCATTCTCATCGAAGACGATCACCACATGGTAGCCACCATCGAAGCATACGGCCCGCCGAAGTAGCACCAGAGCCTCTACCATACAATTGTAGGCCGATCACGAAACATGATTACGACTCATTCAAACCAATGTTTGCATCGTATCTGGATATTCAAAAAGGCATATTTTTGGACGAATTAGGAGACACAGAAGTCAAAGGGAGGTGGAAGAGTTTCATAGGAAAATGGTAACCACGAATTCTGGCTCTGGCCTAAGAAAGTTTTCGGATACTGGCTAACATGTGTGAGGAATCGTGGAGAACTTTCAGAAGGTTGGTATGATCCGTCAACCTTGCGAAAAGCCCAAGAATCAGCGAAGGAATATGAGGATGAAATCGCTCGAGAATCCAATCCAATCCAATCCCACGAGCCTCCCTCAAGTTTCACAAAGCGCGAATCCGAATACGATGACTCGGGCAGAGTGGAAGGTGACGAAAATGATAGCGATGATTCCATAGGTCCAACGTTGCCAGGAGAAATGAACAAAGTCAAAAGAAATAGGTCTGGACCAAGTATACCAAACATGGAAGATCTGGAGCTCAAGAGAGGTATTTGCACCGAATTCTGAGACAGGATTCTTGCAGTATCTAACTATGTCACAGAAATGGCTGTTGAAGACCGATTAGCTCGGCGCGACGATACAAGGTATGAACGAAGAATCGATCGCAAAGAGCAAAAGGACGCATTAGATGAATTAGTTCCTCGTGCCGAAGCCGGAACGCGGGAACGGCAATTGGAAAAGAAGAAGGAATTGAATGAAAAGATGAAGTCCTTCAGAGAGAAATCTCCTGGTGCAGCAGAAATTCCGGATACTGAATTGATGGGCGGCGATGATGGGATCGAAGGGTTCAAGAAGAAGAAAGAGGAGTTTGAGCGCAAGAAGAATGAGAGAGAATTGAGGAAAGAAGAAATAATGAGAGCTAGGCAAGCTGAAAGAGAGGAGAGATTGCAGGAGTATAGACAAAAGGAGGATGGAACTATGGCTATGCTCAAGGCTTTGGCGAAGCAGAATTTTGGATGAGAGGATGAGAGGATCGGAACGGAAGGCAGGATAAACAATAATACCACCTTTGGGCAGACCAATGTTCTCATACCTATGCAACGACACAAGTTATTTCAATATTAGCCTGTCGCAAGAATATTCATTATGTGAACTATGTTTGGGTGGAAATTCGATTTAGCCTCGCGCGCAGCCTTGTGAATGCCGAGACGGATAAAATAAATCTATCGACTACTTCAATCCCAAACAATACAACCAATTCCGCACGTATCGACATGATATGTTCCAAATAATCTGATCTATTGAGCTGCGAAAGAAAATTAAGATTCCAAATATCTCAGAAGTTAATCAATTACTGCATGCGTCAGGAATAAGAAATAGCTGGTGCGACCGGGCTGTCGTTATGGAGGTCATCGGGAGGAGCGCGATATGCAATGGGCTGAGAGGCACTCGATTTCGTTGTTTGAACGAAGTCAATCGTAGTTTCAACCTAATTCAGCGCTCAATAAACACAACGACGGGCCGAGCAGTGAACCAGAAAGCCCAGATCTCGAGAAAACCTTCCAGGCCTCAACAGCAATACAAGTAGAGCTTTCATATTCAGATACTATGGATTCCAACTAACTCGCCGCAGGACTCCAAATGCGAGACAACCTCTAAACTCAATTGCATCTTCATCCGCTCCACCCCCTCCACCACCGAAACAGAATCCACTTCGAGGCAGGAAATTCGCATTGATAGGAAGTAGTTTGGCGGCCCTTATATTTGCCGGCTATTCTTCCTACTTATTTGTGTTACTCAATAGGGTACCGGCTGAATCTTCTGCATCCAAGGTCCAAACTGATGTCTCAAGTCGTTATGATACCATTGCGTCTACATTTGACTCGGAAGTCGATTGGACAGAATGGAGTATGGGAATCACAAAAATGCGCAAGGAACTTGCGCAAGAAGCATATGGAGATGTACTTGAAGTATCTATTGGTACAGGCCGGAATTTAGAGTATTATGATTGGAATTTCAAAGGATTTAATGGTGTGGGAAAACTTCAAAAAGTGGGTGGCATTAAGAAGGGGAAAGTCAAGAGTTTTACGGCTGTCGATAAAAGTGGTGAGATGTTGGAAGTCGCCCACGAGAAGTTTTCGTCAATGTTTCCAGGAGTCTTGGGTGTGAGATGGATTATTCAAGATGCTGCCGAGAAAATACCTGGCCCCCCTCGAAATGCAAATGAAACAAGCGGAAACAAGGATACGAAATATGACACCGTAATCCAAACTATGGGGTTATGTTCCGTTGCCGATCCGGTAGGGCTGTTGAAGAATCTGGGGGAGTGTGTGAAAGAAGATGAGGGGCGCATATTATTACTGGAGCATGGAAGAGCAAAATGGGATTGGTTGAATAGAGCGTTGGATAATAGCGCAGAAGGGCATGCAAAACTTTTTGGGTGTTGGTGGAATAGAGATATGGGAAAGATTGTCGAGGAAAGTGGACTTGAAGTTGTGAATATTAAAAGACGCCACGGAGGAACGACCTGGAGGATTGAGTTAAAGAAGCCAAAAACCAAAGCGGAAGAGAGTGGCGTGAAAGCTACGATAGAAGAGAAGATACAGGATGCATCGAAAACGAGTTGGTGGTAAACACCGTCAAATCAACGGCCTATCAAATATATGCATCGGCTACCGCACAGACAGAAGGCGATAGATACCACGAAAATCATCCGACACTTCGGAGGTTTTTTTACCCATGCTGCGTGCAGTATCTATTATCTCTCATGGTTCATTGGTCGTCTAATCGTCTTTTTCTCAATCCTGGGAACCACGCTCAATCAAAATTCTCGAACCAAATGAAAATCGAATCAAGTCAAATTTATAAATGAAACAACAAGTACCACCTAAATTTGCACTCAACTCGGACCCTTTCTACTTTTCTCATCCACGTAGTGAGTAAAGATCAGCAAAATATCCAATTGACGTCCATACGCCATAGACAGATATCATGCAGTATCCCTTGTCCGGTGATCCCGCCGATGACGTCCATGTGCTTGGAAAGTTACGGATTATAACTACAATTACATGAACTTACATGAACCACACGAGTCTGGATATTTTCCCCGCGTCAAAAGGCTGTTCATCCATGCATTCCACCTCTACCACTCATTTACATTCGTTATCTTCACCCTCGTACCATTCATTACAACATCACATATTCTCATATCCAGCTATCACGTGCCAGGGGTCTGGGGTCTAGATAGGACTTTCCCCGGCCGGAGAGTAGGTTAAAGAAACGGGCAAGTGGATCTTGACTAGGCAATTTACAGGATCCCGTGTCAATGTGGGACTAAAATCTGTCAAAATACAAATCTTTTTACATAACAATTTTCTTGACTTGCTACAAAAATCCATGTTGATCTTTGGAGGCCCTTGACTATTTGCCTACTGTCATATTCTTATCATTTTGCGGGGTTTCTACCTTGTACTCCGTACGTACGCGGTGGGTAAAGTATTATCTCTTTCAATTTACATAGTAGAGAAATATGTGAGACATTCCTCTGTTTATTCCCTTTTTCTTCTCTCCAAAATATTCTCATCCTTCTTCATCCTTTTCTCTTTCATATCAAGTCACCATGGCTCGACATGCAAATGTTGATGCTGATGCAGCTCACTTGGCTGCCCATGGCCATGTACAAGAATTAGAGCGTAACTTCTCTTTACTATCCATGTTAGGTCTTGCATTTGCAATCCTCAATTCATGGACTGCTCTAGCTGCGAGTTTAAGTGTAGCATTACCAAGTGGTGGACCAACCTCAGTACTTTGGGGATTGATCAGTAAGTTTAACTCCACGTTCTATACTTCGTTCATAGACTTGATACTTATTGTAAATCCAAAGCTGCCGGAGTATGTAATTTATGTCTTGCCGTCTCACTCTCCGAATTTCTTTCTGCCTACCCGACAGCAGGTGGCCAGTATCATTGGGTTGCAGTTATAAGTTGGAAGAAATATGTTCCTATCCTCAGTTGGATTACAGGATGGATCAACGTCTCTGGTTGGATCGCACTCGTCTCATCAGGTGGTCTTCTCGGCTCGCAACTCATCGGCGGAGTCATTTCGCTCATGAACCCGGACTATGAACCACAACGCTGGCATCAATTCCTCCTCTACATCGCATACAACATTATCGCTTTCATCGTTAATGCATTCATGACATCCCTATTACCTCTTATTACCAAGTCGGCATTTATCTGGTCAATTGTTGGATTTGCGGTCATTAGTATCACGGTCTTGGCGACAGCATCTCCAGAATACAATGACGCATCATTCGTCTTCACCGACTTCATCAATAGCACAGGATGGCCCGATGGAATTGCTTGGCTTCTTGGTTTACTCCAAGCTGGTCTTGGACTAACTGGTTTTGACGCCGTCGCTCATATGATTGAAGAGATTCCCGACCCAGGAGTTCAGGGTCCAAAGATTATGATTGGATGTGTCTTAATTGGTGTATTCACAGGATTCATTTTCCTCATGGTCCTTCTTTTCGTGGGAGGCAACGTCAATGATGTTATTGAAAGCGCAGCGGGTCCATTGCTCCAGATCTTTTACCATGCAACTGGTAGCAAGGCTGGAGCAATCTGTCTCCTCATCTTCCCGCTCGTTTGTCTTCTATTCGCCACCATCTCTATCACTACAACTTCTACGCGTATGACTTATGCATTCGCTCGCGATAACGGCCTCCCTTTCTCAAGAGTATTCTCTAGAGTTCATCCAAAATTGGGTCTTCCGCTAAATGCATTGTATCTTACAATGGCATGTGTACTGCTTTTCGGACTCGTCTTCTTGGGAAGTTCATCGGCTTTCAACGCGATTGTTAGTGCGAGTGTGGTGGCTTTGGGGGTTAGTTATGCGATTCCAGTTGCGATTAATTGTTTGAGGGGTAGAAATTGTTTGCCGGAGACGAGAGCTTTCAAGTTATCGGAACCGGTTGGGTGGATTTGTAATATGGTGAGTTGTCTACTCTCCTCTTTTGCTGCGACGTTGACTAATCAATAAATAGGTCGGCATTGCGTATGTAATGGTAACCACAGTTCTATTCCTCTTTCCTCCAGAATTACCCGTTACTGGCAGTAATATGAGTATGTTCTCCCCATATAATTTATCTCACTTTCTACAGTACTAACACGGTACAAAATAGATTACTGCGTAGTAGCCTTCTTTCTCGTCTTCGTCATTGCAGTCATACAATGGTTCGTCGACGGCAAGAAAAACTTTACCGGTCCAAGAATCGATATGGAAGCTATGCAGCACGGTGAAGTGGTGGGGATTGTGGTTGGTGATGAAAGTAGTGAGACTCCTAGTGCGGATTTTGGGGAAAAGGGGGTTAAATGAATGAACGAATATAGGTATCCTGCCATATTGTAAGAATATTACGCATTAGATGGATAGATTAGATGATACACCGTACATACATATATATGTACTGATAGATAATTATGATTTTAAGAAGAAAAATATTAACATGAACAATGGAAAATAAGCATGGCGATAAAACCATGGTGAATCGGATGCCGAAAATCCAAACGAGTTATGAATAGGAAGAAAAGCAAGAAAGAATACGACTAACGCTCACGTCAAGCCGAGGATAAATGCGGTAGTGCACGAAAATGTGGGCTTTAGATTTTTATTTCAGGGGTTCAACGGTCAGGAGGGTGCACTGGAGTACTCGTGCGTGCTGTCAAAATTCAGAAAGTACTAAGTAGAAAGTAGAAAGTATTAAATTCCGAACTCTAAATCTGTATTAAGAAAGAAGGGAAACACAAACACTTGAAAATGGAAATGGGGCAGTTTGATTCTTGATTCTTAGGAAATATTCTATATTTTGTTGCATGCCGATAGCCTATTGGTAGTGTTCGGAGTTATATTATCCGCTTGAGTAGAATTACGGGGTAGGGGTTTTCAGGTGGGGCCGTTGTAACCTTATGGCACTGGGCTTCGTGGAGTAAGTTCGGGAGGAGGGATGTTGTGATTTGAGCTTGGGGTTTGGCTTTGGAGGTTTGGAGGTTTGGCTTTGGGAGAGTTGTGAGAGGTATGTATGTTCATTAGTGGTAGGGGTGGGGTTGGTTTGGGTGATGAGATGAGAGAGATGGAGGGATGGTTTGCGAGAGAACGGGGATGGGGATGGGAAATATCAATAGTGTTGTCATGGGAATGATTTGCTTGGATGAGTTGTTATGAAATGGCTGGGATTTTATGGCATGGGGAAGTAAGTACGGAGTAGAGGGGCATGGAATAAGTAGTTCTCCCCAAATGGGTCAGCGGGAGGAACTCGGGAGGGAGTATTGAGAATCATGTATGTGTCGGCTATGATGAGGGTCGACAAAAGGTGATTAGCGGCCGGCGTAAACTTGTTCTTGGCACGCAGACGAGTAACTAATGTCGGCCAGTTGGTCAGTCACTTGCTTGGTCCTGGGAGAAAGGGTATTCTATTCCCGAGGACAGGAGTACTGAATATCTCTCCACGTGTAGCTGGCATAATGTCGGACCATAGCTTGGATAACATAAAAAAGCAGATGCCATGTTAAGCTTGTTCAGGCCATGATATTGACGTCTACTCCTGATTTGGAATACTGCCCGGTAGAAAAAGTATTGAATTCCTGTTTCCGCTAAACTCTACTGATGAGCAAGAATTTAGCCAGAAATGCCGAAAAAGAGGGGCTGATTCATCTAGTTTATATTAGCGACGACAGGAGCGGAAATTTCGGACTGTCATTTGTAGTAATACCGTGCTTTTCGGATCAACCATTAACAGTATTCTTAAGGGAGTCTGAAAATGACCCTACTCTGCTTGTTATTGGTCCCATTTATTGTCTTTTTTACCGGTGTAAAACCCTCAAATACTTGAGGACTCCGGTCATGAAGTTGACTATGAAGAGGACAGCATTGGGACTAAGGAAAATGATGCGAATGTTTTGACACTTACAGCAACAGAATTAGACAACTTAATTCTTGTGAGTCCGCCTTTCCAGTGCCTTCCACTCATTTGCCAAAGTCGCATTTCTAATGCCAAGGCATAGTGGAATGCAACTAATCTAGGACTGAGAATGACTGCTCAGACCACGACCACCGTGGTAAAATGCTGTCAACGTGGTGTCTTTTACGTCTTGAGGGCTGTGGGAAGGTTATGAATCCTCAGCTAAATAAGCATGGTCTGCACTAGCAGCTATGAAGTGAATGTAGCAAGACTCAGGACACGGGGACCAGAGCCATTGATGGCAAATACAGAGGACTCCACTAGAGTTATGAAAGCCAAATTGTTAAAGTGCGTCTCCTCATTTTGATGGTCAAAATAACATATTGTCGGAAGAAAAACTGCGTAGGTTCGCAATATGTATATGATTTGAGAAAGGAAGTATCTCGTAGGACACTTCTCACCCCGCTTGAGGAACCGTATTTCGCAGTTTGGATTCAAATAGACTTTATAATGCGTATGAGAATACAGTTCAAGCAATGTTGGAAACGGTGCAATTGGTGGCGAAAGAGAAGCTATTCCCAATGTAAAAATAAGCTCAAAATGGTGCAGTGGAGATATATGGCCGTGAGGACCGTTCAAGATTGCTCGTCTTTTGTGTATTAATGCAGAGACTATTCTGTAGTATCATTTTGAAAAATGCTTTCTGTACGAAACTGCTGTATTGTGACCCATGAATAAGTTAGCTGCTCATTTGAAGCGTGACGATGTATTGAAGTTAGAGTGGCGTCGTGATTCTAGCCTTACGGTAATTGTAAGACTTAGCTTGTGGTTTTAGCGTTCGCTAGCCTACAATGATGAATATCAAGCTTCCTTCCATCTTTCCAACCACATTCTCTCCATTATAATGTAAATTCATTCACCACCACCTCTTAACTTCAAACAATCACAATCAAAATGGACGATGATGATGATTTCGGTGCAGATGCAGATTTTCTAACAGCTCTCGCACAAACCCCCATTCTAGCTTCACCTGCAACCCGCCTTCAACAACCTACCCCGCAACGCGTTCAACAACCTACTCCACAACGTCTTGATCGCCCACCACCGACGAATAATGCATCCGCAGGCCCCAAAGTTGTTCAACCAACTCCCCAAGCTATTGCTTCGAGATCTTCTGGTTCAACGATTCAAGTATCATTGCGACAGAAAGGCAACCCAATACTGACAAATCTTAAATCCTTTCCATGGGAATACTCAGATATTCCTGCAGATTATGTCCTCGGAGCAACAACATGCGCACTCTTCCTATCACTCAAATACCATCGATTACATCCCGAATACATATACAATCGAATAAAGGGTTTACAGGGTAAATACAATCTACGAATACTCCTTACAATGGTTGATATTGGGAATCACGAAGAGAGTTTGAAGGAATTATCAAAGACAAGTTTGGTGAATAATGTTACCGTCATATTATGCTGGTCTGCTCCTGAAGCTGCCAGATATCTTGAATTATATAAGAGTTATGAACATGCAAATGCTAGCGCTATTAAAGGTGTTGAAAGTAAGAGTTATGGGGATAAAATGGTAGATTTCATTACAGTCCCAAGGAATATTAATAAGACGGACGCTGTCGCATTAGTTGATGCATTTGGAAGTATTAAGAATGCTATCAATGCAAGACCAGAAGAAATTGCTGTTGTTAATGGTTGGGGAGATAAAAAGGTCAGAAAGTGGTGCGGAGTTGTTGATGAACCATTTAGAGCACGAAAGGCAGCTCGTAGAGGTTTGAGTAGGAGGGAAACAACAGAAGATGGGGCAGAAATATTAGGAGTTTTAGATCGTGCTATACCTCTTAGTCGTGTTCCGTTGAGAGAAATGACTTCTTTAGGGGAGAAATCTACCGACTCGTCACATCAAAGTCAAAGTCTTTCAAAGGAGAGACAAGATGATTGGATAACAGGCGATGACGATGAAGAAGCATTAATCTGGGCCGCTCAGCAAGAAGAAGATAGATTAGCTCGAGAGAAGAGAAAAGAGATGGCAAGAAAAGATGAAGAACTTAGTGGAGGAGTTGCCGCAGCTTTAGCAAAGTTACGTGAGAAACACTGAGATATTTGAGGATTATGATATTCTATTGCTATTTCTTCATCTACTGTGATGTATCTCTAACCTGCTGAATGACATTCTCTTACTCTACATGAACTCGGGAATCGACCTAAGAACATATTTTGCTGTGGACAATGAACTGCTGGTTTGCCTATCCTTCCATTTTGGGCTAATGTCATGACTTTCATGTCCTGACACTTATTATGCGCAACGTTCTATCCCTACAGCGTTGCGTTGCCTTTAAGCTCTGGCTAAATCTGAGGATCTCGTGTTTGAATCCCAATGGTGCGGCAGGCCTTTAGACCACATCCCGATTGATATTCCAGTAGAGACTATAATTTGAGGTTGGAAACTAGAATAGCGTTTTCCACGATAATCTCAATTTACCTGCAATAGGAACCATGTATGTAGGCCATATACGTGGGCCAAATATTCCATGCTGCTAAAATGTTAAATCTTGAAACCAGTCAATTTCGATTTGATGTATGGGTTGGACTAGACCTCCCATTACATATCATGTTTTTGACGGTCTTTTTTGCAGATATATCTCTCCTTTTATGCATTTTGTGTTGCATTCTATACGGTCTTGACTCTGTATTATGGAGAAGGCTTGTGTACCTTCTCGTCAAAGGTTTAACCTCTCTTCTTCAATTTCTCTGTCTGGTCGAGGCTGTCCTCAACATCTTCATCGCCTTTGGTGTTTTATTTACCGATATCCTCTTCCTTTTCAATTTTCTGACCCAACACATACATCCCAATCATATATCCGAGTATAGCGCCCCTGTACTTTTCCAATCGATGTTCGAAGAACAGTGTTGCGAACATCCTCATCTTTCCAAATCTGAAGTCGGGATCATGGGCCAGGGTGTAAATCCATCTAGATACTTTTTCTCAAGAAGCAATAAATGGGGCTTTGAAGTTAGTTGCTTTCCTATCAGTGTCTATATATTCTTTTCAGCTTATAGTTGCTTAGTACGTAAAAGCTGGTGCTATTTAGTCATCGTGAAGGAATTCGTCTAGGTCAATCTGTGCAGCTATATTGAGATTTTCTATATAGTCCAAGCCCTATTTCTTTGATGAATTCTTACATCTATAATTTACTTATCTTAGATGTGACGCTCAAATAGCTTTATCGCCGCTGTTTATGCTTTAGAATAGAATTCTTTTAGAAATGGATATTTTTCTGTTTTATTTATATATTTTGTTGCTAGTTAGACTTTATATGAAAAGTTTTGAGCAGTCTTTTATTAACACTTTGAGACTCTATGGCAGCGGTCTCTATCGCCCTCACCTGTCTCTCGTCATAGATTGAAGATTCATTCCTTATCATTGATTCTTTAATTCTGGTTATTTACTCTTCTCATTGAGAAAGTTTCTCGTCAAGGGCTCCTAGTTCTTGTAACTCGATCGAAAACAATTGAGGAAGTTTTATCATGAATATCTCAGTCCTTAGTTCATTGATCGTTGACCATTATTGTATGGATACTTCTCTTAAGCTATCAGCCTCTTCGACTATCTTTTAAAGAATTCAGAAGCTAGCTTTCCTTTTTGTATGTCCTGATCTGAGCTAGCTCCTTTCAGATAGCTTCGAAAGATTTCGTTAAATTCAGTCAAGTAACTGCGTTGAAATGCTTTGATCATTTAGTCGTTATGCCACTGAGCAATTTATCTTTGTTTTCCCGGAATCGATAGTAGTTGAAACTTGTTGCACGCGGAGTTGTTTGATGGACTGCTTATGGGGTTTCGACTATTTTATCCGCTTTTCTCGAAGTCTTGAATTATCTCGGTTTATTCGAACATTTATTCTACATAGAGAGGCCATTTTCTTCTTGAGTTTCTTCTATATTTTGATTCTGTTAAGCAATTAGTTAAGTTCACTTAGCTTGGCTGTCTAGCCTTGATGTATTGCTTTTATTTACCATTTCGTTCGTTCAGATTGTCACGAGCTCTAACGACCTCGTCTTCTTAGCCATTCCGTCTATCTATATTGATACTTGAAATTTATAATCATTCGGTTCTAAATCCCTACTCTACATTCCGGCCACCCCTCATTCCGGCTATTTTCCTTACCAAAATGACAAAATCAACATTTACAACTTTCATATTTATAAATACAATTTTTGAAATCTTAAATATAAATTTACTATTTATTTAATAATAAATTCTGAAATTTTATTTGTATATAAATTATATATAAATTTAAAACTTAAAAACTTAAATAAATTTTAATAAAATTTTTAAAAATAAAATATAAATTTTTTAAAATATTTATACTATAATTGATCAAACAGATTATATTCAACTTATTATTATTATTATTTTTAAATAAAAGTTTCTAATTTTTAATTATTAAAAACAAATCAATATTCTATTTATACTTTGATATATATTCAATATTTAAATCTTAAATTTTCATTAAACTATCTCAAAAAGTTAAGAATCTAAATAATATAAACCTTTAATAAAGATATAATAAAAAAAGAGATTATATATTTCTGTTACGAAATCATTTTATAGAATGTCACAAGGTAACAGTCAACCTGTCTTTATAAGCTTTGACCTTGTTGAAAAGCAAAGCAATTTGTATATAAATTTGTATAGTAATTGTTTTATATAATCTTTCTATTTTCAACAAATTTGGATATATAGTTTGATCTTAATTATATAATAGAGTTTTTAAGAGTATAGGTTTTGTAGGTTTTGAAGTTTTTAGGAGTATAGGTTTTGAAGGCTTTCAAAATAGATTAATATATAATCAGAATAGTTTTATAATTTAAAAGTTTTATATTCAATTTAATTATCAATTAATTTATTTATATTTTAATTGATCTAATAATATATTTATTTTTGAATAGATAATTAATGATTATTAATTTTAATTTATAATTATCAATTATACAAAAATCTGAGGTAATTATTGTTTCGATTAGATTGTTATATTTTGAGTATTATTATAATTAAATTATATATAATATAATAATTTTCAATCAATAGTTTACTAAATTGTTTTTATTCAATCCAATCGGGATTTTTATTCAAATTATTATTATTATAAAATATAAATAAACAATTTAGATATTCATTTTGATTTATTTTATAAAGATTATAATAAATATTGAGTTTTGTTATATAAATTGATTTTTATTATATCTTTAACAAATAACTTTTTTTAACTTTTATATAAAGGATTTTATAATTGATCTTCTTTTTCTAAAGAATTATATTCAATTGAATTGAATTATTCTTTAATAATCTAATAATCAAAATTATTAATAATTAACTAAATGAAAATATGAAATTTGAGATTCATCATTTATTTCTTAATTATAAATTGTTTAGACAAGGATTCAATAGAATATTCGAAGAAATAAATTCTAATTATATAATTGAAAAAGCATTACAATAATTCAAACAGATTGAATCAATTACAATTTATATTATCAAGTTTTAATAATATATTAGATATATTATCTAGAATAATAATTATTTAAAATCATAATTTTATAAAGGATTGAAAAATATCATTAAAAACGAATTAATGAAAATTTTAAAACTATTTAATCTTTTCGAATTAATTAAAATCTTTATTTTCATTGATAATCGATTTTATAAACAACGAATAAAGAAAAAAGAAATCATTTAGGAAAACAAAAAATTCCAAAAACCTTATTATCAAAATAGATATTATAATATCAATAATCTAATAGAATTGAATAATATTAAACAATATTATATAAAATTAAATAATCTAAATATTAACAAAAAAAAGTATAAAAAGAATAATTTATATTTTATTTATAGAAAAGCAGATATATATTTCAAGATTGTTTTCAAAAGAAAAATTATTTATTATAAAAACAGAAAACAAATAAGATTTGAAAACAAAAGATAGAATTCTCGAGAAATAGGGATTTTAGAAGGAAATTTGAAGAAAATAAGATTATTAGAAAAAGATCTATTTCAATTCAATTCTGAATAATTAAAGAAATTAGATATTAATAATCAAAACCCTAGAACTAGTATTGAGAATAGTATCGATTATAAAGGAGAATCTTTAGAAGATCTCGAATTAAAAGATAAAGAATCAATCAAGGAATTCGAGGAGAATCAATAATTAATTGAGTCCTATCATTTATTTTGGGAAAATGAGTTATAGTATCTAATTAGTTATCTAAATAAGAAATAGATATAATATTATTATAAAAAAAAGAAATCTGATTTTATTAAGAAATATAGAATCTATAATTATTTTATTTTGTTAATATTCTATATAATAATATATAATAATATTTATTATATAATATTTAAGGAAAATATTAAAATAAATAATATTAAAAAGTATATTATAAATATAGATTTTTTATTTTTCAACAAAATATAAGAATATAATAAATATAATCTGGAAATTAAAAATATATAAAAGATTTTATTATAAATCAGGATTTGTTATATTTAATAAAAGATTAATAAAAATAATAAAAAAATATCAAATCGAGATTATTATCGAGATTTTCAAATAGAATTAATAAGATTATTATTTATTATATTTTATCGATTATTAAATATAAACAAATATCAATATAAATAATTGAATTTCTTTATTGAAAAACAAATTATTGAATTATTATTATTAGAATTAAATAGTATTATAAAGATCGAATAATTGATTATAGAAATTAAATTAAAGAATCAATAAACAAATACCTTAATTAATTCTAAAATTATAAATATATTTATAAATCTCAACTTCGTTAAAGAAAATAGAATTCCTATAGAATTAAAATAAAACTTTTATTAATTAATATTACTAAAAGAAAGAAAACTGGAATTAATAATTGAATATATAAAGAAACCAATATTATCAAAATGATTATATTAGATAGATATATCAAATAGATCAAAATGAATTTAATGTTATTGAATAGATATACAATTATTCTTGATACTTTGTAAATTAAAAATATAATTCAAATATCGATTGAATAAAAAATACTTTAATATTCGATTATTATAATTGTGATAATGAATGATTATATAATCCGAAAGAATAGATTTTTAAAAAGATTAGATATTATATTATAATAACAATAAATCCTTTATTAATTGATAAAATCGATGAAAAAGAAATTCTAATATAATATAAAAAATTCATTAAACTTTTCGAAAATCTATAGAATTTGAAGGTTTTATCAAAATATAAATCTTAGGATTATAAGATCAATTTCAAAAAGGGATTTATATTCTTTGTTAAAAAGTTGAAATTATATAATTTTAATATTATATAAATATAAAAAGAATACAAAATTAAAATTGAAAAGAAAAAATAGATTAGAAAATCCAAGTTCTTTTATATATTTAATATATTATTGATATTCAAGAAAAACGATCCAAATAATTAGTTTTATAAAGATTATTGTTAAATTAATAATAAAATAATCAAAAATATATATCTAATACTGAAAATTTAAAAGTTTAAAAATAAATTGAATAGAATAATAATCTATATGAAATTAAATCAAAAAAATATTTTCAATTTGATATAAATAAAAAAGGATTATGAATAAAAAACAATTTTTATTTTATTATTAGATTTATAAAAATATATAATTATATTGTTTGGATTAATTAATATATCAATTATATATCAATAATAGAATAATAAAATATTCAAAAAGTTCAATTTATTTATAATTTGTTATTTGAATGATATTTTAATTTTTTTTTAAAAAAAGAAGAAATA